ACTATGTCGAAGCAGACAAACGTGCATGCCGCTTTATTGTCTATTTCTCGGAACCAGTTGACGAGTGCAGACTGTCTGCGTGAGAAGCTGGAGATCTTGCATGCTGACAGAAGGGTGAACATCAACAAGCGATCGGAGCTAGTGGCCAAGTGCAGACATGAGAACAAATTCTACCTATCTAACTTCACACCTCCAGTTACATAAACCAGGATTACACCTGATGTCTGGCGCTGATCTTGCAAGTACATGCATAGAATCACCGCTTGACCTTATTTGCGCTTAAATTCTCTGATTCCACTGGCACCTTTAATACCACACTATATCAAGAACATTCATTGAGTTTTTGTAATCATTGCTGTCTGATGATCGCCATAGGCGTGAAACTCGGAGTCACAGCCAACCCAAGCTTCGTATTCTATTCCTTTTGTATGAAGCTCTGCACCCCGGTGCATTGAGCACTCTTTCGAGGACCACACCCAACTTTCCGTGTGTACATGTGTAGTGTACATGTACATTATACATGTACACTATACATGTATAATGTACATTGTACATGTATAATGTACATTGTACATGTATAATGTACATTGTACATGTATAATGTACATGTACACTACACATGTACATGTACATTATACATGTACACTATACATGTACATGTATAGTGTACATTGTACATGTATAATGTACATGTACACTATACATGTATAGTGTACATGCTACTGTAGTACTGATGGAGATCATCATGAACAATGGACTGACTAATAATAATTATTATTCACTTGTCCTGTCTTTCTAAATAACATGTTATTGCACATGTTCTTGGTTTAGTTTTTGGCCTTTTCTCGTGCTATGGGGTTACTTGTTGTTTTTGGAGAGTTCATCATTATGACATTGTTTCTTCTAAAGAAATAAAGACAAAACTGTAGTACTGATTAGCCCTTGGCCCGATTTTGCGGGCAGGAAAATCGGCAGATTTCGATAGTTGTCTGGTATGCATAATGCATGTTTTGTATGTGAATAAAGAAATAGCGAAAGTTGGAAGGCTTACACTGTAGGTGCGGAAAGTTCCAATGAGTTCTGACTCCATGTTGTCTAGGCACATAGCTCCTGGACATCTCTGTGGCACCTTCGTGCGGCATCCCTTCCCCTCATTGAACGAGCCAATGCCTAGCTTACAGCTCCATGTAAGCGGAGATTGCAAACCAGGAGTTTATCACGACCCAACACAACTGCATGTAGGCACAGCGGTGAAATACGTTAAGGGCCTTCCAAAAATATCGCAATAGGACTTGCTAGTATTCCAAGTGATGAAAAAGATTCGAATTTTCTCTCCGAGTAGGCAATAATGAATTCAATGGATTGCGTATGTTCGTGATTGTGTTGAAATTACTCTAAATAGTCATATTCCAGCTGAGAATACAATCTTGCTCATCAGTCCCTAGCTGGGGAAAGGGAGAGCATACCCAATAAACAGTGATGGTAGTCGACCGATATGTTACATAATGAGCAATAAAACAGGGCTAGGTTATTCGAAATAGAACAGTTATATTATGTCAAGGGATACAGAGAAATAAGGGTGTTTGTCGCTACTTGAAGTTCGAGAACAAGAAGTACCGTAGCGACAAACCAGCCTTGATTGCTCTTGCTGTTCTGTATTACACTAGATCTGCAGATCTGGGTGCATCATATGGAATGTCCAGGGATATACATTGTACTTGATCATGAAACAAAGTGTTGGGTTGCACCCCTGCTATCGCACTCCATAGCTCCCTGTGTACTAGAACTCTGCTGCAGACTTTATTCACATTATGGAGCAGCCCTTCTTGCGGCGTCGGCGTCGATTGCGTTCCGCCTCTGCAGCCCTTCGTCGCAGCTCCTCATTGGCACGCCGCATTTCATCGGCCTTTCTTTCCTGCTCCTGCCGAAGTCTCTCCTGCTCCGCCTCTCTGGCCTTTAGCTCCTGTTGGAGGCGTGTCCGCTCTGCTTCCTGGCGCTTCTGTTCCTCCTGCTGAGCAGTTTGTGCGCCCAGGTGTTTGTTAACCCTTGCCACAACACTGGAGTAACTTGGAGTCGCATAGCACTGCATGTAATGCAGTATCACGTGGTCGAGAAGAGTCTTGCGAGAGCGTCGGCGCATCTGCATGCTGCGTTCGTCACCATCGTCCGGGTTGCTGATCATGAGAAAGGTACCGATCTGGGCGAGATTCGGATGCAGCTTGATCATCTCCTGGCGATACTCGGCAGTCTTGGCAGCCACCACAGCTTCGTCCAGTTCTTTGGCTGGTGTTGCTGTGCGAACGATAGTCGAGAACTTGGCCACGTCGGGCTGAAAGATCACGTTCATCATCGCATCCATGGTGGTTTTGTCCTCCTGGGTATATCGACCACGTGTGACAAAGAGAATCTGATTGATTCCCTCTGTGCACGTCTGAGCCACCTTAGCCAGTGCGTTCAAGACATCTTTCTCCGACAGGGAGGTGTCCCCGTAGCCGATGGTGTCCACAATCTTGATGGCATGGTCTTTGCCAGCGTACGACACTAGGACGGTGTACGTCGGCAAACCACTTGTTTCACTCGCAGGGTTGCTGGATTCGGGGAAGAGGCCGCCGTCGTAGTCTCCCGCCAGTACGTTTGCCACGGCAGACTTTCCGTTGCCTGTTTTTCCCATCACGACGATTGTCCGGTCTGGTTTGCGACCAGCGGGACAAGGTCGATAGTCACTTGTACAGGCCATACTGTTTAAATACTCAGTCTACACTACAGACCACGTCGTTCAGTGACAGTCGCTAATGGCACACTAGGTTACTGTAGATATACAGTGAAATTCCCCTCTCTGATAGCGTCTTGATTTCACTCACCCACAATGGCTACGCTTAGCTGGAAGTATTATAGAAATTCTGCTGGAACGTTCACGGCTCGTTAGTGCACTGGAACCAGAGAAACGTATGCAAGAGTTCGTCTGGAGAAGATATCTTTGCACTGAGGTAGCACACTATCTTCTCTGGCTTATTATATTGCCAGTCGAGGCACGCGCGACTCATGCAATCAATCAAACGTAGTAAGTAAGTAGTTCATGCATGCCTCTGCTCGCCAGTGTCATGTGTTTCGTCTTCATACAATCATCATGCCATGCGATTTGCGACAAACTAGCAAGTGACAACACACAGTCACACTGAGCAGCCGTAATGGGGACGTGAATCATTTTTGGGGGAATTCCCGCAAGTGTGATCCAGTGACAGGCTGCACACTGTGCACAGATGAAAAAATGCTGTTTTGTCAAGTGAGTAGGTAACTTTTCATGCATGCGCATATGCGCTCATTGCGTTGCTCCACAGTCATTGATTTCTTTATCACTGTGTTAGCATGGTTAGAACCTCACCTGCGCTGCGGCGGCGTTGTGGCATTGTGCCTAGTAATTAGTTGTGGGTCATCAAACCAACCACATGCATAATCATTGTAGGTCTCCATGATTGTGCATTGTACACCAATGACAGCATGCATTGAGGGGAGAAATAACCGGATCTGAAAAGGAGGCATGAGTCACGAGCGATGCCACAGTGCAGTACGGTGCAGTGCAGTCATGCGTGCCTGGTGTGAGTGAGTGGCATTGCACTGAGTGCTCCAAACCATTACTTTTTGATACACGTAGCAGTGCCGAAGCGGACTACATGTCATGTGCAAGCACACATTCTCATGACTTGTCTTTGTAGTCGTAGTGACTAGTAGTGGTAGCAGGCTCGAAAGAGAACAACAGGATTACCGTGATTACAGCCTACAGGAACTGTTAGTGCTACTCTGATCCTGTCAATGCGTTCTTGTGGCAAGGAGCAAAGCTGGGGACAGTGCGACGCACACAAGGACACACGTACATCAACGTACGTAACGTAGTTGTCAACTGATGTCTTCACTTCAGCTCACGGTCACAGTCATTGCCTAAATCGTTGATTAGGTGTTCACGCACATAATACATTGTACACTGTAGGTGTTTTCCCCTGAAAAGACTTTATTTAAGTGCCACACACGTTTAGTTTTGGGGCGCACGTTTCGCACGCGAGCTCGTCTTCGGAATGATCACACACATACATGTACATGTACATAATACAGTCAACTTCGCTTATAACGACACTCGGCGGGGCATCAAAAAGGTGTCCTTATTCGCGAAGTGTCGTTATACCCGAAGTCTCATTATTATGTATTCCAGTGGGATGGGACTTTGCTCTGGGCATGGAAATTCTGTCGTTATTAGCGAATTGTCGTTATATCCGCAGTCGTTATTAGCGAAGTGGACTGTATATCATTATTGATGATGACACGGCACAATACTAGTGTCTGTAAAAAAAGAGAAGAAACACATGAGAACGAGTTATGCAGCAACTATCCACGACTGTAACGAGATGATAAAAGGTCAGAAAGTGCGATAATAGGGCACAAAACTGACAGGCTACTAGTACTGAGACATTCAGCGACCCGAGACCTAGCTCTAACACATCTCCAGTACGCAAACCAACAGCCTTCCAACTTGGAAGGTTCATGGTTACGTAGGACCGAAGAGGGGAAGGTGAGCGCAGCGAAAATGTGCACAAGCTAAGTCCCGCGGCAACAAAGAATGAGTCGTCACTTGTACTCTGGGTAGCACATTTCGCACGCGACTCGTGAGCGCGATTCTTGGAAGTGATCAAGTTTCGAAACTGGACAAGGTTCCAGGCCCGTGACTCAGAGCTAGAGTTGGGGACTTCATGGCTTCTCCCTTGGATTGGAATGTTTATGCATCTCGAAATACAATTTCGCTATCATACTAGTTCGATTACTATTAATTTAAGCATGCATTATTCATCGTGGAGCTAGAAAGTATATTGATATTGGGGTATGACAATGCTACAAAGCATAATGTCATGTAAGTGTATCATGTGCAATCTATCCCGGTCAATGGCCCAAAGGTGCTGTTAGTTCCCCTAAATGATTCGCTCTGGTCAGAACAGTTTCGTTTCTCGTTGATCTACCTGACCTTGCCTTACACCTGCCCATTGCTGAAGAGATGATACTTGATAGCGAATTGATGTACATGTACTTGTATATGCACACTGTATGTGCGGCTCAACACATTACGTCATTGGCGAAAGCCTCATATCTAGACTGGCATAAATACGTTACCTCGAGCCCTCTCTCGCACCATGCCAAGGTCACTTCTTCCAGGTTTGGAAAAAAAGTTCTTGCCTCCTCGACAATCCATTTTGTGTGTGCTTAGTGCCAGCAGAAGGTAACCGGTATATTTCTGGAGTTACCCTGTATGTTCAGCTCAACCAAGACTATTGTATAGAGGAATAGTGGGTTTCAATTGACAACTGCTCTATTCAGCTGCAATTCACTGCCTTCATTGCGTCTACAGCCTCAGCATGGCTAGTGCAAGTGATTACCGACGCTGTCCCGCTGGTCGCAAACCAGATCGGACAATCGTCGTGATGGGAAAAACAGGCAACGGAAAGTCTGCCGTGGCAAACGTACTGGCGGGAAAGTATAGCGGCGGCCTCTTTCCGGAATCCAGCAGCCCCGCGAGCCAAACACGTGGTTTGCCGACGCACACCGTCCTAGTGTCGTACGCTGGCAAAGACCATGCCATTAAGATTGTGGACACCATCGGCTACGGGGACACATCTCTTTCCGAAAAGGATGTCCTACACGCACTGGCTAAGGTGGCTCAGACGTGCACCGGGGGAATCAATCAGATTCTCTTTGTCACACGTGGTCGATTCACTCAGGAGGACAAAACCACCATGGATGCGATGATGAACATAATCTTTCAGCCCGACGTGGCCAACTTCTCGACTATCGTTCGCACAGCAACACCGGCCAAAGAACTGGACGAAGCTGTGGTAGCTGCTAAGACTGCCGAGTATCGCCAGGAGATGATCAGGCTGCACCCGAATCTCGCCCAGATCGGTACCTTTCTCATGATCAGCAACCCGGACGATGGTGACGAACGCAGCATGCAGATGCGCCGACGCTCTCGCAAGACTCTTCTCGACCACGTGATACTGCATTACATGCAGTGCTATGCGACTCGAAGTTACACCAGTGCTGTGGCAAGGGTCAACAAACACCTGGACGCACAAACTGCCCAGCAGGAGAAGCAGAAGCGCCAGGAAGCGGAGCGGAAACGCCTCCAAGCGGAGCTAAAGGCCAGAGAAGCGGAGCAGGCGAGACTTCGTCGGGAGCAGCAAAGACAAGTCCGGGAGATGAGGCGTGCCAATGCGGAGCTCCAACAAAAGGCAGCAGAGTCGCAGGGTGATGACGACTGCATCATCTTGTGATCTCTTCATGCTCCACAGTGCAAAGTGCAACAAGGTAGCACGGTGGTGGACTGTACGTTGTGTTCCAATTCGTTGTGGCGGTATTGTTTTCGTCTCGTCGTGCCAGAAACATGGCCTATAGGCAATAGGCTATACATGTACATGTACATGTACTTGAGAAAACACCAATAGCTTACTTGTATGCATTGTATTATTTCAGTTAGAGCCCTTGAGCACTGTTGCAAGTCAAGGGCAACTCTGCTTGGGGACAGTTGTACATGTACATGTAGTACACACTATTATTGATTTGGTGCAAGGCTCCTACTTTACTTTCGCCTAAGACTGTGGCACTGTACACATATTTGAGTGTGATACTTGATAATTGTGTATATTGTACTCCCATTGCTTCCTGTTAACGCAAACTGGCAGTCATTTTCACCTGAAGCGAAAATAGTGAGCACCATTGTAGTACCAGATATTACCATGTGCATGTAAGTCCAGGCGCCTCAGAGTCCAATTTTTATTAGACTTCTCTTGTGTTTGCATCGTGAAAACTTTTTCCTCATTTTCCACTTTTCTACTTTATTTTGTCTTCCCATTATTTAAGATGCTAGTTTGTTTTGTTGTTCGGTTCTGCTGCATTGCCGCTCTTCTTGTCAAATAAACTGTGCGCAGTTACATGTACATGTATTTGAAGGGGCATGCGTGGGCAGATGTTGAGAAGATACAAGTCATGTAGAAGAGAAAACAAAGATAGGCCCCCAAATCCAAGCCAGTCCATGTCATGATCTTCTGAATGGAGTGCACACTTGACTAGCATGCTGGCTCTGAGCACCATTCGGGTTTCCTGTGAGCAACTTTGGGAAGAGAGAACAGCTCAATCGCGTAGACGGGTAGAATGCAAGGATGCGCACGCAGAACATGTGCAGCACTGGACTTCGGAAGCAGTGCGGGTGTATCAGAAGTCTCCCCCCCCCCCCCCCCTGCCCCTGCCAGTCCTTTTTGTGCGTAACGGTGGTGCAAGGTCAGTAAGTGGCACATCTACGTTGTAGACATAGAGCAAGAAATCATGAAACGTCGATCTATGCACGTAACACTATTTTCAAGACCATCATTAGGTTCTTGTTCCGGTTCTACAGGCCATGTGGCTAAATGCTTGCGAAAATGCTCAATACCGCGAGGATAGGGCGTATGGTGTTACATGTGCAAGTACAGGGCGCTCCATTGTGCGTCTGTCTGTCCATTTGTCGCCCCGCTGGATTCTTGCTGTGTAAGCGGCCGACTTGATTCCCTGGCGAGTGCAGATGAAGTCCTGCTTCTATGATGAGTTAGGGCTAAGGTAATCCTCAAACAACTGCGAATGTGCAATGTTCACGTTGGCTGCGTGACGCACTCTACATCTACTAAAACATGGAAAACATAGAGGAAAGTGGGGGAAGTCGGTTAGTGCACCTGCGCTCAAGCCCCAACCAACACCGTGCCCAGAATCTGCCTGCCAATGACATTGTCAGCTCTTTTTCACCGCTCTCAGGCAGGCGCTAGGCGCATGGTAGGGGCAAATCAAAAACTTGACATGCGCCACTCCAGTGACATCTCAATGACAGGGAAGTCCCTGGCATCAGTCCCGATGACTCATGGTGAGCGCAAAGCTGCACAGTACACCATGGAACCAACACAGCACGACTATGTCTATCAGTAGATCTACTAGTACCGGTACTTGTACTAGTGAGTAGTGTTAGTAAATACCCGGGCCACGGTACATGGTATGATTGCATCGCGTACTTTGCCTTTTCCGACTTTTGGGGTGCCCTTTGCTTCACTCAGTAAACCGAACGTGCTGGTATCTCGTTTGGTGGTTGATGGTGCAGTACACAAATGCACGCCACACAGTATTTTTAGTCAAGCTCAACAAAATGTGACAACCCAAAATTAATAACGTACATGTCTACATGTCTAGCATGTGAATGAGTACTAGTACTGTAGTAGCACTAGGTCTACCGTTCGGGATGACGAATGACGAATAGGGAGATGTCCGTTCATCTAACCATCTGTTGCTTGAATATCGCTGGACCAGGACAGCCAAAGAGATACATCTACTCGTACGGTAGTTAAGATCACCTTTAGGTTTTGATGGGACTTTCCCCACGGAAATTCTCCTGAAACTGATAGTTGTGCCAGCAGCACTACGATCATGTGCTAGTTGTTAGGCAGTGTGGTCTGACGACATCGAAACACCTAGTGACCTATTACTCATCCTTTGCCACCCTCCAACTAAGCCGGTCCAAACATAGTATGACCAGTGTATAAAAGCACACAATTTCAACGGCTACTTCAGAACAAATTTCAGAGCAATTTACAGCTGCCTAGAGTGACTAACTTGTGAACTATAGGCTCTCAGTCGAGTAAGTCTTCAGTGAAACCAATCATTGCTTTAGCGTACGTCAGACACCCGGGTACTAGTATTCAGTTGACTCGGTTGACGCAAGGTTGTGATGGACAACTTCGACGACTACAGACCGTGTCCGGATGGAAAGAAGATTGATCGCACGATTGTCCTAATGGGTCGGACAGGCAAGGGCAAGTCCACTCTGGCAAATGTCATTGCCGGTCGATACAAGGGTGACTTGTTCCCAGAGTCAAGTTCTCCGACCAGTAAGACCGAGGGCTTGCCGACTAAGACAGTCCTCGTGCCGTACGCTGGTCGCGACTACGCAGTGAAGATCATCGACACCATCGGATTCTGCGACAACCGCTTCACCGAGGAGCAGGTGCTACTGGAGCTTGCGCATTTGGCACACACGTGCAGTGGTGGGATCAACCAGATCATCTTCGTCACCAATGGCCGATTCACCCAGGAAGAGCGACAGGCCTCCGATTCCGTCATTGACGTGATCTTTCAGCCGCAAGTGGCACCTTTCTGTACCCTGGTTCGCACGAGAACGCCGGGTGGGGAGCTGCGAGAAGACGTAATCTCGGCCAAGACGAAGGCCTACAAGAAGGAGTCGATCGCTCTGCACTCCAGCCTGGGGCGCATCAACACTTTCCTCATGGTCAGCAACCCAGACGACGGCGATGACCACAGTTACGAAGTACGCAGGAGAACTCGAAAGCGTATGATCGAGCATATCATTTTACATTATCAGGCTGTCTACGTTCCACCTCTGTTTGCCGAAGTCAAGGGCAGGATCAATGGCCATATTCAGCAGAAAACCGCGACTGAGCGCAAACTCCAGCAGCTGGAGGAGGACCTGGAGGCGGCGCGCATCAGCAAGGAGGATTACGAGAGGGAGAACGCTAAGGAGCTGGCAGAGCTCGCGCGCATCAATCGCGAGCTTGCTGGAAAAGTCAAGAAAGAAATGCCGTGGTGGAAAAAAGCCGTGAAGGCGCTGGGAGTAGTAGCTAGCACAGTTTTATTGGGCCCAGCAGGAGGCGCAGCAGTCGGCGCCGCGCTTTCGTCTTGGTAGCTTGTGTAGCTGGTCTCCTCAGGCTCAGGTTCTCACCGCGGTTTGAATTATAATTCTAGCTGGAAAACACCTGTCAATCATCTCATTGATGATGGTGAAGATTGTGAAATTTGTGGTCTTCCCTGGCCCTAATATGTATCCTGCCTCCTAGAGAGTTATTGAGAGAAACGAATGACTAGTAATGTACATAATAATAGATCTCACATGATTCGACCAAGAACCATTCCTTCAGGTACATGTACATGTACATGTACACAATGTACCTTCGCCGCCGCTTTGTGCAGTTTATTTGCTCTGTAGATCCACTCCTGTTTGGAATCCGTAGAAGCATTTTTGATTGCCCCTCGTAATGTAAGTAGTAATGTGACAGGAGATAACAGCGTGTTCATAACGTTAGCAGGTAGTGTTAGTATGGCACGCTGATACGAACAGTAGACTACGCAGTTGAACTTCAGGACAAAATGGCGTTTCTCTCACCTGCTCTTACATGAGATCTAGATTTAGTTTTCTGTCCAACTGATCACAAGATTAAAATTATTTTATAGGAAAGAAAAAAAGGATAAATCCTTGGCTCTCCATCCGAGTCCATTATTATAATAGTATTATCACATTTGTTTCGTTTCACATGTACATGTACATATACATCGTACAGGTGCTACTGGTAGTGCTGTTTCCATGCCTGTCGACATGCGGCACCACTATGGAACTAATATACACGTACATGTACATGTACATGTACATGTACATTGACCTCGTTTACAGAATACTGTAGTTGATTTGCTTCAATTTGACATTCGCCGACGTCACGAAACTGTACATACCTGATTAACGTTTATGATTCACAGCTTGCAAAACCAGTTTTAAAACCAGTTTGGATAACAGTACAATGATTAATCGTGCTGAAAAATCCACTCCCATTGTCTTGCTGATGATAATTATTATGACGGATCAAGGGAAGCTTCATGAATGATGCGTCATGTTGGATTTTGACCTGTCCAAACATTCAGAGCTGCCTTGGCACACAAAGTCATGTACATGTACATGTACATGTACATGACTTTGTATGTTCAGGTAGTTAGTTGTAGCCCGTTCGAGTTGAGAATCTATTGCAGCAGACTTAGCGCCACGTTATCAAACCCAATTACTTGTATACATGTACAGAACAGAACAACAAGGACAATCAAGGCTTGTTTGCTGCGACTTGAAGTTTTATGCTCTCGCAATCATCAGGCAACATGCACATGTATAAATAACTTTCGATTACAAAGGAGAATAACTTTAGACTGGGACCGGGAAAAGCCCAGGAACTGAAGGAAACTTGTCAGTAATACGAAGGACTTGCTTGCTCGCAGCTAGGCATACATGTATGCGGATAATGCCGGCAGAAAAATTGGCAGAATTCGGTACTTTTTCTGGTATTAAAGTTTCATGCATGTTTGGTACATGTATGTGGATAAAGTCGAGGAATTGCCTGCCATAAGGTTCGTATGGTTCTGCCAATTTCACTGCTTTTCGAGCAGAATCTGCAACCTTTTCGAGCATTATCCGCCAATGCCTACTCGCAGCTTGCCAGACCAACTGCCTCATTTGCAAGTTGATCCTTGGAGTTGCATGTCATGTATACATGTACAATGTACAATGTATTGTACGAGTAGGTTCAAAATTCCCTTGCTCACTTACATAGTACATTGTTTACGTACACGTGTATCACATTTCATTCCTCCTTTCGCCCATTCGCCCATTCACGCCACAGCAAGTAGCCATGAGCGGCTATTTTGACAAGGGCAACAAACAAAAGCACCTCGTGGACGGCCACGGTTGACACTGGCCACAAGTCTGGTCGCTCAGCTGAATAAGCTGGGTGTGCCAATGAAGACCATGGAAGACCTTTCCAGGTGCCGACAACAAGCAGCGGACAAGACAGACTGGAAGAAACTGTGCAGCTCGATACCAGAGGAAAATCAGTATCAGCAGCTACTACACCTTGCTGATGATGCTCACAAGATAGAAGCGGAAAAAAACACTGAATTTCTTTATTTAGTGCTCTACTACGCGAAATGTGCTATTATTATTACTATTATTTCGCCCATTCATACTTCCAGGGTCTCATGGCCACCAGACGATAAGCATCCATTTTCTTTCAGGAATCCTTAAAAAAAATACATAAATAAATAAAACATTGAATGAATGAACTAGAAGGTGTACAGTGTATGGTTGGTTTTTATTTCACTTCGCACATTCAAACGGGATGACGACCCAAAAAAAAACGGCGAAGGCTTAGCCTAGAAGTGGCTATGGAAGAACATAGTAAGAGCTATGGAAGCACATAGTACATGTAAGAGAATAGGATACTAATAACTGCGGGTAAACGGGGGGAGAGCGAGAATACGATGTATCTGTGATACTACGTGCGGGTTACTGAACTGCACGGGGAGGGAGAGCAGAGCGATCAGCAGCAACTCGAACTACTCCCTACAGGCGTATGGTACACATGCATGCTTAAACTCAGGTAGCCGGGTAATTGTGCGGACCTCACCAGGGAGAGCGTTCCACAGCAGAGCACCAGCAACAGAAAATCTCCGCTGACCGCGGCGGCTACGGTTTGCCTGGCTTAGTAGGCCATTTGACTGCTGATGGCGGGTAGGGGTGCCTTGTGCCGGGGTCAGAAGCTGGGCGAGCACAGGGCTGGTGCGGGCGTGGATGCACCGCCAGATGGTGATCAATATTTTCTGCCTGTAGAGCTCGCTGACACGGTACTGCCTGTAGAGCTCGCTGACACGGTACACTAGGAGTGAGCAGTGAGCAGCGGCTGCATGGCTGTCCGGGGCGGGTTGCCATCGATACAGCGGATGGCTCTGTTTTGCGTGGTTTGCAGTCGTTTCAGTTGACCCTCTCGCATTGCGGCTGAAAAACAGCAGGAGCCATAATTTAAGCAGGTCGGGCATTATGACCGCCTTCACATACACCTGACGAGAGCGTCTTGATAGGCTTCGGCGTGCCCGCCACAAGGCGCCAATTTTCTTGGCCACCTTGGTGACCACATAGTTTACATGGGTGTCCCAATCTAGGCGATTGTCAAGGTGAACGCTGAGGTAGCGCGCAGAAGACGCTGAGGGGAGGAGACAGTCGCCGCTTTTGACTGTTACTTCCTGTACATGCTGCTGGGGAGAGATAGTCAGAACCTGGCTCTTGGTGGCGTTCAAGATGAGGCCTCGGGACTTCAGCCAACCGGCCAGAGCAGTTGCCGCTGTGGTAAGGGTTCTGGACGCTTCAGCCGCTGAGGCCTGGGAGTTGTACAGGGCTATGTCATCTGCAAATTGTACACTTGGCACAGGCGAGGAAACCAAAGGGACATCGCGTGTGTATATACTGAAGAGGACAGGGCCGAGAACAGAGCCTTGGGGCACTCCGCAGGTGCAAGCCAGCGCAGGGCTGGTTGAAGGCGAGATGAGGATCTGCTGCTTGCGGCCGGACAAGTAGTCGACGAACCAACTAAGGGCTTTTCCAGAAATTCCAACCGCTAGGAGGTCTTGAATTAACTTGTCGTGGTGCACTTTATCAAAAGCCTTCGACATGTCTAGTAGGCACAGCCCTGTGGTCTTGCCACTGTCTTTCGCCTTATACATCATAATAGCTGACGTACTCTACATTATGTATATCCGAAGTACTGTAATCCGAGGCACATGTATATCTGAGCCTGAGGTACACTACACTACATGTATATCTGAGCCTGAGGTACACTGCACTACACTATATCCGAGGTACTGTACATGTACATTTGAGGCACTGTACATCAGAGGCACTGTATATCCGAAGTCAAATGACTGGCATAGCACAATTCAGGGTCCTTCAGCACATGTATACCCCACAGTACCTATCCAGCATGCGGGCAGATCTACGTTCCAGCGACGCTTTACTGTACTGTAGCATCACAACTCCTATTTCCATTGTACGTGTATGGTCATTTATACACACAGTCATCTTCATATCATAATAATACAGAGGCAGAGCACCTTATAACGATAATTATTATTATGTCAATGTTGTGCTAGAATGCTGACAACTACTACACATTATTTTGGCAAGAGGAGTGATTGAGCAGAGTAGCATACGATAGTGTTAAAAATTCTCATTCTTGATTTTTCATCATTGCAAGTAAAGTAAAATTAGTTGATGTCATGTTATCATGCAGCTAGAGGCAGACTGATGCACCGAATGTGGCCCACACGGCCTGTGCAGTGTGCCCACAGGATGGTGGAGTTGCCACCTATGACATCACCAGTGACGTCACGGCGACATCGCCTGCGCCGTCACAGGACACCAGAAGCACGGCGATCGTGATCACGGATTTACAGGAGGCGCATGCACACGAGCGCCGCTCGATGAAAAACTTCAACGTGCGCAGTTCGAAGACTATGTAAACAACCAACATTATACATGTGCAGTCAACTGTCTAGAGGTTGATAACAGTCATATCGACCGGGAGCATACACACATGCGAGAATCCAGGAAAACAAACTTGGACAGCGGGTTTAAAGATCGGCGCCGGACTGCACCGTTGCAATCACAGGATAGTGCACTTGCCGATGAGCGCACCGACGGCCACGCGCAGAACCTCGTGCATCATGATCATGATGGCATCGCCGATCTTGTCCATCTCCATGTTGACGCCGGCCGCCTCGGTCTCCAGGCGCCGCATCTCCTCGCTGCCGGGCAGCGCGGACGCCTGCTTCTCGCGCAGACGCTTCAGCTCCGCCGCCAGACTGTCCTTTGTCGCCAGTGCTGGCCCGACGCGCTCTCTCACCGCGGCGAAGCACGGCGGAGAGTATGACCGCGGGCTGCCCGACAGGATGTGGTCGAGGAAGATCCGGTGCGTTCGCTGGCGTCCCTCCAGCGACTGGTGCTCGCCGACCTCGGGATTGTTCACCATTAGAAAGCCGCGCACGCTCGCCATGCTGGGAAGCTGCACCATCATCTCCTCCTGGAACTGCCGTAGCTTTGCCGAGTGGTCCTGTTCGCGAGTGAACGCGTGCGTGCGAACCACCGTGACGAACGGCAGCACGTCGGGATTGAAGATTGTGTTGACCATCAGCTTGAATGCTTCCTGCTCGACGGCGGTAAAGCGGTGCTTGGTGACGAAGAACACGTGGTGAATCCCTCCATCACATGTCCGAGCAAGGTCCGCCAGCGCTTGCAGAACGTCCTTCTCCGACATGTCCGTATCGCCGAAGCCATTCGTGTCCACGATTCGTACGCGGTACGTGCGGCCCTCGTGGTCGAGAGTCACAATGTGCGCTGGCGTGCCTCTAGTTCGGCTGTGGGGACTTGCCGATTCGGAAAACAAGTCCCCGTCAAATCGGCCAGCAATTGCGTTCGCCAGCGCTGATTTTCCATTACCCGTTCTACCGATCACAACAACAGTGCGATCCACGGGCTGGTCATCATGACTCGCTGATATCGACATACCGGATAGCGGGATACTGTGCTGCGCTTTGCTGCTTGCTGCAGACGTCTTGCACGTCGCCTTCGTGTGGAAAAGACACAGCGCGGATTGAACACTGTTCAATCTCCAGAAACTACTGTAGCGCAGCAATGTTCACTCTCAGCCCGCCAGAGAAATTTTATCCTGGAGCACCAGGCCTCTCCTTTTTGTACTTCGCTCTTTAGATGGTAAAGCGGCAGGACCTGGCAGCGAGCTACGTCCTCGCACGATGAGCTAAAGTTAGTTGTACAGGCGTCGGTGCATGCACACAGTACAGGTAGGCCGTTACTGCTTACACCTACAATCAAAATTTCGCTTTGCCTTTGAGTCACACTTGTGTTGCCATGTGTTGACAACACCACGAAAAGGTCGACTCGACTCGTATCCTACTCTTTCAGGCTAAACGGAAAGAGGAGTTAGAGGACGCGACCGGGTCGATGGAGTCATCACACCAGCTGCTTATCTCATCAAGGATGAACTCGACTCATTATCACTACAGTACAGTCATTGCAGTACTACTACTAGTACTAGTACTTAGTCTTAGTGCTCAGTATTAGTAGTAGTACTGGGCCTCTGAGTCTGAGTCTGACGGTGTTTTCCCGTGGTCTGCAAATAAGACGTAGAGTCATGTAAGTAACGACTACGTTCCCAAACTCACAAGAAGTGAAGGCACACTCAGGCGCCGCCGCACACACACAGAGCAATCGTGCAACAGCTGTAGTCTGACTGTACTATCTGCTCTGCACTTCTATTTCTTTCGACTGCTATGCATGACTCACGCTCACACGCTGTTTGACCCTTGCTTGGCCTTGGCCTTGCTAGCTATTTTGCTGACCGGTCGGCGGTCGGCCGTGCATGATGACTGGCGGGGTTGGTTTGGCTTTCTCGGGTGCTTCCCCTTCATGAATGCGACTTATTACAGACTGTCAGTATCGATATCAGCTGCATGTCGCGCGCACAGTCAGTGTGCGCGCCCCAGTAGAACCCAGGCCAGGGCCAGGTCTCGTGAGTTGTGGTGCATTCGCGCGACTCGAGGCTCGCATGCACGCAGTCTCCTTGTGCAAACTGAGACTCGAGTGAGACACTGAGAGCACTTTTTCCTCGATGTCGATTTTAGTTTCTCTCAAGCGCTACATGAGTACATACTGTGGAGGCGCATATTCTGCCAGGCCTTAGTGAAGCACAGTGCAGTTGTACAGCTAGCTGTTCGACCTGGACATCTCTGGACAGCCGGTCGGCGGGCAGGGGTATAAAGTCGGGCTGCAGCTCAATCCGCACGTCAGAAAACACTTCATTCACAGCTAGCTGGCTTTCGTGTTCCAGTTGAAATCGAGAGCCATTTGGCCTTTTCCAGTTTCCTTTCCCTTTACAGCTAGTCCGTTCCATCTACGTAGCAAGCAATGGCTGCATGTGAATTGCACGACTTCAAGCCATGCCCGCCGGACAGGAAACCGGATCGCACTATCGTGATCATCGGCAAGACAGGTAACGGCAAATCCACGCTGGCCAATAGTATCGCTGGAAGGTACGATGGCGACCTATTCCCGGAGTCGGACTCTCCGATGAGTGAAACGCTCGGCCGCCCGACGCACAAAGTTCTAGTTTCCTACGGCGGAGAAGAGCTGGCGGTGAAAATCGTCGATACCATCGGGTACGGTGACAATCGCCTGTCGGAGGAGAAGGTTCTTGTGGCGCTGGCGGAGCTGGCACACGAATGCGACGACGGAATTCACCAGCTGCTGTTCGTCACCCGCGGTCGCTTCACCAAGGAGGAGCAGGACACGATCGACAAGATGATCAACGTCATTTTCCAGCCGGACGTGGCACAGTTCTCCACGCTGGTGCGCACAGCAACACCAGCCAAGGATCTGGCCCCGGCCGTGATCGACCAGAAGACGGCCGACTACTGGCGGCAACTGATCGAGATCGATCCACGGCTGCGGAGGATACCGACCTTCCTCATGGTGAGCAACCCGGATGGCGGCGACGAAAGCAGCATCGAAATGCGCAGAAAGACGCGCGAACGCCTCATGGAACACATTGTTCTCCACTACAGAAAGAAGTATATTCCGCCGCTTTTCCCCGACATCCAGGCCAGAATAGGCAAGGAAATGGAGGCCAAGAACGCACTGCAGGATGAAGTCGATGAGCTGAAACGCCAGCTGGAGACCTCGGCGATCAGCCAGAAAGAGTTCATGGAGAAGCAAGGCGAGATCTTCAAGGAGATGATGCGCGTCAACCAGGAGCTTGTTAAGAAGATGGAGTCGATGAAACGTGGCGGAGGCATGTGTACCATACTGTAGGCAGTGTGTGCCTTTAAAAGTGCTCACTGATATTGATTGCCAAACATTGGACCACATGTGTCATACCTGATGAGAGAAGATCTTGGGTTTTGGAACTTTTTTGGGGTCTTAGAACAATGCTGCTCCATCCTTCTTCTTTTTTTCAATTAGTTCGCAGTTAAGAAATACCCCGCAGTTGATCTGTTTTCCCTGGCTCACTTCCATGCATCCACTGTACATAGGTCATGCCTTGACCACCCATTGCTAGTCTTTTTCTCAGAATAGCCAAACCCGGCTGCAGTGAGCGGCATAGCCCGTACGAGTGATATCCTGATGGCTGTGCGTGTGCATATTTACGCTACTAGATCTGTTTTTCATCCACCGCCGCACCATGACTGCCCTCTCCAGCCGACCTCTATGCGTGTCCACAGCACACCGTCACGGCATCAGCCAAGCGACACATCCGTTGGTGCTGAATTCAGGTCCGTATCAACAGATTTGTGGCTTTGCTGGTGGTGTGCTGTGGCAACGTATGGAGGTCGGCTGGAGAGCGCAGTGTTGGTGCGGTGGACGATGGCAAATCTGTACAGGGCCGAATGCTGCTGCTTACACCTTTGTTTACTACATTTGTTAATCCCCAAATTTTACCTGATTTTACCTGCGTTGCTCTGTGTCGGTGTTTTATAACAACGTCATCTGTGTTGAGCACTCTAAACGACGTCCACTGATCAACTTGTCTTCTCAGGCCAGGGTCTAAAGTAGTTTGGGTTTGTAGCTGACTTCTGCTTGTGACGACATGATCTGGAACCTTTGACACTTGAGATGAAACATTACGTTTTGCAGCATCCGTGTTTACTGCATGGGTCATCAGGGATTTGTCTGCTATCTGATTTAGCATTGACCCTTTGAAAACCGGTTCGAACGGTCCTGGATGTACATTGCAGTGATTGCACATGCACATACATGTACAAATATTACACAGCAATGAATGAAACAAGTCTCATTCCGCTGTATATACATGTATAATGTACATGTACATCATAGCAATATTTTCTGTGCTGAATCGAATACCAACTAGATTGTACATGACTGTGTAGCTATCACCAACACCAACCTAAGCTTTATAGTGGCCAAGTCCCACTGAACATGTCATACGTCGCCTGATGATTGCATTCCGCCAGAAACTCTGAGTTTCGACAAATCTGCAAACCTCCATTGTGCCTTTTGTGTGTACAGGAGTGTATATTAGAATGGTGCAATGGTATTGTAATAGGTCGCCGAGTGGTATCAGGAGGCACACACAAGAAGACTGGTTAATATTATGTTCTTCGGCTCAATCTGCCTGAAGTTATGTATACAACTGCTCCGGCTCAATCTGCCTGGAGGGACTCTGAAAGGAATATAACTGCTCCGGCTCAATCTGCCAGGAGAGACTCTGAAAGGAATATGACTGTTCTCTTATGTTCTGCTCTGCTCTGAAGAAATGAGTAAAGCATGGCAGCTTTTATAGGGCGAAAAGGAAGGAGATCATCATAGCGTCTGCATGAGCCATGAGTCATGAAAAAGGGCAAAAGTCTGTTGTGTCAGTCCAAACAGAACTTGGGAAGGCATAGCAACAGTATCTAAATGTATAAGGATGAAAGAAGCAAGCGGAACTTTGGAGGAGAACAGAGGCCAGGGAGGGCATTGGCAAATGGATGCAAACAGGATCTAGAAAGGGTCATGACTGTCCGCATGACCTCAGTCAGGGTCAGGGAGGTACAGTACACCATGTGGGTGTTAGTTCTACATGTACATAATATAGGTGTGATGATCTAAACTAGCAAAGATATGTAGTATGCAATCCAGCAAGCGCAAGAGAAACACAAGTAGTGAGAAGTGATATAATTAGCTTTGCAGGCTTGTCAGTAAAGGAGTGACAAGAGTCATGCAGTGCGTGTACGTGTACATGTGACATGATTAGAGGTAAAAATAGATGTAGATGTAGTAGTCAGCTACAGTTCAGTACTAGCAAGGCAGGGATACTACACCCTCCCTTCCTACAGATAATCACGCCCTCGTGATTTTTCCAAAGTATTAAACAAGGCTTGGTAGACTGATAATAAAGTAGGGACCCTGTGTGTATAATGTGTGAAGGACCTGTCTCTCTGTGGAGCGGGAAAAATTTCGGACGGTAAAAAAAGGATGTGTAAAATCGCGTCACTGTGGACGGTAACAGTTCTTCATTCGCGTCTCTCTGGGACGGTACAACGGGAAAAGTAGACTCGCGCATCATGTGGCGGTATATCATTGTTACTTGTACTGGTTATTGGAGTGCGTGCTTGCGGGATATACTGTATTTGGGGTCTGAAACGGATTGCTTGGTCGGAACGGGGTGGACATGATCGGGATGGGTAACGAAAAGGCTAGGACACTTTGTGGTCAGACCGGGGAGAAAGCGGTTGTAGGGGAGTGTCAGTGGGACGGAATGTTGGGCGATCTAAAACTGGGTAACGCATGTATCTGGACGGACCTGAAGGGATATGGAGGGTTGTGAGTCCTAGGCTGTTGATCGAATGGTGGGGCGGGGACTGGGAGTGGGATTGTCTGTGGGATGGAGTGGCTGAAGGAACGTGGAGGGCCTTGTGTATAGCGTGTAGTGTAGCAAACACACTAAATGTGAGAGATGTTAGCAGGGGAGCAACTTTGGCAGCAAAACGAGTTAGTGAGAGGAATATGGCAGCAATGATCATGATCACAGAATGGAAACAGTCACGGGATGGCGTAGCTTGCATGATACGCGGCGTAGCTTGCACGATAGGGGTGGCATGTGTACTAGTAACAGTTGCATTTGACCGGGTTGATGATTGAGTAGGGATAGAGGAAGAATGGTGACATACCTGGGTTGAAGGGAAGATGTGCCGTGTATCGCGACGACGATAGCAATACGCTATGGCATGGCCAATCTGCTTGCAAAATCGGCAATATGGGCGAAGACGAAAGGGCCGACGTCGCTTGGGTCGTACATATACCGGTGGCTGTAGTCCAGGGACATACCGGGCATGGAAACTCGCTGAAGAATGATGGTGATCCATTTTGCCGAAATGCGTACGTGACAGCGTCGATCTGCGGTATGGATGGACTGACGAACCGGGATTCTGCATCGTTCTCAGGTCCTCATGGGTTTAGAAACGCGGTGGGGGCCAATTAACGGTGCTTTCCGCTCATCGTTCGAGGCTGCCATCAATGTAATAGGTACTAACAACGAGACTGACGACAACGATTGACTAAGGATGGTAACAACATAACAAGACTGAAGTTGCGTAAACAGATCTACAGGGACGAATTCACGCACCGCTGCCACCAGTGTAATAGGTAGGTTCGAATCTTACAAAGGAACGTCGTTAACTTTAACCACCGCTGCCACCAGTGTAATACAGATACTAGGTGGGTTCGAATCTAGCAATTATAAAATTAATCCCACCGCTGCCACCAGTGTAATAGGTCGCCGAGTGGTATCAGGAGGCACACACAAGAAGACTGGTTAATATTATGTTCTTCGGCTCAATCTGCCTGAAGTTATGTATACAACTGCTCCGGCTCAATCTGCCTGGAGGGACTCTGAAAGGAATATAACTGCTCCGGCTCAATCTGCCAGGAGAGACTCTGAAAGGAATATGACTGTTCTCTTATGTTCTGCTCTGCTCTGAAGAAATGAGTAAAGCATGGCAGCTTTTATAGGGCGAAAAGGAAGGAGATCATCATAGCGTCTGCATGAGCCATGAGTCATGAAAAAGGGCAAAAGTCTGTTGTGTCAGTCCAAACAGAACTTGGGAAGGCATAGCAACAGTATCTAAATGTATAAGGATGAAAGAAGCAAGCGGAACTTTGGAGGAGAACAGAGGCCAGGGAGGGCATTGGCAAATGGATGCAAACAGGATCTAGAAAGGGTCATGACTGTCCGCATGACCTCAGTCAGGGTCAGGGAGGTACAGTACACCATGTGGGTGTTAGTTCTACATGTACATAATATAGGTGTGATGATCTAAACTAGCAAAGATATGTAGTATGCAATCCAGCAAGCGCAAGAGAAACACAAGTAGTGAGAAGTGATATAATTAGCTTTGCAGGCTTGTCAGTAAAGGAGTGACAAGAGTCATGCAGTGCGTGTACGTGTACATGTGACATGATTAGAGGTAAAAATAGATGTAGATGTAGTAGTCAGCTACAGTTCAGTACTAGCAAGGCAGGGATACTACAGTATTATGGTAACTGCGAGTTTTCAACTTTGTGTCGGATTTCACCTGCACCTGTACATTACATTGTACATAAAGTGCTGTTCGATGAAATCCGATTTTTTGTTGTTGAAATCGGATCGATCTCGGGACACAAAAACCAACACCGGGCGTTGTGCAGCCCCAGACCTGAGGCCGCTTTGCGGTGTACAGGTGAGTGGCGGAGGGCTGACACAAGACCGAAGAGATCGGATTTCGGTGAAGAGCATTAATTTTATCTGCACCTACTAAATCATTCTGGATAATTATAACTATACAGTATACTGGCTCGGACATAGAAGTAACATAGTTCAGTCGATTGACCGGAGCCGGCGCCCTTGTAGCGACCTGACTCACTGAGTATTACGTCACTATCACGTAAGCATGGGCAGGAAAATAAAACATTCTCTTTGCCTTTGCCAGGCTTTGGTCTCAACTTCTTTGTTGTCCGGTTGGCCAAAGTAGACAGTTCACATATGGCATATTGAGCGACAAAGGGAATTTTGGAATGAAGCCAGCATATCATTCAAATATTCTGAAGAAAATGAGGACAAAACATTCATATTATGGACAAAATGCGTTCAGAAATGCCTTTTATGGATGAATTTGGAATGGTTGAGGCGTTTGCTACATTTCTCCATGGATGAACACTATCGCTACGGCTGCTGGGGACACACCCCAGCCAAACTATTCCGGATATGTTTTGATTTGCACCATAAGCATGATAGCGTGAAGCCAATGAATATTCCAAGGTTGTAATTCTACTGAAATGATCTACACTTTCTGCCTATGTCGAGCATATTTTGGCATATCTTTTTGCATATCTTGCTAAGCCTTTGGCATATTATGGACGTTTTCGCTGATATGCGACGAGCATAATATCCTCTTTTTTTAGCATATTTGGTCGAGGCCTAATTCAGGTGCACGATTTTCGGAACTGGGCCTAGCCAGCTTCATGCATGACACCGTTGTCGACCGGCAATTATGCTTGTAATGCCACTTTTGCGTGCGAAATGGTGTTATAATGCCAGCATTATGCCACCTGGAAAGAAGGGACTATAATGCCAGCCACAATGCTAGCATTACCCGCCCATGCCTACGTGTGACCGGATTTCCATGTCCACGATCGCACATGTACTCGTACGTGATCGTACTGAGTCAAAGTGGGCACTAGGCACTCGACATTATTGTGTTGTTATGTCTGCAGATCTGGGAATGCTGCCTGGTTGGGCCTCTCATCCAAGAGCAGGTTCGCTGACAGATTTACCACAGACATGTGCGCATGCCTCCTCGGCTTGACATTGAATAACAGTTATTACTATTAGCCCCCGTCAGCTGTTCGTTGTGATTCACAGGTGCGAGGCGGTCGTGTTCGATTTGCATGACTGTGCGCCAGGACAGCAGGGTCCCTGCTTGCTCACACGTCTACCCGTAATTCTTGCTGAATGCCATAATGATCACTTATCAGTGTTGTAGGACCAAAGCAAAAAAAAACAGCCCAAATTCGGGAAATGGAACAAGAGAAAACACAAGCATGAAGTGACATCAAAGACAGTTTTCTGCATGCATTGTAGATCTACATGTACATGTACGTGGTGTGGGCACGGTAAAGACTTGACTAGGCACTCCAGTCATGAGGTCGCTGTCTGGGACGGGCAATTGACAGGTTCAGCCTTCTCACCGCCGACGGCTGATTGGCTGGCGTTGACAGGCACGCAGGAAAATCGTGCGAGGTGTTTACAACTTTCTTCCACTTTCTTGCTGCTGTCTGCCGCAATCAGTGATTCATGAGTAAGCGCCGACGTGCCTGAACACAATGGACGATCGCGCATGCGCCAACCTGGACAACTCAGTCGGTGTTCAGCACTTGATCAAGTTCAGCTCCGAGCTCTCCGAACAAACGTTATCCGCTAGCGCTTGGTGAAGAGTTTTTTCTTAGTCGACGGTGGATAGTTGCTTTTCCATTATAGATTTCACCCCCACGGGGACGGCAGAATGGCTGGCAATCTGTGCACGCTCCTGATTGCCCTGTTTGCGGGCACGGTGTTGGCCACCACCACTCCGCAAGGTAAGAGAGAAACCGCCTCCGCATCGGTGAAAGAAAATTATTCGTAGACATAATTCTGTCACCTTCGCTTCTCGCGTGAGGAGGAAGATAAGATCTCGGTGAATGGGGTGTGCATGTGGGCTTCCACGGCCGTGGGCCATGAGCTAGTTTGACTAGTTGGTGCCAGATGAATATCGATGTTGCGACAGTGTCTGTGAGACTCACCGATCCCTGTGGCCTGACAGCGAAGCGAAGTCATTGGCCTTTTCCAGTCAAGGAGGACTTGGCGAAAAGCTGATGTCACGCCAAACACATCGACAAATGTGTTGCAAACGACTTGAACATTGTGGGAGGCTGGCTTTCCGAACCACAGAGTAGTGTGTCGGTAGGTATCGACCCATCCTTCCCCTCTCTTCGTGCAGTCCGGAAGGATGTGTCGCCGAAGTCTACCATTTTTCAATTACCTCTCTAAAAGTACGAACCTTGCAAACTGGCACTATCGCACCGGGGCCATGGCTTTCGGCGAAGCTCGACGATGACAATTCGCATTACCATGTGTTGGCTATGATGCGGATGGGTATGAGCAGCTTCCTGGCAGATGAAGACTGCCAATGTACCGCTATCCTGAAATGAATTGGCGGTGAGGAACGATACAGAGCGAAAACAGGTGGTGCAAACCAGAGTGCTAGGTGGACAAAAAGTAGATCCTGTAATACTGTCACACGCAACGGTGAAAAATTGTTCTTCTATGTTCGCAGAGTACGTAATTATGTTAGTCCTGATCTGAACGGAGAATGAACTCACTGTCTGCAAATGGCCCGTGGCGGCTGAGCTACCCCAATCCTCGATCATAGCTCAAATGATCAGAAGCGGTTTACTGTCGACTTAGCGGGGGAGGGGGGTGTAGATTGCAGGGGAAACTCAAGTCGTCCAGGATACATTGTGAATGGTTGCACGGAAGAGTGAGACGTCGTGGTGAGCGATGGGGACTTCTAAAGTGGCTCCTTCCTCACCAGCAGTCGTGTTTATTGTCTTCACGAATGATGATACCTGTTTGCAACAAAATATGTTGACATGTTTAAAAGCACTGAAGTGCTCAGTATTGGCCTACAATGCGTGGTGAAAATTGCTATACACAAGTTGAATCACATCTACAATGCAACAAAGAATAGCCCCACAAGACCCAGAGGACTAAGCCAGCTGCTGAAAATGTCTCGTTGCAAGATAAACACTCTCACATTGGACCTTTCGTCTACTGATGCGTGATAAAATGGTTTTGCTCTGTTCGTTTTTTTTTGTCTGCAGAATACGACCTGGTGTGGGAGAAGAAGGCCGCGGCTTCGAGCGCAGGCGGCGGAGTGGCCGTGGACCAAGCCACTGGAAATGTTTACTCAACGAGCACATCGTGGACGACGGCAGGCACCGGCAGCAAGTCGGTGGTGGTGACCAGTCGCTCCTCCGCCGGAACCGTTCTGTGGACGAAGAGCCATTCGAAGGCATCCGCCACGCTCACCAGCTCCTTGTTCGTCAGCGGTGGTCATGTGTACCTGGCCGGTAACACGCTGGACGCATCCAGCAGCACACAGAATGCGTTTGTCATGTGCCTGAACGCCGTTGACGGAACGCAGCTCTGGGAGAAGACGCACAGCGGCGCCAAGGTGGAGGCGATTGCTCTGTCCAACGACGGCGCTACCCTATATAGTACGGGCGCGCATACGGTGAGCGGAGTGCTGCGCTCGTTTGTACGCATGATGAGCACTACCACGGCAACCACCGCGTCCACGTTCACGATCGGCACGGCAACCTTCAGCGCTCACACCGTCGCCGTGGACACGGCGGGACGCGTGGTGGTCGCTGGCGGCAACACGAATGGCACGGCGGTCACCGCGACGACCGCGGCGTACGCCATGGCGTTCACAGTCACCAGCGCTGGCGCCACCAAGGCCTGGGAGCTCAATGTGCTGCCGTCGTGGACGGGATTGGCGTCCGTGCACAGCATCAGTGTCATCAGCACCAGCAAGACTCTGGTTCTCAGTAAGTACAATCAAATGTGTGAGTCTTAGCACGAGCACACATTTCCAGTTCTTCAAGAAAAACAATTTGAAAATTTCTCACTTTGCTCTTGCCTGTTCGTCACCTTCTGTGAACGGTGAAGTCATTCCTGAGTAGCCCATGCAATACTTATCATCATGGAACAGGTCACAACTATTGGCATCGTTGTCATGAGCACCAGCGAGACCCTGGTTCTCAGTAAGTACATGTATTTGCACTCATGCCTCAGTTTTTCGGACCCCGAAATTATCTGGGCACTTCGGTCTACCGGGCACAGGCGCGTGCTCGGCGATGGGCACGGGGGGCATGTGCACCCCCCCCAAAAATTTTCAATCTGGGTAATTGCAATTGTAATGTATGCAAATATGCTCTAAAATTCAAGAAAGGTTGCAAACAAATTGCAGAAAATCGCCGGGGGGGGGGGGGGCTCCCCTCGGCTCCCGTGCACCCCCCTAGTTGGGGGGCCGAGCACGCCCCTGGGGCACCCTTGGACGAATTTCAGTGGAAATATTGCTACTCTTTTGTCACTTTTCCCGTTTGTGTCTTTCCCTCAAACTAGTGAAAATCACATGCCATATCTATGGCCTTTTCCCATCAAGATGCATGTGATTCGGAATTGCGGACACGCGACTTCAAACCGAGAGTTACGACCTACTTATGTGAATATACTTTAGACAATATTAGTAACGTGAAAGCAGGGGTGGGACTTCTAATCGAATGTGACGCACATGTATAATCGTTGAAATACGATAACACATTATTGCATACTTAATCATTGTTTTGTACGGATTACGCTCAGTCACGATAATTCCACTGATGAAAAAAAAAGTAAATTATCGTGTCCGTTCCCGAAGGGAACTCACGACGGCCGCTAACACCCGGTTAACCCTCTGTTTTTCTTTGTTGTACGATGATTACGGCGGAATGTGTTCTTTTTATATTACGATATTTCTAACTATAATTATTCTGTCTTCACCCCCTCCCCGGTGTGTGTGTGTGTGTGTGTGTGTGTGTGTGTGTGTGTGTGTGTGACGCACTGCAGGTGGCACGGCGTTCAATCGCAACTCCCCGCTGGTGTTCTACAGCACCGTGCAGCCGAGCACCGGCGCTCTGCTGTCGCACACCGCCGGCCAGTACGGCACTGTCATCGGTCTGGAGACGCTTGACGACGCGGCCGGGCAGGGCCTCGACGGGCCCTACATTGCCGGGCAGGAGCAGCATGGGCGCTACTTTGTCTACAAGTACAGCGCTCGCATGCACAAGATCGACCGCTTCGTCTTTCCCGCGCCAGGCACCGCCGTGCCGTTGCCAGTCTCACTGACCGACTCGGCTCTCTACGTGACGACAAGCGGCGGTCGCCAATCGGCACAGGCTATCTACATTGCGGGCACCCAGACCGCAAGCACTGGCTCGGTAGCCATTCTCAGAAAGCTCCGTAAGTGCTCAATGATTGTACGGAAATGGCAACATTAAAAAGACCATTCCTAAAAACTGTTTCAACTCAATCTCTGGAGCTGTTTTGGCCTTGTTAAGTCTCACACACGGAGCTCAGACTTCCAGACCGATCGCAATCGTAACCGATTGAAATCGCACAGAGAGTATCATTCTATCATCACCACAGAATTGTATTGGTGACTGCTTCTGTTTGCCAACTTTAACTCCTTCACGTGTGTGTGTGATAATGGAGTAGATTGTATTCAGCAAACAGCACTTTTAAATGTTTCGTTTGACAATACAGTAGGCATCCAGCTGACGATAATACATCTCGGGTTCATCCTAACACCTTCCACGGGAGAATTATTATTCTTGTAGGCCAAAATAAAGTGCGCAAAGAGGGCTAGATCAGCACGATAATGAGTTTTGTTCAATTTTATCAGTCTCTGACTGGCATCATGCTGCATTACATGATATGCCAAATAGCGTGAAGCTAGACGTGGGAGAGCATTGCAGAGCAAGTGCGTACAGAGTTCAAAGTTGCATGGTTACCTGTGACTTGTGCTCCTGCAGAGCTCAGCGCCTGCCATATACACACTGTAGTATGATTGGTATGCAAGTGGTGTGCAATGCACTCCCAAGTCTAGCTTCACATTATTTGGCATATCATCTATTGCCACCTCTGACTTTGTGCTTCCTGTTGTGTTGTACAACATACAGTGCTTGTTGATAACTGCAACGCCGGCCAGTGCAGTGTTCCGCAAGGCCACTGTATTGACTTCATCAACAGCAGCGTGTGCCAGTGTCAGCCAGGATACGCAGGGTTGGACTGTTCGGTGAACGTGGACGAATGTGCTAGCTCGCCGTGTCTCAATCAGGCAACGTAAGCCGCTGTAGTCAGTGCGCGTGTGTGTTTGTGTGTGTGTGTGTATGTGTATGTGTATGCACATGTACGTGTATGCACATGTACGTGTGTGCACGTGTATGAGTGTAGCATACATGTGCATGCGTGTGTGTGTATGCGTACATACATACATACGTCCTTACATTATTGTGTTCAGATTTTGCGTTAGAGAAATGCATGTTTTACTAATTAGAGTAACTGGAGTGCTGATGTGAGCAGAAGGAAATACTGTCCCTGTGAGCCAAATTATAGTTAGCAAAATTGGGGTGATCTTTCTCCGGCACTTTCAAATTCCTTTCTCAAGCGCTCATCTAAGCAACTGTCTCTTCTCTCCGTTCAATTCCCTCACAGCTGCCAAGACCTGGTCAACATGTACAATTGCACGTGCCGACCTGGTTTCCATGGAGACCGATGCCAGAGTGCCACTAACGACTGCCAGTCGAGTCCGTGCATGAACGGCAACTGTCGCGACACGCCGTCGGGCTACTCGTGCGTGTGCCAGACGGGCTGGACGGGCCAGAGGTGCGACGCCAGCGTGGACGATTGTGCGCGTGTCAGGTAAGGCCCCGTACTGTGGAGTATTTATATTTATGGTGTAGAGCCGTGAAAGGGAGTGCTGTTTGAGTTCTAAAACAGAACCTCCGTATGTTTGAATTGGCGCGATGGCAATACTGTAATCGAGCGCTTAGTCTGGTAGTGTTCAATGAGTACAGTCGGACCTCGCTTATCCGGTCCTCTTTTATCCGGATCCCTCGCCATCTGGAAGAAAATCGTTGGTTACCGATTTACAGCATAATGCCATGTATCAATACAGTATGTGTGCTTGATTATTCGGTTCCCTCGCCTATCCGGCTACTTTTGTGGATAACGGATGTGTGCGGTTAAGCAATGTCTGACTGTACACTCTTCTTACTGGTTGTCATCGCTTTCATATTATTGGGCAGAACTGCCCGTTTGACATGCGATGTAAAATAAAATAAACAACGCCAACAACACTGTCCCTCAAAGGCTGCACTGGCTTCATGGCTACACAAGACCAGCAGAAGCAGGTTTCGATTGTTCCCGCCTTACCAAAGTCTTTCATAACGTTACTTTGCGGATAGTAATTTAAATTACACGTGTCGGTAGGCCAAACAGTTGTTCTGGTCACGGCCTGACCAACCAGACCGGCTCAGCCGTCCCTGTGGTACTACAGTCAGACCTCGCGTAACCGCACACATCCGTTTTCCAGAAAAAATATCCAGATAGGCGAGGGAACCGGATAATCGAACACATACTATAATTATTATGTATGCTTGACCTATGCTGTAAATCGGTAACCAACGATTTTCTTCCGGACTTCCGGACGGTCTTCCGGACGGCGAGGGATCCGGATAAAAGAGGACCGGATCCGCTAGGCTTATGCACAGATATACAGCATTCCCTCACTAGTGGGACCATTGTTATTAGGCTAGGGCCTGTTTTGGACTTCCCACTCTAAATAAAGAATACAAACAAACAAACAATAAGCGAGGTCTGACTGTACAATGTAGCATCTGTATTTGATCAACTAGGGCTTGGCTGATACTTTACCTCTCGGAGGATGTAGAAATTTAATGTTGGCACTGTAAGGTACGGCCATTAGCCTGCCTGGGTTCGACTGCGTACATTGCCTCTGTAAACCTGGCATGTGTTGAGCCTTGTGCGCAGGCAATGGGTGTGATCCAGCACTTGACGATGCTGTATTGTTTTGTTTTCGTTTGTTTGCTTCATTTGAATTCGCAGGACCAAACGAGCATAGATTCTCAATAGCATGGTAGCAAATTATGGAGGGGGAAGTGAAAAGAATGGGTGATGAGAGAAAGATAAAAGAAAGCATTTCTGTGTGGTTGTGTGCTGCAGTTGCGGTCCAGGACAGTGCATTGACGGCAACCAGTCATATGCATGCAAGTGTCCAGCTGGCTACAAGGGTACACACTGTGAAGTGAACATTGATGAATGTGCATCCAACCCATGCACTAACAAGTGAGTGATGAGTATTCGTGATCAATATAGGCAATGTGGAAGCCGGAGTTGGGTTGTTGGTGTCTACACCCGCCCGTCCCACCAGCACACACCCACCCACACACACTTTCTCCCACTTTCTCTCCCTCACTCCTCACTTTCCTCACTTTTCCACTCTCTCTCTTCTGTCCTTTCTCTCTCTTTCCTCTCGCTCTGCCTTGTCTCTTTGTCTCTTTGTCTGTGAGTCGCTTTGTCCGTGCCTCTGTCTGTCTCTCACTGTTTGTATTCCTCCCCTCATGCATACGAGTTTTCATCAGACCCATGGTGTCTTTGCATAGAGTTGAGTGAATTCCATTGCTACCAAATTCTTTGTATCTGTATATCATGAGCTACACGCCTCTCTCATTCATCCTGTGTGTCCTATATTACCTCTTGCACCATACACGTGCAGTGGAGTGTGTGTGGACAAGGTGAATGCATTCCAGTGCCAGTGCCCAGTGGGTACACACGCTCCGATCTGCCAGGACCTGGATGACGCCTGCGCCAGGACACCGTGTGCTAACGGCGGCATTTGTACGGATCTCATCAACGACTTCAAATGCACATGTGCCACCGGTGAGTGTCGACGAACTTAGCAAGCCACTGGCCAGTGATGTGTGTGTGTGTGTATTGACATTTTAGGTTGGAAGAGATGCACCGAAAGTATGGGAAATAGTGGTTGACCAAATAGTTGTGAAGTAACAGTACACTGTCTCCGGATGTTTGTTTTCTCCGGATGTTTTTCTCAACCTATTGTTTGCATTACCTACCCCCCTTGTCCAGGTTACACTGGCAGAAGATGCGAGGCGTTCGTTGACACATGCAAGAGCAACAACTGTTCATCGGGCTCGACCTGCCAGAATGTCAAGGGCAAGTACTACAACTGCTTGTGTCAGCCGGGCATGGCCGGAAAATTCTGCAGCGTAAGTCTATGTATAAATGAATGAAAATGTTGGTTTATTTAGCCTACAAGGTACGAGTTTTAAATGTTGGTTTTCTTTTTTTTCTATTTTATTTTTCCACAATCACGTGGCACTAGCCAATGAAAAGGTGATGTGCGCGATAGCCAGCCATGGCGACAATAGAGGGGAGAAGGTTTCATTCGGCTCTCCCATACCAGATCAGTGCAGTACATGTACGTCAAACTGCCCAGCTCCTCTAGGGTGTGTGTGTAAATGTCCATAGTTGCATGTACGTTTTCCCGTTCGTCCTTTCCGGCAGCGAGGAACAGTCGACCCCTGGTATAGAGTGGTGGTTGCTGGTACAAAGCATGGTCTTTTACAATGAGCTCATTTGGCAAAAAAAAAAACTTCAAGCCATGATGTCATAACCATTGCCCTGTAGGTATAATAGACTCTAAGACCGATGGTGATTCTTGATTCAGTAAACCTGTCAAGGCGACCACCTGTCCTAGAATACTGCTGCAACCAGGACCAAGGGATGCTACTTCCAGTCAAATGACCCCTAATAAGGAGGCCACCTGGTAACAGAGACCCCGTTTTGGATGGTCCCCTGGGCAGTCTCGTCTTAGACAGGTTTCACTGTCGTGAACACAGAACTTTACCAAATTGTGAATCTGATCAAGTCTGGCAAGTACATGATGGGGATTACCCCAAAGAAACTTCTATGCGTGGCCATTGTTAGGTGCAGGGAATTTTCTAGAACCGCCCCAACCGGTTTTCGACCGGTTGAAATTGTTGGCGACCGGTTGAAAAGTTACAAATCAGTTCCAACCGCCCGTACTTTTCTGTGGGTGAATGGAGCTGTGAATGGTCAAACGCTTTTTTCTGGACGGATACTTCCAGCGAAGCCGCGTGGGCTGGTACTAGGGTCACGAGTTTGTACGGTCCGTACGGTCGAACCATGTCGAGTGCCATATTTGGGTTGTATTTTGAAAAACATTTCCGCGGGGGACCCCCGGACCCCCACTCTTCATTGGACCGTAACCGGTTGGAAATTCGTCCTAGAATATACCCTGACTGGTGGGAATAAAACGTCCGTCCTGATCCTTTTCACCTGGTGCAGTTTTCCTGCTCACGGCGAGGAGACGAGTAAGACAATGTTGTGAGTGTGAGTTTCAAACACACTAAGGCAATCATCAGCCAACAGTTGATCACGGGGCGTAGCTGGTCCCCCTTCAAGGGGAGTGCACAGCCGCATATGTGTAGGACGGCTGGTGCATGTCATTCATGGTCATTATATGCATGCTGAACCCAGGTCGAAATGTTCAGAGGGGTGCAACCCCCCCGTGTCCCAAGTGAGCTGCACGCGTGGTTGATTGCCTGCTTATGAGTGAAACTCAAAATCACGCCGCTTTCTCGCTCGTCTTCTTGTTGCAAGTAGCTGTGTCCTTGGCCATCGAGCACTCCATTGGACAGTCTGGGACCTTTCTGTTTTTCCACAATACTGCTCAGGTTGATGTTGATGAGTGTGCAAGCAGCCCATGTAAGAACGGTGCAACTTGCCAGGACCTGATTGCTCACTTCAAGTGCAAGTGTCCAGCCACACACAACGGAATACTTTGCGATACCAAGGTGAGCATGGAGTGTGTTGTCGACATGCACCCATCCTTGTGCGCATACACACAAGCGCGCACAGACACACACACACACACGTACACACACACGTACCCCCCCCCCCACACACACACACGTCTGTATGTCGTCACGTATATTTGTTATAGCATAGTGCTTTACTGGCCGGTGTTCCACCATGCATGTATGTTCATACTGGAAACTCATTGGAGAGTGTATTACAGGAGAATGGCATAGGTATGAATGGAAGAATGCTCCGAAGAACTAACCATGACTAGAACAAAGACCGATCATGGATGATAGGCTTCTGGTCTTCCTAAAACCCCGCTCCAACCTTTGAAATACATGTACTCGATATCTGGCAGCTCCTGTAATGTCATTTCTCTATCCATCCATCTATTTATCCATTTCTCCATCTATCCCTCAATATATTTTCGTTTTGTTTTCCAGATCCCGTCCACGACTGTTGCACCTGTTATTACAACCGAGAGCAAGGACTTCCCCAACATCATCGACGTTGGTAATGCGGACCAGGTGGCTGACCTGATCCTGGATAAGCTCACCGTAGATGAGCTGTCACCGAGCGTGATCAACGAGGTGGCTGGTAAGGAATAGTAGCTGTCTAGTATGTACGTCATTGTCCTCTAATGTCGCTCAGCATGTAGTTTTCACTGCATTCGGCCTTTAGAGAACGGTATGGAATACCTAGTCGAAACTTTGTGGCTTCTGTGCTTGGTGCGTTGGTTCGCTTCCCTCTAACCAAGAATCTTTGGTGGAACAAAAAACGATTTTATTTTACTCGTAGTGAGTATACTGCTATTGGAGTGTTGGAGTGATGTTTCACAAATATGTTTCATTGAAGTAGATTTTCGATGTCCTATGTGTGTGTGTGTGTGTGTGTGTGTGTGTGTTTGTGTGCGTGTGTGTGTGTGTGTGTGTGTGTGTGTGTGTCCTCTAGATCACATTGCTGACCTGCTGTCGCTGCGCGGCGCTAGTGCAGCATCACAGGACAAGGCCCTGCAGGCCGTCGACTCCGTCCTGACGGCCAGCCCGGACGCGCTGCGCAGCAGCAAGGACGGCGCCAAGAACATCTCGGTGGCGCTGGAGGGCTTTGGCGGCACCTACCTGCACGGCAAGCCAGACGGAAACAGCTTCTCCAAGCCAATGTGAGTCATGGCTCTATCTAACCAGGTGTCATATTCTATTCCAGGGGTGTCGGAAGGTATTTCAGTGTGGTACGGTCAGCCATCTGAAGTACAATTTACTCGTGGGGGATGGATGGCTGAGCCGAAAATTTTGGAAATTTAGAGCCCAAATCGGTGTATTGTATTGAATCTCGGGGTACTTGGGGCAAATAGCGGTACGGTCAATACCGTAGTGACCGTACCGTGTGCGACGCCCCTGTATGCATCAGAACCTACCTTCACCGGATGCTCCTGGTGCAGCGGAATCTACCATGATATCCGCCATTGATCCATGGATGCACGTTCGATCCACAGCTCTTTGGTGCATGAAATTCTGTCCAGTCAATACAGGATTGTGCATGGTACACGGTCCGGTAAACGCAGGTTCACTGTAATTTTGTTACATCCTGGGACCGCAATCGCGTTCAAGAGAAACACGAAATTTACCAGTCGTGTGACTTGTCAACACGTTGTTATCATGAATATTCTAAGCAGGCGTTTTCTTTTCCCCATAACTCTAATCAAATCTCTTCTCTTTTCTGTTGGAGCTAGGTGTCAGGTCGTTGAATGTCTGGGTACTCTGTCAGTTGTGTGCCTAGCTGCTGCACCTTCAGACTATATAGTTATGGAAGCTAGTTAGGTTTACTCACACCCGTACGTCCCTTTACTTTGTACATTCCACGCAAAGTGGTCATTGGCTACCCCAGCCATGTGTTGCTTGGAATAAAATAAATAAATAATTAAATTATCTTGTTGTCATGTGATAAGTAGAGCGTCCATGACTGTTGTCAGTGTTGATGCCATTGGGAAACCTACGTATTTTTACAGCTCGTCAAGTTTAAATTTCTTTTTCTTTTAGAAAGAAATATGTTTTGCTTTTTCATTATTTTGTTGTGCCAGGCCAGTGATATCATGTTCTATGATTGTTCATATAAAGGGCCTTTCACACAAATTCTTTTTACATCTAATCCGAGCCGGGGCATGTGCATTGTGTTTCTACCTCCTCTGTGCAGGGAGAACATAGCTATCAGTGCTAAGAAAGTCTCCCGCCAGTCCTTCACCGGCATTCGCATGGGCGTCTATCGGCATTCCGGCGGCAAGGGCAAGGTGAGTGAAGCTGGCAGTCGAGAGTTCCAGGGGCGGATCCAGAGATTTCTACAGAGGGGGTTTCCAGTTTTAGCCAAAACTGGATAGCTGATGCCTGTATGTGTATGTGCATATGGTTTTCAGTATTACCTTTCCGAAATTCAGGGGGTTTCGCGTAATCCAGGAATCCCCCACCCCTCCTGGATCCACAACTGAGTCAACTCCACTAGACTTGCTAAAGGCAACAGCCTGATTGAAATGCCATGGTTGGCTGTCACCTTTCATTCGCATTAATTTATTCCTGGCACTCGTTGGACGAGCCATGAAATGTTGAATAGTATACGAATACTTGTGTTCCGCACTCGGCTTTGCACAAGCATGTTTAGCACTCTTCTGCATCTTGCAAGGTCACCTAAATCCCATAGTCTGATGGCTTCACTTCAAATCGAATCGTTCAGGCAATTGCAATCTTTCAGATTGCAGAAGAAATCAGATTTCTCATCATAACGTCCATGTCCATCAGCATGGAGAGTTTGATGCCTGCATCAGGGTTGAATAACTGCTCTTTGTGGAGTCGTTTGAATAGACATGGCATCTTTAATTTTTTTTGTTCAACGTCTTTGTGTGCACATGTGCGCGTGTACATGTGTGTGTGTGTGTGTGCACGTGTGTGTGTGTGTGTGTGTGCATGTGCATGCATGCGTGTGTGTTCATGTACGCCTGTGTGTCACTTCAGCTCATGCTGGCCAACACCAGCGCCACGCATCACGCGCCCAGCCGACCAGCGGGCAGCGGCGACGAACTCGCCGACATCACCGTACCGCGTGAACTGCTCAACACCAACAACCCCAGCGTGGTCAACCTGGTTCTCTACGACGACGACAAGCTGTTCGTACGCAAGACCGTGCCGGACTCGGAGAGCATTGTGTCCCCGGTGGTGGCGCTGAACGTCAGCGGAATTGACCACGCACACCTGGCCGAGGACGTGGTGTTCACGCTCAGGCACGACGCGTGCGCCATCAATGTGACATGCGAACATCGATGCGTTCACTGGAACTACGAGAAGAGAATGTGGTCTAGCGAAGGTAAACATACATGCGTCATACAATTACTGCAATGTTCATATCATCAAATAGGCAATGGGAAGTCAGCGTTGAATCTCCTTTCCTTTCTAGGTCGACTAACGGCCATTCCACTAGACTCGGGCGGGTTCTTGAAGTGTTAACACATCAACTTGCATCCCTGTTTCCCGTCTATCACAATGCTCAAGCTCACAGTGGTGTGTCGTGTTTTGCTGCTGGTTTCTGGATCACGTAGGGTGCCGCAAGATTTTCTCCAATGTGACCAGCACCAAGTGCAGCTGTGAGCATCTCACAAACTTTGCCATCCTGGCCAGCTACTCGCCAACCATGGATGAGCACACGGAGACGCTGTCCATTATCAGCTTGGCCTGTGGTATCCTGTCGATGATCGGGCTGGGATTGACCTGCATCGTCATTGCACTGTTCAAGGTAGGTCGAATTGGCTGGTTCGCTGTCTTCCCATGTGTGTGTGTGTGGGAAGGGGGGGGGGGGGGGGTGTAAGTGTGTGTGTGTGTCTTTCTATCACTATGCATGTATAACCAGAATGTGTGCCTGTCTGCCTGCCTACCTGTCTCTCACTCACTCACCTACTTCCTCTTTCTGTCCTTCCTGCTTACTCTCTGCTCCGCACCATCAACTCCCCACCACGAGCATCTTCCACTGCTTGTATTTGATATACTCACCCACTCGCCACTCACTCATTCATCATCAACCCTGCATTGATAAACACACTGCTTTCCCTTGCAGACATGGCGATGACTTGCTTTCATTATAACACCATCAGCCAGACCAGTTGCTCTGCAACGGCACAGCTCACTAGCGATAGCTGTACGGAGTGATAAGCATGCAGAGCGACTCCCTGTTCAGACAGTCCAGAAGCCTGCCCATACACCCAAGCTGGACAGAACAATGAAGTAAATGTGTTTGCTGCTGTTATGCTTCTCTGCTGCTGCTGCTGCTGCTACTGTTGTGTTAGAAACTACGCGGTATGAGTGCCATGAAGATCACGTTCTGCTTCAGTTTCTGCATGTTCTGCTCACTGCTCTTCCTGCTGGTGGGCGCGGAGAGCACCGGCAGCAACACCACGTGTCACGCCATGGCCATCCTCATGCACTTCTTTGTCCTGGCAACTATGTGCTGGTGAGTGGGGGGGGGGGGTAAGAGGAAAGGGGGGGGTAAGAGGAAGGGGGGTAAGAGGAAGGGGGGGGTAAGAGGAAAGGGGGGTGGCGAATCTCCATGAACAACAACCAACCAACTTCTTCAGCACGCACACTAATCTTGATAGGTAGGAATGTGGTTGCTCTTGTGACTGATAGCTATGTCCATGATATACATAATTACACAAAAAAGGCACAAAAAAGGTTTACAGAGTTCGTTGCAACTCCGGGTTTCTTGCACAATGCAAACATCAGGTGACTTAGAGTGCTCCATGTTACTGGGTTGAGCCCTCTCCGCTGGCTAAAGGAAAATTTCCTCCTTTACATGATTTTTATTATACAGATTGAGCACTGTCAGCACACTGCAGGGATGAATTTATCGGGTATCGCAGCGCAGTTTGCTACGCAAAATCGATCTACTGTTACTCAAGAATCACAGTGACACGCAGAAAACTGCGATACATACATGTACAGGCTATTCATGCTTTTTGTAGCTTACGCCACAATTGAGATTTTGCATAGGAAAAACTGCTATGCAAAAACATGGCAGTAAATTCATCCCTGCACTGGGTACATCCTCCGGTGATTTTTATTATAAGTATTAAAAACGGTCTCCGTTACGTTTCAATGTTCACTGCAGTTAGCTGCTCAATGTGTTCTGTCGTGTGCGGCGCGTGTGCTTTACAGGTCGTTGGTGATGGCCATCAACCTGTACCGCAATCTGGTGACAATTTTCAGCCGCAAGTCCAAGAACATCATGAACTACTACCACTTGATCGGCTGGGGTGAGTACCATATTGTCCGGAGTATCAGCCACACCTAACTTAGAAATTGTTATCGATGAAAGTAAATTCTCAGCCAACCCTCGGTGGGATGACGATTTCTGACGGTTATCACATGAATAACGATGTTCAAATCTTAAGGTTTTGTTCCATTGTTCTTGTGGTATGAGTGCGCTGACTTTACTTTCATCGATATTAGGTTTCTTGTCTCCACGCCGACCTTTTTAGAATTTTTTTGTAACGAAATACACACATCTACCCTGTTTGTCATTGCTAATTCGACTATCGCAATGTGAGCCGCATCGACTTGTTTTTCAAGTGGTTTACTTTTGTTGTTTTTTTAGTGCTCCGTTCTTCGGTGCCCGGTAGTACTGTCTTGTCTCTCTTTATCTCTCACTCCCCCGCCCTTTCTTTCATTCTATCTCTCTCTCTCTCTCTCTCTCTCTCTCTCTCTCTCTCTCTCTCTCTCTCTCTCTCTCTCTCTTTCTTTCTCTCTCTTACTCACACATACACACACACACACACACACACACACACACACACACACACACCCTATCACCATGCCTCTCTCTCTTATGATTCTTGTTCTGCATTGTCATTGTGCGTGCACATGTGTGTTTTGTGTATGTGTGTGAATGTGTGTGGATATGTGTGTGGATATGTGTGTACGTGTGTGTGTGTATCTGTGTATGTCTGCATGTGTACTACAGGTATTCCTTCCTGTATGGTTCTGATTACCATCTTGGCTGAGTTTGCTGGCCACCAGGACGTCTACGTCTCGAAGCACTAGTACGTATTCTTCATAGCTGCCGGCCGGTCTGCGTACATGTGTGTGGGTATGTGTGTGTGCACGTCTGTGTATGTTTGTGTGTGTGTGTGTTTGTATGTACGAGCGCGGGCGTGTGTTGACGAGTGTGCGAGCGTGTGTGTACGTATATGTTATCTCTATGCAATTAACAAACCTCCCACTTTCTCTTCATTTGCCCTTGCAGCTGTTGGTTCAAGAGCAGCTCTTGGTACTTCGGCACCTTCATCGCTGAGATGGGTGCTATTTGGCTGGTCAACATAGTTGTCTTCATACTGGTACTCAGGACCTTGAACCGCAAGAGCATCTCCAAGTACGACGTCAAGAAGTAAGTCACTCTGAGGTGCAGGAAAGCGTAAAATTGAGAAAAATAATGCAGAATGCACAGTCGATAGTAGACGGTCTACCCATGTCTGAAAGGGACGAAGAGGTTAAGTACATGTATAGTAGAACCTGTCAAGGCGGCCACTCGGATAAGGCGGCCACCTGTCCTAGAAGACCACTGGAATCAGGAGCAAGGGATGCTATTTCCAGTCAATTCACCCTGGATAAGGAGACCACCTGGTAACAGGGACCACATCTTGAAGGTCCCTTGAGCGGTCGTCTTAGACAGATTTCTCTGTATATTCTTCCATATTATTAAGGAACGTTTTCTAGAGTCAAATATCAGTGGAAGATTATCGTCACTAATTCACTTTCAAAGACAAGAAATCACCTTGATCAATTTTCTTGGATTTGTGTCGAATTGTTGACGCGCAATCCACACGTGCAAAAAGATGGTGTAGATGAAGAAAAAGAAGAAAAAAAGAGGACGAATGCTCGCATGTAGACTCTCTGTACCTTTTCGCTGAGATTCGCATTGGCAGCCTGACAACCAGTTGCTCTATCTATACTCTACATGCTCAGTTTAGAGCAGGGTATGACCAGAAGTAGATAAACAAGAGTGTGCAACTCCGGATCTCTCCTGCATAATCTGCAGATACCCCCGCCCACGGCGGAATTTTTTGTTGACGTCACCTTTTTTCAGAAGAACGCGCATTTCGCCGCGGAGCAGTGTGAGAGCACGTGCTGGGCACCGACCTTGTAGTGTAAAGCCGGCCAAGAGCACGAGGGAAAACTTTCCGAAAGCCTCGCAGCTCGTGCGTCGTCGAAGAGATTACGTCAACAAAAAATTCCGCCGTGGGCCTACCCATCCGCGAGTTTCACACTCTTGTTTATCTACTCTTGGTATGACTGTTAACACACGTCTCTGCTGCTAGTGTTTACCGGGTGTTAGCGGCCATCGTGAGTTCCCTTCGAGAACGGACACGATAATTTACTTTTTTTTTAAACACATTTCTGCTGTCAGTAATAACTGGTCCTCTCTCTCTCTCTCTCTCTCTCTCTCTCTCCCTCTCTCTCTCCCTCTCTCTCTCTCTCCCTCTCTCTCTCTCTCTCTCTCTCTCTCTCTCTCTCTCTCTCTCTCTCTCTCTCTCTCCCCTCTCTCTCTCTCTCTCTCTCTCTCTCTCTCTCTCTCTCTCCCTCTCTCTCTCTCTCTCTCTCTCTCTCTCTCTCTATCTATCTATCTATCTCTCTCTCTCTCTCTCTCTCTCTCTCTCTCTCTCTCTCTCTCTCTTTCTCTCTCTTTTTACCTACCACAGGGGCCGTGCTCAGACCAAGATCAACTTGACCATCTTCAACCAGCTGAGCATCGTCTGGGTGTTTGCGTTCGTGGCTCTGGCCAGCACAGGCACCACTGCGCGCATCTTCGAGTACCTGTTCGCCATCGCCACCACGCTGCAGGGCCTGGGCGTGTTCGTGCTGTGCGTGGTGCTGAACCGCGAGATACGCAACACGGTCCGCGAGACGGCCATCTCCACCGGCCTGCTCTCCACCAGCAGCAGCAGCGGCGGCAGCTCCTCGCTGGGCAAGACGCGCAGCACCTCGGCGGGCGCCAGCCGCTTCAGCCGCATGAGCCGCTTCAGCCGCACCAGCCTGGCCAGCCTCAACAAGCCGTTCAGCAGCCTGTCGCGCAAAGACAGCCAGCGCAGCAACGGCAGCAGCAAGAGCGGCGAATCGGCTTCCAATGGCAGTGTTGTCCTGGGCAACGACAGCCTGCGCCGCAACTCGTCGCTGAACCGCAAGGACTCGTTCGGCACGTCGACGCTCGGAAGACACAACGAGCACGAGGAGACAATGATGATGGCCGGCAACGCAGCCATCACCAACCCGCACTTCAAGCAGGCTCCCGACAGCACCAGCGAGTCTTCCTCCGTCGCCTCGGCATAAACTGTCAATGGCCAGAATAGCCGACTGCATGTCACAGGCATGAGCGTGCTGTGTCTGTGTGGAGTGTCTTGCTCTGCACAGATGTCCAAGTTCATCATAAACTGCAAATGCCCAGAATAGCCCGCTGCATGGCAGGCATGAGCGTGCTATGTCTGTGTGGAGTGTCTGCTCTGCACAGATGTCCAAGTTCACCATATCCTCGTAGTCGAAGATCTGATCCAAACCGGGGTCATAGAGCCATTGTCAATCCTCTGCAATTTGTTCACGCTTAGTTTGATCTGTCCTCAATTGGCAAGCTTTCTCCTTCTCTAATTTCGTCCACATCAATCCTTTTTTTCGACCAAAGATTTGTTGTAGCAGCATTTGCTCACTAACTGATTAGGTATCCAGCGATCATTGACACATGTTCACACCTAGCTTGACTTGATATTTGCCGATAAGTATATTCATGACTTTCATATGTTCAAATATTTTCGAAGTAGAAGCAGGTCTTCTCGTTTCTTTCCCTTTCACACCAATCACTTGCAATCCCTATTGTTCAGGGTACTTGTGACACTTGAATTCTTCCTTTGGACTTTCCCCCTTCTTGTGCCCCCCCCCCTTTCTCTCTCACTCTCTATTTCCGCTGCAGCACGCATTCGTTGATAATTGTTGTAGACTGCATAATCTAGAAAACTGTCACACAGCGTGGTCCTTTCTGCTCTCCTAAATTCATTATTGTTTTCACACACCGTATGCCATCAAGCAGGGCTTGCAGTATTCGTTTTCTATTTTGTAAATTTTCTATTGTGTTTGGACAATCAAGGTTTTTGCTCGCCTTGTGAACGCACTCGAGTGCAGCTCTTCTTAACGCAATTCTTCCTGAAGCTACATGCCCAACCATACTGACGCACTACTACCTGGAAGTAGTCTTATTACTACTACTACCTGGAAGTAGTCTTATTACTACTACTACCTGGAAGTAGTCTTGTTATTCCAATACTAGTAGTAGTGTAGTTGTAGATGATGAAATTATGACTCTGGAAGAAATAAGACAACCCCTCTGTCTTGGTGTCTGTTGGTGTGTGGTGTAGACCAGGCTGAATAGTGGCGGTCAATTCTTCAGCCTTGCAAGCTGTTGAATGGTGCAATCCCAGCACAAGTTACTATGGCTTCTGCTGTAGCAGCTCTATTATTCAGCGGCCTCCGGCGATGGGCGTCAAATGGTGTGTTTACCGGACTAATGATTTCGCACTCATAGCAGCTCGACTGGCTACATGCAGCACAGGACACGTAGTCTACGAAACAGCAGCAGGCTTTGTGGTCCACTGGTCTTGGCACTTTCACAACAACAAACACACACGCACACAGAAGTCTCTGCTGTGAGCACGGTGGGTCGACATGCAATGGTGACTTCGCATGGAGTTTGAGCACATAATTAAGCTCAAGTTACCCACAAAGACATCGGCTTTCCAACTCTTCGGCCATTGGAAAGCGTACCATCTCCATAAACCTCGGTGCCCCATAGAGGGAATTCACTGAGACATAGAGTACTATGACACTCTGTCATGAATATACGGATGCCGACTCGTCGCCGAGGAGATGACCAGGGCGCTTATGACCGATGATACAAACCGACCGAGTGAAGTGATATTATGATGTAACACTCTCAACACCGGTTTGGATACAAATCGATATACAGTCAAATTTGCTCTGGGCATGGTCAGTCTGTCATTATTCGCGAATTGTCGTTATATCCGCATTCGTTAAATTATTAGTTACAGCGAAATTGACTGTAGCTGCATGCCAGGGGAAATGCAGCCCTCTTTGGTCCTTGCACCCCGTGGCACAAGATACTTGCTGCACCCACGCCCACTGACAGCAAGCCTACATTCGCTAAAAAACACCACCTGTGGCTTGGCAGTGCAGCCATGCTCACCAGCAGGCACCACGGACACAGGAAAACTCACCGTGCAGGGGGCATCGGAAACGGTGAGGCAGGCAATAATTTCGTCTTGCGATTTTGACGCAATACTATCGGATATAATTGGGCACACTGTACTGTTCCACCCCCCCCCCCCCCCAACCACACACACACAAACACCTCATGTCCGCACCAATGTTGAATACCTTCAGACGCCCCTGACACGGGGCCCCCAACGCCCCCGCCACGGGCCCTGAAGCCGCTCAGCATACAAGATACGAGCAGGCGGCCGTGCACAGGTCTGCACACGTCCACATGTACACAAGACAGCGACATCGGGCCGGACACGTGCTGCAACAACACAACACAACCCATGAAAAACAATCATAGAAAAAAAGTAAACACAAGGAAAGACTGTATGAAGACGATCCAACATATGGCAAGCACGGACGCTTTTCCTAAAAGTCGAATTAAAAATGAGTCCTAGAGTTTGCACATTAAAACCAGATGTACACTAATAATAAACAAATCAAACGGCCCATTCCAGGGACCAAGTAGAGAAAGAAAATCAAAGACAGTACGAGAATATACGGCCTAAAATAATTGGTCGCCATTTGACGGGGACGGGGAGGACAATTTTGGATGAACGAGTTGAGTTGTCCGCCGCTACTCCGTAAAGCTAGAGAGAGCGACAGAGAGAGAGAGAGAGAGAGAGAGAGAGAGAGAGAGAGAGAGAGAGAGAGAGAGAGAGAGAGAGAGAGAGAGAAGAAGAAGAAGAAGAAGAAGAGAGATATATATGGAGATAGATCAGCGATGATCTGTCGTTGCCGCACATCGCGTCATCACAGAAGGCGGGCTGGCTCCTGCAGCAGGCACGCAGTCCCCGGGTGTGACACCAGACTCGTTTGAATCGCCGTGGCAATGACGAGGACAGAGATCATGATGATAATGATGACAACTATTGCGGTCATAACACACACACACACACACACACACACACACACACACACACACACACACACACACACACACACACCAAGGAGATACAATCGACGATGATGATGATGATGTCGTTGCTCAGGGCGGTCCGAGAACGATGGGCTGCGAATCGCCGGAGCCGGACGGCGGCGGGGTGGTGTTGTCGAAGCTCTGATAGGCACTGGTCGGTTCCTTGGTGATGACCTCGGTCTCGTCATCCGACGGCGGCTCCATGTCCGCGTCGTCGAAGTCCTTGGGCTTGCGGCACGGCGCACAGCAGCAGCATGCGCAGCAGCAGCAGTAGCACAGTGTGATGATGCCGCAGAAGCAGCACAGGCCCTGTCGACGCACACAACAACAGTAACAACACAACATACACAAAAATGAACCGAAAGGAAGAGAAATTACGGAGAGAAATAATAATCACCTGTTTGTGCATAGCCTCACACAGCCACACACTCATACACACACATGTGTTTCCACCTGCTGCCCCTGAGCCCGCCCACAACATCAAGTGAAACACTCCCACGCCTTCCAGTTCTCGGCTGTCAAACCCCTCCCAGCAACACGTCTTGACATCCTACACCGATCCTTCCCATTCGGTCTAATCTCCTAAAGGAATGCTCTAACTCGCTGTAATCCTGAACACTCCCCCATCCAAGGCAGCACTGCTACGCTTTATGGTAGCAGTGTACAAGTACCTCCTCGAGCAAACCTGTGCCACTGCCGTCGACGTGTATACCACAGACTAGCATACTAGCTGACGTAGTTACAAGGCCAAGTGGTGACAAACAAAAGCCGCGTCACCTGCACTTGTCGTGTTTCCAAAGGTCACGGCATCACTTTGACTGGGGCGAGCTGGTGCAAGATCGCGACTTCAAAATTTGTTTTTATTTCAAAAAGTAATAGTTTCTCCTTCGCTCTCAAGCCATCGTGCAGTGTTTTCCTGCTCAGTATTCACCAGCACCTGAGACTATGGGAGTTCTGATTTTCGCTTGCCGCTGGACAAGGAAACGAGCCCAGAGTTGGTTGGTCTCAGAACTAAAAGAAATCAGCGATCGCTGCGATAGAAATAACGGAGACACCCATCATTGCTTCTTGGCCGGTGACTACGTATAAAGCCGAACGACAGTACAGGCACAGCAGTGGCCAAGCAAAAAATCAGCTTCGGCTTCTCCTTCTCTACGAAGCGAAAACTACAAACTCGGCGACAAGTAGCAGTTTACTTGAAATAAATAGTCTCGCTGGCGCGCTCCTCAGTCAAAGTGATGCTGTAGCTGTGTTCACTGCATGCTGCTGCCACTGGAAACACGACACGTGCAGGTGTCGCAACTTTTGTTTGTCACCACTTGACCAAGTAACTACGCGTTGTCAAGAAGCTGTGACGTCAGACTTCGACGGCCTATTAGCAATCGAACCGCCCTACAGTCGACACAACCTGAAACGCTTTGCTCTCACAGAAGGTAATATGCCAGGCCGTATCTACACCCGATGAGAGTCATATTTGTTGTTGATTCATCTCCAAAAAAAATTGAAACAAACACAACATTCCGAGGTTCTGGCGATCTCTGTCCCGGGCGTTTCCACTGAAATCTACTGTCTTCTTCTCCTTTCCAACGAATGTTAAAATGTTCTAGTCATTTGCTTCGCGTGGATTCCATGGCCGAGGTATGCATGTATGTATTCTTTATCTTACTTCGCAAAGTCAAACAGGTTTTTTGCCCAATAATATGACAGAGGTAACTTCCACATCTGCGGATTACTGCAGTTTGATGTGGAAATTACCTCGGCCAGGGAATCCAAGCGAAAGAAACGCTTTTCTAAAAAAAAATATAAAAAACCAAGCCACCACCCGGATTCGAACCGGGGATCTCCTGTTTACTAGACAGGCGCTTTAACCCCTAAGCCATGGCGGCACGTGGAAGGTGAAGCCACTGTTTAGCTTTTGAAGGGTTAACAATCACGGGAAGTCTAGGCTGGCCTGAGAAGGTGCCGGCTTTCCAAATTTCGGAGATGCTTCAAGTCAAGATTCGTTATACAACAAATAGGGGACAGTACTGACCTTGCACCACCAGGTGTCAATCTTCAGCAATAAGTCAATGCCCTGGAAAACAAATCACAACACGAAAGCGTATGCACAATAACATTTGCACGTGCAGAGAGAATGTATACAGTACAGCAGCACAACTACCAATAGTTAGGGTTTAGACAGCAGGCGTGCAACCAAGATTATCGCACATCATGTGCACAAGGCACAGAGAGAGAGAGAGAGAGAGAGAGAGAGAGAGAGAGAGAGAGAGAGAGAGAGAGAGAGAGAGAGAGAGAGAGAGAGAGAGAGAGAGAGAGAGAGAGAGAGAGAGAGAGAGAGAGAGAGAGAGAGAGAGAGAGAGAGAGAGAGAGAGAGAGAGAGAGAGAGAGGAGAGCTAAAGAGAGCGGGGAGAAAGACTGAGAGAGAAAGAAAGATACTACAGTACTGCCGGGCGCCAGAGAACGAACAGCCAAGAATTTCACCAAGCACAGTATACCAATGTACACACGATGACTCAACTGTGCATAGACTGCATTACATGGAAATAAGAATGGCCGAGGCTACGAGGCTGACCCTCCCCCCAGTTTTCCGGCCACCAACAGTAGTGTAGACAGATAGAAATCACACAGCACATCATGACTGAAGATGGTATTGCCGGCACACATCAGTGCAAACTTACATCATCACCCAGCTGATCAGCCATCGTGAGGCCATAGTCGCCATATCGGTCATAACACTTGCGCTTCTTTGGGTTCAGCAAGACTGTCTTTGCCGTGTTGATCTGTTTAAACTGCAACGAGAGAAGGACAAGGAGATAGTGGAACGGAACAAAACGAAGACAAACAACAATATCATTGATCACACCGATGGACACGCATGCTTTGGCGAACAAAAGCAACGCCGTGATGTTGCAGTTGGTGCACGAAGCAGGACAATACACAAGCTCACTAAAATTTCGCTGAGTGCTATGTTGGTTCTGCTGCTCACGTGACGGTTGCAGGCAAGTTTCGCGGAGCAACTGTCTGGAGCCAGATGGTACGTGCAGGGTACAACGATGCACACTACACGCAACGGCTCAACTCCGTAACTCCGTGCCACAAGTTACGTCCATGTTACCTTTATCATTTTTTTTACATTTATTCTTCTTCACCATAGGTACAGGCATTGCTGCCTTCTTGCTGTGGATCATGAATGATGCCACAGCTCCCAGGATATGAAAAAAGAGGTCATCCAACATCGGATTTCTTTAACCCTTTGCATGCTGGGCCCCTATTCTCCAATCCACTGGCTTTCCAGCGCACTGACTTTCTTGGTGGAGTATGCACTCACAGCTCCGAACGAAATTTATTCTCATTTCACTCCACCTGTTGATGGATTTTCATCGTCCTGGGCTCGTTGGAAAGATCAGGACCAAGCGAATCCATCCTGGCAAATCTCAGCTCCATAGACACATCAGGGCCACTTCCACGTCCTCTCCAAACTACTCCACCTTGCCTCAGAACGGCACAACAACTCCATTTCACATTCTTGTTCGGCTTCTTGCCCAAATTCAACGTATGTTCACAATTCAAACTGCGCTGGAAGGCTGAGATCCAAGCGCTTCATTTGATGTCCATCACGCATGCGCCGTGCCAAAGGGAAATCCCGTAGCACGCTCCTCAACAAAAAGAAGTCATGAACAAAAAATTCGCCTTCATTCTGGAACGTGATTTCCGTGTTCATCTTGTCGCCGCTCGATTATTTCTTATCCTATCGCGAAGAACTTTATATCCCCGGAAAGATGAGGTCAAGAACTTTCCAACGTATGTTGCGATGCGTTTATGTTTGACGAAGTTACGAAAGTTTGTACACTGGTCTATGCACTGCGATATATCGCGCGAATTTTTTGCGAGTTAACTCGTACGTAGTGGATCTGGTCATGCATAAAGCGCGAGTTAACTCGTACTCAGCATGCAAAGGGTTAACGAGTTTTATTTTCGCCTTTTTCGGTAAAAATTTCGGCACCGAAGTTACCGAAAATAAAACACCACGGGAAATTATTGCTTTTACAGTAGCTCCATGCCCATAGGCGATCACCAGACAACTGATAAATGAATGCACAGCCAAGATCCGAATATATACCGTAATGTTAAAGAGGCAGCGATGTGTGTATGCAAGAGTGAGGAGTTTCATACATGGAGTCAGTGGGCTAATCATACCCCCCCCCCCCCCCATGGTGTTGGCATCAATGCACGTACCTTTTCCGTGGCATCCTGGTTCCCTTCGCCGACATTCTTGTCCGGGTGGTGCTTCAGTGCAAGCTAGGACAAGGAAGAAAAGCACAGGAGAGACGACCTTCAGTAGGGTGCTCGACAAGTTTGGATAGTGGAGAGAGAGAGAGAGAGAGAGAGAGAGAGAGAGAGAGAGAGAGAGAGAGAGAGAGAGAGAGAGAGAGAGAGAGTGCTGCAACCAGTCTCAAGGCTCACACAGTAAACACACTACACTGAGCTGTTCGTTTTTCTTTATCTTTAGTTGTTGTGTCAGGCCAGTGATACCACGTTCGGTGATTGCCCGTATAAGAGGCTTATTCACACTAAGCTAAATGTTCTCCAGACAGCTCTTTTCAAAATCGATCACCGGGTAAAGAGACTATCTTCCTGCTTCCTCTGTGGATAGCAAATGAACATGAGAACAAGTTGAGTCTGGTCATTAGTGCCTGGTGGAGTTGAAAGGCAGCACCTCCTCAGAGTGTGAGGTGAATCTCTCCCCATCAGAGTGTGAGTGCTTGCTCTACCCATCAGAGTGTGAGGTCACTCGCTCCCCATGGGAGTCTGGGGTCATGTTTCCCCCATTAGACTGCGAGGTCACTTGCTCCCCATCAGAGAGTGTGAGGGCATGCACTCTTCACAGCCGGACACAGGGACACAGCATAGCATGCACACTAACACAAGGCATGACTGCAATCTAAACCCCCAAAAATGGCGCTGCTATAGGACAACATTTCCACAGAGGGGCGAGGTGATATGGAGAACGGCCGGACAGTTTTGAGAAGGTGACAAGGCGAGACATTAGCTAGGTTGTGTGGCATAATGCAATGGAAATGTGTTAGCGGGAAGCCACTGTGCAAACGTGATATAGTTTGACACACAGGGTAGGGTTTTCACTGGTTTGATGGAAAGACACAAACGGGAAAAGTCTGAGGAAAAAAAATAACTGTCACCACCAGGATTCGAACCAGGGACCTTCGCTTGAGGCCAGCAATGCTCTAACCACTGAGCTAAGGTGTAGCCGTCATCCCAGGATAGGGTTTCAAAACTTTACACTCTGAATAACATTTCAGACATGTATGAGAGAGAGAGAGAGAGAGAGAGAGAGAGAGAGAGAGAGAGAGAGAGAGAGAGAGAGAGAGAGAGAGAGAGAGAGAGAGAGACTACCTTCTTGTATGCACGCTTGATCTCTTCATCTGTTGCATGCTTGTCTAGACCAAGGATTTCATACAGATTCTGTGCCGGTGGGGTGCTTCCTCTGTATACCAACAACACAGATGATACGAAGCCACCAAGCAAACACATGCACACACACGCACGCACACACCACACACAAACACACACACACACCCACGTACACGCACACACAATGCTTCTACATCTACCCATACAGCTGTAACAGGAAATATGTAAATAAACAACGAGGCGACAATAGTTTTAGAATTGCGATTAACAAAACGAGCTGAACAGTCATTACACAAAGGCTTTCTTGTGTTTTTTCATCATTTCTTCCATATCACATTTGTTTTTCCTTCCCTGTTCTTCACCGCCATCGTATCCACTCGTGTTGAACACAGTAAAGCCTTTGTGAAAATGACTGTTCAGCTCGTTTTGTTTATCGCAATTCTATAACAGGAAATATGAAAAATAAAATAGAAGCCATCCACAGGAGATTTTCAACCTCATACATCAATCTACATGCAGAAGTAGCATCAACTAAGGGGCCGTCGAACTTTTTTCATCAAACGAAGTTTAGTTTACAGTCCATTCATAAAAAGATGGGCCCTGGCTCTGGCGAGCTCCCGTATTTGGCGATTTTTCGTGATTTCATCGTACACAGTGCAGTGCTGCGAAATTTGAAATTTGAAAAAGGGTCCAAAAAGGGTACCTGAACTTGGGTTCAAACCGCACAATGCACTGTTGCAGACGGGGTCAAACGGCCTGGATTTTTACGGTTTTTCCCAATTCAATGCTTTGGGGGCAAAACCTGGCCGAAATCCTATTCTTGTTATGGCTTGCTTTTTGGAGAAAAAAACTTCAGAAACATAATTGGAAGAGGATTCCATAGGGGATTGCAGAAAAAAATTCTAAAAAAACTCAAAGTTTGACCCATTTATGGCCAAAAGCTAGAAGTCCGTCTTTTTCTGAATGGACTGTAGGCCCAACCCCTCCCTCCCCCTCAGAACGTAAACAAGTTGTTGACATATACATGCATATGCAACAAAAGTCGCAAGCGTGTCAATGCTCCTATGGCCATGTACATCAGGGATGAATTTATCCGGTATCGCATCGCAGTTTGCTACGCAAAAAAATCGATCTACTGCTACTCAAAAATCACAGTGACACGCCGAAAACTGCAATACATACACATACAGGCTATCCATGCTTTTTGTAGCTTACGCCACAATTGAGATTTTGCATGGCAAAAACTGCTATGCAAAAACATGACAGTAAATTCATCCCTGTACATGTATCAAAGTTTTCTGAAACGAAATTGGTCAACCCGCATCCCACCCCATAACGAAAATTATTTCGTTTCGTTAAAAAAGTGCGATAATTATGGACGCCTCCTAAAACGTGGTAAACAAAGAACAGTGAGTGAGTTCGATTATGCGCGCTATTCACATCACCCCATGTGAATACCGTAGTGACGCACATAAAGGCACGTGCGCTTTATATGAGTGAGTTTTTGCGTTATTTGCTATTTGTTGCGGGTCGTTTTGTCTCACACATAGGCGCATGCGCTTGAGTTGCTAGTGTACCGGTACCTTGTATAATTATGCACATAGTGCAATACCGCAATGCACATTGAACTATGTGAACATGGTGTTTTCGTGGTGTCTGTGTGTCGCGGGATGGACTGCATTTAGGTTCACTTATAAGCCCATGCGCTTATTTGTGAGGGTGTGCTTATGCCCGGGTATAGGCACATGCGCTTATATGCGCGTCACTACGGTAGGGTGAATGGATTCCAGGGCTCATGAAAATCGAACGACTTGAATGCATGCGAATGGATTCATGAATCGATTCAATCCTGCGCTCGCCTGCTTTCCCAGACGTCCATTTGAGCAGTGGACGCCAGCACCTGTCTAATACATGTACCGTAGTGTCTTGTATCAAAGCCTGTTTTGAACACAAGCCTGATTTTCAAGATACACTTTCAGCACACACGCCTGGTTTTAGTGTTGACATACATAGATACCTGATTCGAATAGAAGCCTGTTGTGAATAGATGCCTAGCTGCCATCGGCTTTAATACGTGACATTACGGTAAGCTGCTAATGGCTGTTTTGCACTATGGTTTTTCATCTCGTTCAAGTCAAAGTGATCTTGTTGCGTTTGTGAAAGGTCAATGTGCGTGCAGCGAAGTCGTTGTATTCTTTTATTTCAATTCGCTCAGGGCACAGGCAATACTGCCTTCTCACCGGAGAGAGGATTCTCCGATTCCTACCAAAAACGAGAAATCTGCGATATGAATATGTATGAGAAAGATATGAGAAAAATGAATAATGATGATGTCGAAGTTTGGATTTTCACTTGCCCACGTATTTCTCTGCAGCCCCTGCCCCAAAATGGGGCGCATACTTCAGTCTTTGAGGACACACCGGCACGTTCCCACATGTCACGGTCCACACAGCACACGCACATGTAAAGAACTGTTGGTGTCATCATGTTCAAAATTTGGCCAATACATTTTTTACATCAGCCCCTGGAGGTGGATATTTCAACGACAACGGGTGCACAGCCAAATATCTCTCGCCACAGGCTACAGGCACTGCCCCTGTTGATACCGGCGATGCGTCTGTCAAGCAGCGGACATATACGCTGGAAGCTACAATTTCCTGCCCGCCTTGCTTTCCGTGAAAATGCTCGGTAAGTATTCTACTGATGTTTTTCAATCTACAACATGCATGAACACATAGGTGACTGGTCCCAGGAAATATACGAAGACGAGATCATGGGCGAGATGCAAGATAAGCTGTACAACATCGAGGCCTTTCGCTGGATGGAACAGCAAAGAAATTTCGATCGGTACACAACATGAATGTATCCATAACGCCATCACATTTTAACCAGATTTAAATTTTCAGTTCAAAACGAAGCGGAATTATCCCACCGTTTTGGTGGCGAACAATAAAGGCATGCGCTGACGACGAAAATCAGGGAGACAGAACGAGAGCCAGTATTTGCACGGGTTGAACAGAACATACGCGCACTTCTACGATCACATCAGTACTAGTAACTTACTCGTCAGCCATGTGGTGTTTCTGGAAAGAGAGTCCGATAAAAGTGGGGATCGAGTGTTTGCAACTGTTTTCCTCAACCGGAGAGGCAGCAGTTTAGGCTATCGATCAGCCCCAATATGAACGCCAAGAAGCTGTTTGTCTCCAATAAATCTAGATGAAGAAGACCAGCTACATCCACTAGTTGCACTCCAAACAGAACCAGGAAACCTTGCTTTTCAAAGAAGAAAACAATCACATAAAAATTATTGCATTCAAAGCTCATTTCGCGTACTGTCATCCGGCTAGCGACTTGAAACTTTTCAGTTTTTTTTCACGAACTGCACAGGACAGCGCGGTGACGCGGTCTTCCAGCGCAAGCGCAACGACGTAGCTTGTAGCTAGATCTACGTACGTAGATCTACTAAAGCTAGTGTCGTGTAGTAGTACTTGCTAGCGCGCGCCATGAGCGGTGCAGCGCCCGGCGATTTGCGCTTTTCGCGGCGGCGATTCGCCGGCGAAACTCTTCATGATGACATCATCCCGTCCTGTTTTTCAGTTTTTGTTTTGTGTGTGTCATGACGTGATCGATAGACACTACTACAACAAAAAGATAACCTTACTAATTAAAAGTAAAAAGTATCAAGTAGTTTCTGGCTGTCTCTCTTCTCTCCCCCTTTTCTAGTGTTTCTAGTCTACCATAAAAATAGCAAGCTTGTAGTACCAGTCATATCTGGATCACCCCTATTTTCCAGCACCAGAACTTCCAGAAGGTCAAACTTTCCAGACATTCTCAACAGTCATTCATAAAAAAAATTATAATAATTCAGGAAGAGATCCGAAATGAGCATCGCAGCAGATTTAGAGGCTGCGAAGGCAATCGACCTGACTCAGCTTGAAGACAGGCAGAAAGCGGAGCCTCTGTACGATGCGTTCATCGCGAAGCACGGAAGCTGCACTGAACCCGCGGATCGGAAGCTGTTGGGACTAGCGTATAACAACCGTGGCCAGATCAAATACATGCGTGTGGATTTCAACGAGGCTAGTGTGGACTATACACAAGCCATAGAGTGTGATCCTCAGCTGTCCGTAGCGTTCTACAACCGTGGACAGATCCATTATCGTCTAGGTTAGTTAAACTTCCTGCACGAACGCGCGTGCGTGTGCGCCTGCACGCGTGTGTGTGCGTGTGTGTGTGTGTGCACTCCGTGTGGTGTAGACCAGGTGTCCAGGGGGGGGGGGGGGGGGGGGGGGGGGATTCTCATGGCTTCGCCAGTTGTGTGGATTAGACCGTTATCTGGCGCTTGTCTTGATCTGTTTCATCCTGAATCAGATCCGCTATCGTCGCTATAAAGAGGAAACCTGTGGGCGCACATCCAGTGCATTTGCTGATTTGCGTGCTTCTCTTGCGACGGGCATATACATGGTACATAGTACATGGTGTGTGTGTGTATGTGTGTTCGTGTGTGCGTGCATGCGCGTGTGTATATATGTGTATGTTTGTGTGTGCACGTGTGTGTTTGTGCAGCTCGCTACGAGCAAGCCGTCAGTGACTTTGCACGGTGTCTGCAGCTTGAGCCAGGCTTCAGGGACGCAGTGGAGAACATGGCGCAGGCACAGGCGGACATTGACTTGAAGGAACGTGGTCTGAACTCCTCGTACAGCTGATGCACCCATCGGTAGATCAATGCTCGATTCAACCAAGGCTGCAACAGCACACGCGCATGGTCAATGCTCAATTCAACCAAAGCTGCAACAGCACACACACGTGGTTCGGGGCAGCGGGTATTTGTTATCAGTTACCAGTGGCGGACGGTGTCGACTGATTTCATCTACGGTTGAGCTCATCTCGCACCGCTGAGCTCGTTGCCGTGGTTCTTCCGGACGCTGCAGCCGTGTCACTGTGTTTTGCTCGTGTGCCACCCGGTCAGGTGGCGCCAATTTCGAGTCTATCTGCCTCAGCTCAGCAGAGCATGGTCTTGGTGGTCATTGTTGCTGTGTGTTAAGCCGGTAGTTTGGTACCGTGTGCAAGGAGTGCCGACTGTGCACTGGAACTGGCGAGCAGGAAACATATACATGTTGCGGAATATAAAAGGTATTGACTTGATTTTGTAATTGGTGACAGTTTTTTATTCTGCTGGTACAAATTGTAAAACATGTTAAATACTTATTGGGCATGTGTAGAAGACGAGGTACTTGCTCAACCTATGTCAATCACCACTACAGCTGATGGTGGTGCTGCTATTGCTGTTTCCTCTGCTGCTGCTCCTGCGATATTACTGGTGTCTTTGCCGGTGATGCTGTTGGCAACACTGGTATTTGCTCGCGTTCTTTTGAAAATCTGATGCCAGGTGGGCTTCGCCCGTAGCACTCTTCATCCTTGAACTGGGGAGAGAGCTGCCCCGGCGTTGCACAGCTATCAAACCTGCTTTTCCTTTGTCTCGTATTTTGCACGCACTCCAGTTCGCAATGGCGTTCGGGAGCATCGAGCTGGAGTGGGGAATGTACGAAGCATTGCTCTACTCGCCCGGCTTCATGCACCGCCGTTACGTGTACGCTTCAGCCCCCTCCCTCCCCTGCTTTGTTGCATACATCTGTGTGAGAGGACGCTGCTGGCAGCTGTGCTGTGCGAATGCCGTCCACAATTTCTTATTTATTTTTCAGCATGCTAACTGTCCTATTTTAAAAGTATTATATCACTGTACTGTTAAAGGATATCCACTCGATTTCATCTCTGGTCATGCAGTCTGAGCACTCACACACATGGTCTCTCTGCTGCAAACATTTTTGGATTCGCCGCAAATTTTACGCACAGCCCATCCTCCAGGTGAAACAGTAAAAGTTAGAAACGAAATTTCGGAATGAGTAGAGTGATATGTTCACCGTTTTAGAATTTCACATCAATGTATGCTCTCAGTCTGTGCAGTCCACAAGTTCTAACTCCACGGGCTAAACACAGTGTATGCACTGGGTATAAAATATGGAGAAGAACTCCCGCTATTGCAAACAGATACCGTCGGTCCCTTGGTGTTAGTCCTAAAGATGGTCGACCGTATAATTATCAACTGAGACAGTCACATCAAGCTCATGCCAATCTTCAATTCTTCATGCACAATGGTGATAAACACGAGTGGAGTCAAGTTGTAAGTAAAAACTACCTCAAAGAAGTATTACATGTGGTGTATTAAATACACAGGAGAAAAACAGTTTTAACTGTTTTTCTAAAAGAAAACTTGAACTGCAAGAAGAGTAATAAAAGGTTGCACGGCTTACATGGTGCAAGCATAATTACTATTCTGTCTGCCAGTGGGTGTGCATGGTCTTGCAGCACCGTCACGTGCATGGTAGAGTGATGAAGCAAGGCATGTGGTGGACATAGATTGGAGCAGCTGCTTGTTACCGTTTGCAGAGAGGCAATCACCACCAGCTAGTATGCAGGTTTGTCTGTGAGTGGCTCAGTGTGTGTGTGTGTGTGTGTGTGTGTGTGTGTGTGTGCGAGGATGGCTTCGGGCCGCTTGCCGAAACAGGTTCTCTTCGGGGAGCTCTCAGCAACCCGCCCTCGCCATGGTCCCAGGAAGAGGTACCGGGATGTCATCAGCGCTGACTTGAAGGAGGCAGAGATCTCGGATAGGGGCTGGTATGACGCAGCTCAGAACCGCGCAGATTGGAGGCAACTTACACAGCATCGTCGCGCTCCTGTGCAGAGGGTGGACACATTCCCCTGCCCCTGTGGTCGCGTTTTTGGTCGGTCAGGAGACCTCAAACGCCATGCAAGATATTGCTCAGCTCGCTAGCTATCATCGCCTTACGGCGATGGGCGTCCAAGGTCCAAGGTGTGTGTGTGTGTGTACGTGCGTGTGTGTGTGTGTGTGTGTGGGCGCATGCCGGCATGCACGCATGTGCACGTGCTTGTGCATATGTGCGTGACAGATGAATCAGCTGGACTCACTCGTAAAGTCTACCAAATGTCAAGGTCTGTCTCCCTATCGGCCAGAAGCACGTGTTACAGCGAACGCCGGGCAGATCATTAAACATATTACAAAGACAATCTAATGTAATGATCAAGGTGCTCCTTGTGTGCTCTACATAGCAGCCGTGAGTCGGTCAAGTGTCAATTAACCTGGCGGGAAGCGGGAACTCCACGTAGGAGTAACCAACTAAGTCTAAAACATGTACAACCGCCAAAGTCGCTACTTATAAGATCGTAAGCATTATGCCATTCCCAAAATGTTCGGATCGTTGACAGGCACAGCAGAAGCATCTCATTGGATACTGCATCGAGGTGGCGATGATGTCTGTGACTCTCCCGCGTACAGTCTCTGTAGGTCGCTCAGTGACGCAAGGGACTCGTCTTTCGCCGACTGGCGGAATGCCTCTGGCAAAGCGTGCTCCACGTAGTTTGGCAGCTGCGGCACGATGTCCTCGTGGATGCGGAACTCGAATGGTCTGCTTTCGAGGATTTCCCTGCATGATAGAGAGGTCAGGGCACAAAAGCACGCACACACGGGAAATGCGTGACAAGCGCGCTCACACACAAACACAATGTTGAAAGGTGCATGTGCATCTAGCTATACCCAGAATGGATAACCACACACACCCGCATGCACACGGATGCCTGCTGCTGGGCGTATGCAGTCAAGGTATTGTGTGCCTGCACCTCAACTTTTCCTCCCATTCAACACATTCCGTGTCCATGCTGCCACCCTTATTTCCCATTTGCTCTGTAGTGCTCCAGGTCATTTTTTTCTATTTTCGTACGTGTGTTTGTCTGTTTGTCGCGCATGAGCAGTGCTGAAACCGAGACCCTGGTCGGTTTAGCTGCTCTTGCCCCACCTCCACCGCTTCGGCTGCCATCGCTATGTGCATCTCTGTGCGTTTTTGCCGGCATTTGCACCATGATGGTTTGTGGTTATCTTGTAGAAAAAAAACCCACGCACACACACACACACGAGCACACACATATACGCATGCCCATCTACCAAATCCCTCCCCACCAAACACCCACCTGTGATGGCTCCAGGAAAAGAGGCATGCGCCGGTGGTAGTCTTGAACGGATTGAGCTCGACAACCGTCACACGCCCGTCAGAAAGGACTGCAAAATCAACCACATAGCTGTCCAGGGGAATCCGTGGCTTGATTTCAGTTTGCCAGTATCTACCATAAACACACAAATGAAAAGAAGTACATATGGGTTCACAAACATTCAAATGGGGCTTCGGGTATAAGGACACTTCGCGAACAAGGAACTTTTCCGATGCCCCGCCGAGTGTCGTTATTCGCAAAGTTGACTGTAGATCAATCGTCGGTTTCGGTAGAAGTACCAAATATATCACATTCAGGCATCGGAGGAATACTACAGGAATGATGTCAGCTGTGACAGCCTGTGAGTGCAAAAATCACGTACTAACACTACTCAGTGCAGGTTCCCTATTCTATTAGTATTGCATGCCGATCTTTGATCTCTGGTTTCCGACGCCATCTACAGTCAACAAGCAGGCGTTTATTCCCGTAGCTATGCAGAAGACGTTACTTCAGTAACCAGTAACGTCTGGCGCTAGCCAGGGTCCACACAGCTTTTTTTGGTATTTGTTTGTTTGTTTGTGTCACGCCTGGCGCTATCCCGTATCTGTCCCGTACCGTACCATCAAAGACAGCTGGCCACAAACAGCTGGCCACAATATTCAAATAGGGCTTTCAAACGCAAGATCATAACGTGAAGCAACTAGGAAGAATGAGTATGAATGCGAAGTGTACCGGGGAATGCATGTAGGGCGATAGTGCGGGTTCGAATCCCAGGTTATGCCTTGAAACAAAAATAGGAGAATTGAAAAATTTATAACATCTATGCTTTTTTTGCCTAGGTCATCAAGGCGGTAGACGGTGTCGTATTACCCTCGACCGTACCTGTCCCGTACCGTACCATACCATCAAAGACGGCTGGCCACAAACAGCTGGCCACAATATTCAAATAGGGCTTTCAAATGCAAGATCATAACGTGAAGCAACTTGGAAGAATTAGTATGTATGCGAAGTGTATCGGGGGGTGCATGCAGGGCGATAGTGCGGGTTCGAATCCCAGGTTATGTCTTAAAAAAAAAATAGGAGAAATTGATAAGAAAATTTATAACATCCCTATGCTTTTTTTGCCTAGGTCATCAAGGCAAAAAAGAATAGCGTAACGCCCTGAGCTTCCAAGCTCTCTCGTTTATCGCCATAGTGCCAGGTGTGTATTTAGTCCTTCAGTATTTACCACCATTTGAATCAACCATTTACAGTCAACCTGCCGAATAGTGACCCTCGACTGGGCGTGGGACAAGTGTTGTTATTGGCGAATCGTTGTTACAGTATCAGTGCTGGCGGCAGTGTGCTGGCATTTGCTGCAGGTGCGGACACCGAACATACAATGCCAGCTAGCAAAAGCAGCGCAGGCGGTGCAGCAGGGTTAGCGCTCTAGGCACTGGCGTTGTACAGTCCGTGACTGCGTCGACCAGCGCCAGGAGTGTGTGATAGTCGCTGCCAGTGGAAGCGCGGTGCATCCTCTAACTATCGTGGCGCCATCTGGAAGCAGCGTGCAGGCCTTCCCTAGTGGTGGAAGTGCTGCAGGAGGCACGGTCAGAACGAGCAGTGTGCATCTCGCTACTGCCAGGTTTCATGCCTCAACTCTGCAGATTGCTATGTACCTTGGTCAGTGTCTAAATTCTTTTAAGACCAGTTTAGACGCTGACCTATATCCATAGCAATCTGAAAAGCAAAGACTACCGACAAGAGTACATAACCCCCAAGAGTGTGCAACTCCAGCTATGGGGTCTGCGACGGCAGAACTTCACATCACGTGATGAGCCCGTACACATTATTTGCACTCTGTGCATGAAAGATACAGGGTTGTACGCAACCCAGCTTCGGGTACAACTCTCTTGTGGTCACTTGCACTGTTTGCCAGCATAACCTTTTGAACCATGTCACGTGATGTGAAGTTCTGCCGTCGCAGCACAGCATAGAGGTTGTGCAGGCAGCTGCACACTCTTGGGGGTTATGTACTCTTGCTACCGGTAACAGCAAGAGTACATAAACCAGAGTGTGCAACTCGGGATGGTTCTTGTGGGAGCGTAATTCGTGCATGGTAAGCCACAGGTACGGTGAAAAGTTGCGTAACCAGTCGCGGTGGTGCAGGTCACTGAGTTTAACCTGATTTAGGTTTTTTGATACGGATAGCCTGGTGCCTTTACTTGACGGTGGATGTACGCAGCACACAGTCACACAAAACACCGAAATACTGAAACTGGACGTCTAAAATCAAGCAAACTTGGCTGATTTCCGGGCTATGAAACATGAAAATTTGAGCTGTACGCAAGTCGCGGCTTGGCTGACCTCATCAGGGTGACGCAGTGCACGAACTGCGCTGTTTCAGATCTGATATGCACAGTTGCACACTCTGGTTTATGTACTCTTGGTAGCAGGCAGAGCTACAGTCAACCTTGCGAATAACGACACTTGAGCGGCCACGGGGAAGTGTTGTTAGCCGTGAGTTGTCGTGATTCGCGAGGTTTCACTGTATACGGTAAAGTGGTTACAGGGTCAGAAGATAGTGAGTTGTTAATCACGCGAGTTTGTGCTATATTCTAGGCTGTCATATGATTGTGATGTTGACTGTATACGTTTGCACGATGCATTGCGTTTCACTCTACGTTCTGCTACTGTAGAACGGGTAATTTTAGCGACGTAAAAACCCTAGCGAATTTAGCGATAGACTGATTTTCGCTGAAGTTTCAAGTCGCTAATCCGTTGAGACATTAGTACGAGTACGTAGTGCACTGGTGATCCGTGAGTAAAATCGCTGCAAATCGCTAAAATAAAACGTCGCTAACCGGTTGACAATGGGAAAACGCTTTTAAAAATGAATAGTCGCTAAAATTACCCGTTCTACAGTACTCCCCACATAACGATCAGGACATACTCTACCATTCAGTAGTTGAGGGAATGGTAACGGGAAAAGTCTGAAGAAAAAATTGACTGTCACCACCAGGACTCGAGCCACGAACCTTCGCCTGAGGCCGGCGATGCTCTAACCACCGAGCTATGGTGTGGCTGTCATCCCAGCAGAGACCGTTCAACATTTTCTTCAGACTTCGAAGCTCACGCCTCCTGTGAATCCACGCAGGCGGCTGGGGCGCAGCCCTCACTGTAACCCAAACACTTCACGTACAAACTAGCACGCAGCTTACTTTACTATGCTCTTTTCCAGTGCCGCTTTCTCTCGCAGGACGTGCGGAAAATAGCAGTAGTGATTGTATTGGCTCAGCGCATTCAGTTGACCGTTGTTCACAAAGCCGCGGAACTCGAAGTCGTGCCGCAGCGTCGGTTCCCACTGTCGCGCAATGATCTTCATTGAGAAGAGTTCCTCGGCTTCGGTGGCCTCCACCAAGTCGACAAGGACACGCTCGCTGGAAACCAGGTGCTCGAGTACCGCGCCTGATGTTGCTGGCCCTCCTGCACAGACAGAGAGAAAGAGAGAAAGAGAGAGAGAGAGAGAGAGAGAGAGAGAGAGAGAGACACACACACACACACACACACACACACACACACACACACACACACACACACACACACACACACACACACACACACACACACACACACACACACACACACACACACACACACACACACACACACACACACACACACACACACACACACACACACACACACACACACACACACACACACACACACACACACACACACACACACACACACACACACACACACACACACACACACACACACACACACACACACACACACACACACACACACACACACACACACACACACACACACACACACACACACACACACACACACACACACACACACACACACACACACACACACACACACACACACACACACACACACACACACACACACACACACACACACACACACACACACACACACACACACACACACACACACACACACACACACACACACACACACACACACACACACACACACACACACACACACACACACACACACACACACACACAGACCAACAAAGATACAGATTACAGACAGATATAAAGAGAGAGATTACACAAGTTGAAGATCAAATACCCTAAAGCCATCCTGTCAATTTCCCAAATAATTCAGCAGAATGATGTGGATCGGGCATCACAACTGATTATGCCTGTGGCGGGAAAGGCCGTCGGTTGGCCGAGATCTTCGTAACGGTTACGAGTCACGTACCAAGTCAGATCCATGGGATTGTCACCTGTCTGAGTCATTACGTCGCCAAACACACAGGACTGAACAGTAAAACTAAACTGAAGAACAATTGGTGACAGTCGGTGATAGTCAATTTTTTCTTCAAACATTTTCCCTTTTCCATTCTCCCAACTGGTGAATATTCAAGCACAATTGCACCTTTTATCTTTCTTTCTACAAAATCCACGTTTCTCCAAATCACTGAAGTGAAAAAAGGGAGTGTGGCGGTGGTGCCCATTAAACTCAGCCCGCCAGAGGTCTCGGCATCTCTTACCTTTCGTTTTCTGGTTTTCCCAGGTGATCTGCGAGAAAGCAAGCATCTGGGCATTGGCCTCCAAGAGTTTATCGGCCTGCCAACAATCAGTGCATAATAATTGTATCAATGAAAGGGTGTTTGTTCAGAAAGTGGTGGACATCACGCAACTGCATTTTTAAAAATAAGAGGGGGTTTGTCAACTGACAACCACTCTATTTAGTTGCTATTCACTCTTTAGATGAAAATCCTTTTATTAATGATGTCGAAAAAAATTATTGACGTTTCGGGCCAGTCACCCATCGTCAGAACGAGAAAGGGTGTTTGTGGAGTAAGGGGCCATCCGTAAATATCGATAGTTTTTTCAATCCGTGAATTTTACCAAGTAACCAGGACCCACCACCGACCCCCCTACTTTTTACGGAATAAAATATTGATGACACATGTACTGTACCTACATAAATGTAGGTGGAGTCCATGGAGCCCATACACACGCAGGCATGGTAGGTTCCTGCGATGCAGCGTCCTTCGGGGTGTCGGCGGAGGTGGAAGTCTGTGCGAAAATGCTACTTCTTATAATATTAGCTTCTGCCCGTCCTTCGCTCTGAATGAATCGGCCTTTTGGATGATCTCCGACCTTGCCTGCGGGTCTGCGGAAAACGTCTCCATCCACTGCTTCTGTGCTTTGGTGAAAAACGCAGATCGATTATTGGACGTTTCAATAGTCCACAAGGCCTCGATGACGGCATAGTAGCCATCGTCGTCTTCACCAGGGCTGTCAAGCTCTTTGAAAAACTTATCTTTTTTGGCAGCTGTACCAAACAAAGTAGTCTGCCGTGCCATTTTCGTTAGGCAGCTGTACCAAACAAAGTAGTCTGCCGTGCCATTTTCGTTAGGCCACGCTCCACATGGGAACTGTTCCAACCATTGGCGATGTAGCAATTCTTCGATGTGGACTACGGTTCAAATAAGAGCTGGACTTGACCCGGATTAATCGGGTATTGTGATACTTCGAATAATTGTGCAATAATTATACTTGTGAATAATATCTGACAAACTTCCCTCTTTCTTTTGCTTCAAGAGTTTCGATCTCCACTACATTTTTTGGAGACAACAATCTACGTGTACGTGTGGTTTGACGCACGCAGACCCACGCACACGCAGTACTGGGCGCCAGGTCCGCGTGCCATCGATATTTTATTTACTTTGAATTTCGGCTGCACCCACCACCAGGTACGAAAATTTCACGGATTGTAAAAACTATCGACATTTACGGACGGCCCCTTAGAGACTTTTGAAGAATTGCCAGAGACAGGATGCTGTATTCAGGGATATAGCCAGAACAAGAGTGAGGGGGGGGGGGTCATTGGACCCATTTTTTGTGATTTTTACAGCTATTTTGGTGGAAGGGGTGGGGGAGGGGGTCATCGGACCCATTTTTGTTGTTGTGATTTTTACAGCTATTTTGGTGAAAGGGGGTGGGGGGGGGGGGGGGGGGGCGATCATCGGACCCATTTTTTTGTGATTTTTTACAGCTACACGTATTTTGGCAGCTACTTTACCCAAACCAGCAAACAACCGACCCACTTCCATTCCATGCATATATTCACCGGCCACTGGAACCCGCCGTATGGTTTTCCGAGGCAAGCGATGAATATAGGAAGCAATGACTCATACAATGCTGTGCTGTACCACGATGTGTACTCATCATCATGCATATAAATGGTGGCGCTAGCACACTGAAGGGCGGCGCGTTCATTTTCAAAAAGCGGGCTGTCAAAAAGTGAAGGAGGCGCAGCGCCCCGCTGTGTCGCTTTGGCGAAAACCCCGGTTTTATGCGCAATTCGAACAATGACATAAATGCGTTCTAGATGATGGCATTTATTTCACAAAAATACATTCAGGCAGTCAGAGACACATACACATACACATACACATACACATACACAAGCACGGCTCATCCCACAAGTGCACAAACTACAGGGCTGCTCAATGAAATCCAGGCGCTTTGACCAAGTACGCGCCGCCGGGCGTTGCGCAACCCTAGACGTGCTAAGACTGGGCTGCGTGATGGTGCAAGGCGCCAACTTGAGTGACCCGACTGGATTTCATTGAGCAGGACTGTATATTGTTGGAACAAAAGCCAAACACAATCTTCTGAGCACACACACAGACACACACAGACACACACACACACACATACACACAGACACACACACACATACACACACACACACACACACACACACACACACAAACAGTCACACACACACACACACACACACACACACACACACACACACGCACACACACACACGGTCAGTTGGAAGCATCTTTATTATCGCTCAGCTTTGCTCACCTTCTCCCTATCCATGTCAGGAGGATGGTGATATGTGCCATCTGCCTCCTCACTCCTCTGATCCGCCTGGGAACGCCTGGCATTGAGATGTTCGGCGTCTTCTTGCATGACCTTACGCCATCGTTCCAACTCTTCCTCGAACATACTCTTATCCAGAAACTATTGCACACGTGCATGCACGCACACGCACACACATGCACACACACACACACACACACACACACACACACACACACACACACACACACACACACACACACACACACACACACACACACACACACACACACACACACACACACACACACACACACACACACACACACACATATTATACATACACGCACAAGCTCACACATACGAGAGCATGTGTGTGTGGGCGCATCAACCAAGAGGGCTTGTCTGTGTCTGCGGCCACGACTTTCGCCGTCCGAATGATTTATCCCGACACAAGAACTACTGCCTCATGTAATACCTATCATCGCCTTGGGCGATGGTCTTTCCAAAGGTCCAAAGGTGGGTGCATCACACAAGACACAGTGATTTTGGCAGGAGAAACTGGATCATCTGTAGAGGGTAGGTCTCTTGTCTATCCATACGCTTCAATCAAGAGTGTTCCGGTACTGAAGTGAATGAAGCACATAGCACACTCTGCAAGCACAGCAGCAGGAGTGCACCAAACCCATAGATGTGTCGAATTTGAATCAAACGCTACACATACACATACACGCGAGGCGCGTAGCCCTCATGGGACATGGGGTACGGGGGGGGGGGTACAACCCCCCCCCCCCCTAAAAGTTTTGACCTGGGTTTAGCATGCACATAATGACCATGAATGACATGCATCAGCCATCCTGCACTATTATGCGGCCGTGCACCCCTCTAAAAGGCGGACCAGCTACGCCCCTCCACGCCCGCATGCCCAATCACTCGCCCACCGACACACACACGCGCGCGCACACACACACACACACACACACACACACACACATGCGTGTCCAAGCAATCGCATGCACAAACATACGGCCCAAGGCACGCACAGCCCCCCCCCCCCCCCCTCCACAGTGGTACAGACGTCACACACACCACGGCCTGTACAGTACATGTACGAAAGCGCAGTTACTTACGCCTGCATCCTTAGGACTCCTGGAGCTTAGCCGAATGAACCAGTCCTTGCCCGCCTCGTCCAGGATCGGCGTCAAGCGATCACGCAACTCCACCAGCGCTCGCACCTGCTCGCTGGCGGGAGCATCGCGGCTGTTATAGCGATGGTGATACCAGCGTAGCAGGGCTTGCGCCTCGGCCAGGCTCACCTCGACGAAGTGCGTCGCGAACGTGTGCCCCGCACCCAGCCAGTCGTACCAGCTCTCGACATCAAACGGCAGATGCTCCTTCCGCTGCTGCACCTTGTGGTCATGAAACTGTGATGACGTCATGCCGGGGGCAGTGACTTTCGTACAAATCACCACTCTATATGTTATTTACGTAGGAGAGCAGCGTTTCAAAATAATTCCGAAAACGAGCACCCGAGATTATTCGGATAAAGTAGCGTTGCTCTCCGTGCACATGTAGTATGGATCAGTTTGCCCACCCGGCACCGAGTTTACAGTGGCACAGCTTCTTGGTACGTCGATATCGCTGCGTTGGGAGGCTCCACGCAGCGTCGCTAATCGCCTCCAAGGGCTCGAACGGTATGGCACACCTGCAGCTCCGCTTAGGAAAATATTGTGCAACTGACAGAACGCACACAGGCTGCACCGCTTGATGTTCAACTACCGATGCTAAAAGGCGCACTTGGCACAATAACTGGCCGCAATATCAGTTCAGTTATCTGGTTATCTCTGCGCAGAATTGAATCCACCCGCACCCCACTGAGAGGAGACTCTTGTTTGGTGAAGAATGCTTCTTTCCAACTACTTTTTTGTTTGGCCTTGGCTTGAGCATGAGCTGTCTTTGTACAATCATGTAGTTTGAAGATTTAGCTGTCGCTCAGCAGATTGAAAGGACGTGTGCACGTGCAGACTCTAGTCAGCATGCTAGAGCCAGGGAGTCGTATCCCTGGCTAGAGCCATCAAGGCATCAGTCATCACCAGATCACTCCCGGGCATCAGGATCTGTGGGATAATGAGGTAACAAACCGGGAGTTTTAGACGGTTTCGCGACCTCAGACCACTAAATTCGAGAGGAGAAAAAGCATTGTTATTCTGGAAGGAGTTCTTGAGTAACTGAAAGGGAAAAACTAGGACCAAGAGAGAAAACCCTAAAAGAGGAGAGAAGAAAATGGCAACCGCAAAAGGGATGATGCGCTACGGTACAACGTTACCGTAAAATGCGTAGTAGTACCAGCGGTTGACACTTTGGGCAACTCGTTAGTACGGCGTGCAATGCAAATAAGGCAACGATAAAATATAATGAGAAAAGCAGTGGAAAACAATAAATTTGATTGCCGGGGTCCTGTGACTGAGTGGAGACGCCACATTACTCCCCCACCAGTGAACAAGTCATACAGCAAAAACTGAGCGGTGAACGGGACAAACAAAAGAGGAAACATAGTGAAAAAACCAAGAAACAGGAAAGAACACGCGAAAGCTGGCAAACGCAAAAAACAAACAAAAAAAACAAGGCAATTCAGCGCCAGCGATGAGGCGGAAATCACACAAATGCGGGCTTGAGGCGGTCAATGGAGACCGTGTCTGAGCGACCATTGACCTTAACAGTGAAGTATTTCTCAGAGCGAGACAGCACAGGAAACGGCCCATCGTATGGCAACTGTAGCGACTTGCGGACACTGTCCCGACGGATAAAGACGTGCGAGGCCGAAGACAATTCCATTGGTACGAAGACCGGCACAGGATTGCTGCGCTGACTGGTTGGAACGGGACGAAGAGTGGATAAAGCGCTACGCAACTGCTGGATTAATGTGGCCGGTGACATGGGAGCGGTCGGAGGTGCCGCATCCAGGAATTGGCCTGGAAGACGTAGGGAAGAGCCGTAAACCATTTCTGCCACAGAACACTCGAGGTCAGACTTGACAGAGGTACGGATACCAAGCAGGACGAAGGGCAGGTCATTGAACCACTCAGATGGGGCTTGGGTGCCGGAGCGCGCCATCAGGGCACTCTTGAGGTGGCGGTGAAAACGCTCCACTAGGCCGTTGGTAGCCGGGTGATAGGATGTAGTACGCTGGCGAGTAGACCCAAGAAGCTGCATGAGCTCTTGCCAGAGGGACGATTCAAACTGGGCACCGCGGTCGCTGATGATAGTGACAGGGACACCAAATCGGGCGATCCAATGCAACAGGAAAGCCCGGGCGACTGTTGGAGTCCTGCTGTCCGGTATTGGCAATGCCTCTGGCCACCGAGTGTAGCGGTCAATACACGTAAGCAAGTATGTGCAACCGGAGCATGATGGTAGAGGGCCAACGAGATCAATGTGGACGACCGAGAACCGTTCGCCAGGAGTCAAGAACCGGGAAGGGCTAGATTTGGTGTGACGGTGAACTTTGGCTTGCTGACAAGCTAAGCAACGGCGGGTGAATTCGCGGACATCCTTGCGTATACCAGGCCAGAAATAGCTATCAGTGAGGAGACGTACTGATGAGCGAGTACCAGGGTGAGCAAGGTTGTGCAAATGGTTGAAGACAGCTTCACGGAGAGATGCAGGTACATACGGACGGAAAGAACCGGTAGAGATATCACCATGCAGATACGTATCAGGGCTGACGTAGCGACACGACCATTGAATAGAAGTGCCAGGAGATGGGGCAGATCGGAGCTTGACCAAGTCTAGGTCAGATTGCTGAGCATTGGCGAGGGTAGCAAGGTCGATAGCAGGCACCACTGTACAGACGTCAGAGGGCCGAGATAATGCATCTGCAACAGGGTTGGCAGCACCACTGACATGTCGGATGTCGGTGGTAAATTCAGAGATGAAGGCCAAATGACGTAATTCCCTCGGGCTGTAGGTTGAAGAATTTGAGGAGAAAGAGAAACAGAGTGGCTTGTGGTCAGTGAATACGTGAAAACCACGACCCTCTAGCTGGTGCCGGAAATGCTTGATGGCCAAATAGATAGCTAACAATTCCCGGCCGAACGTACTGTAGCGGGTCTCCGCTGGCTTCAGGACTTGCTTCAGGACTTTGGAAAAATAGGCCAGGGGCTGTGGATCGCTGCCCACGCTTTGGTGTAATACAGCACCAACGGCATGATCGGAGGCATCCACCATGAGGCTGAGCTCCGCGTCCGGCAGTGGATGATGGAGCTGAGTGGTGGCAGCCAAAGCAGACTTGGCCTCGGCAAATGCATGCATAGCGTTGGCATCGAACACCACAGGAGACAACTTGCCCTTCGGACGGCCTTGGAGGAGAGTGGTCAAAGGTAACAGCAGGGTAGCGCACTGAGGAATAAACCGGCGGTAGAAGTTTACCATTCCCAAGAAACGCTTGAGCTGTGCCATGGTTTGAGGGACCTTGAATGCAGCGATATCGCGGACTTTCTCTGGCCGAGGGTGGAGGCCGTCAGAGTCGATGATGTGGCCGAGGAACTCAAGACGAGAAACACCGAAAACGCACTTGTCGACATTGACAACCAAACCGTGAGCGGCGAGGCGCTGAAGCACTTGCTCAACGTGCTGCTGATGTTCTTCATCAGTCTCACTAGCCACCAAACCATCGTCAATGTAGGCATAGGCAAATGGGAGTCCACGGAGAGCTTCATCGATGAGGCGCTGGAACGTCTGGGCAGCGTTTCGAAGGCCAAAAGGCATCCGAAGAAACTCAAATGACCCGAATGGCGTCGTGATGGCCGTCTTCGGGATGTCGTCTGGAGCAACGGGAATCTGGTAATAGGCTTTCTTCAGATCAATCTTGGAGAATATGGTCTTGCCATGCAGAGATGCTGCAAAGTCATGCAGGTGTGGCACCGGGTAGCGATCAGGGATAGTTGCAGCATTCAGAGCCCGATAGTCCCCGCAGGGCCGCCAGTCACCAGAACTCTTGGGCACCATGTGCAGAGCCGAAGACCATGGGCTAGATGAGGGCCGGATAATGCCGAGTTGCAACATATGTTCGAACTCTTGCTTAGCGACTGTGAGACGGTCAGGCGCCAACCGACGAACCTTAGCATGTACCGGGGGACCACGGGTCACAATGTGATGGACCACAGAGTGACGGACCGGTAGCTCAGCATTGCAAGGGCCGACCACTGACGGATAGCGGGCAAGCAGTGTAGCATAAGGACAAGCGGTAGGGGTGGGCAGCAGAGAAAGCGGTGCAAGAGACGAGATGCTAGATCGGGAGAGAATGGTGTTGAGGGAGGTGGTGCCATCATACAAACACTCGGCCGACACATTGACGGACAACCCAAAGCGTTTGAGGAAGTCGATACCGATGATTGGCACCGAGACACTGGCAATGATGAACACCCATTGGAAACGGCGGCGCAAACCAAGGTCGAGAGTGACAGAGCGCTCACCATAAGTCCGGATGGATGTCTGGTTTGCAGCCTGGAGAGGCGGGCCCAGTGGGCGCTGCAGGTCCTCAGCAGAGGGCGGAATACAACTCACGGAAGCGCCAGTGTCAATCAGAAAACGCTGTCCCGAGAGTCGGTTGAGGACGAACATCAGACTGCCAGAACCACCGGTCGCCATCAGTGGCTGGCGGATCCGTTTCCCGACGCGTAGGTGCAGGGGGATGTACACTTGGTGGCCTTAGCTCCAAATCTGGCATGATACCAGCACAGGCCAGATTCCCGTCGTGAGAAGCTCTGCGCACGGGAACGGGGTTCGGACAGAGAGTTGGAACGGCTACGTGAAAGCTGGGAAACGGCAGCGCTCAGCTCCGACACCTGGCTGACCAATGTGGCAATAGTGGACTGGATGTCTTGAGATTGCACGGTGGTGGAGTGTCCAGCAGGTTGTACAGCACATGTGGCTGGCATAGATTGATAGCCTGTGGGAACAGCGGCGATGGGTGGTTGGGTGGCCATCTCAATAATGTTGTCGGCCAACTTAGCTTGCTGCTCCAATGGCAGATCTCTGGCAGACGCAAGGACCATCCGTACGTTAGATGGTAGCCGTTGGAGAAACAGTTCCCGTAGTAAGTCACTGTCCAGGGGTGTATCGCTCTGGAGGCGTTGCATACTCCGGAGTAACTGTGTCGGCTTGCGGTCGCCCAACTGCTCATCCGTAAGAAGCTGGCGAATCCGCTTCTGTGCACTGGCACTCAGGCGAGCTATCAACTGCGCCCGGAGGTGCGTGTAGGGCTCGACGGTTGGTGGCCTCAACAAAATGTCGCGAACCTCATGCGCATACTCTTGCGATAAAGATGAGATTACATAATTGAACTTGGTAAGCTCAGCAGATATGCCACGAGTGGCAAACTGGGCCTCTACCTGGGCGAACCAGAGGTTGGGGTCCGTAGGCCAGAAAGGTGGTAGCTTAATACTGACTGCACTGACCTCCGCGGGTCTGCTGAGTGAAGTACTACCGGTATCCGGTGCTGCAGAACCGTTACTACTGCCATTGGCACTGCTACTGCCACTGCCACTGCTACTGCTACTACTGCTGCCACTATTGCTGCCACTGCTGCTGCTACTGCTGCCGCCACTGCTACTGCCACTGCTACTGCTACTGCCACTGCTACTGCCACTGGTGTTATCCACACCAGCCTGGGCGGACGCATCAACGTCACCGGGACTACTATCCATTGTGTAAGGAGTACGTGTTACACTGCAACACCAATGCCAATGGACCGTTGAGACAAGAAACACACCGAGCGTCAACTCGAGGAGTGTGCGGTGAGCTAGCGATGGATGTGCTACTTCGTTCGGGGTCACCAATGTGGGATAATGAGGTAACAAACCGGGAGTTTTAGACGGTTTCGCGACCTCAGACCACTAAATTCGAGAGGAGAAAAAGCATTGTTATTCTGGAAGGAGTTCTTGAGTAACTGAAAGGGAAAAACTAGGACCAAGAGAGAAAACCCTAAAAGAGGAGAGAAGAAAATGGCAACCGCAAAAGGGATGATGCGCTACGGTACAACGTTACCGTAAAATGCGTAGTAGTACCAGCGGTTGACACTTTGGGCAACTCGTTAGTACGGCGTGCAATGCAAATAAGGCAACGATAAAATATAATGAGAAAAGCAGTGGAAAACAATAAATTTGATTGCCGGGGTCCTGTGACTGAGTGGAGACGCCACAGATCTACGCCATTCTACGGCCTATTCACGACTTGAAAAGTTGAATCTTTCGTTACTACGACGTTAGATCATCACTCCACCATCAGGTTCGTTATGATAATAATTTCGTTTTTGGTCGAGGTCTGTACTGTCTTTGAGACTGTCACCCCGAAGTACCGAACGTTCGGAAAAAAACTTTAGTTTGGTACAAACTTTTGTTATTATTTTCGTGCCCCCTATTAAACGAACATAGCGAAAGTTTAAAAAAATCCAACTACAGTATTTTAAAAGCGCTGCTTGATTTTGTTGGCTGTCCCTTGGCTCTATAGACTTCTCCATACTACAAAAATAGTACATGTACTTGCGAAGCATCCCGATTTGGCCGGGACGGTTAACCCTTCCGGTATCGCTGGGTGCTAGTACTAGTAGACTTTACTAGGCACCCAAAAGTGCATTTTTGTCGCATGCCTCAGCTAGATTTGGATACATTTTCATACCTATTATACTGATTATTTATAATGCAAGTAGGTATGCCATTGTCCTGATCTCAGGTTTGCAAAGATTGGCAGGCATTCATCTCACCAGAGAGTAGTAGTGATAATTACAGTAAAACCTGTCAAGGCGACCACCTGTGCTAGAAGACCACCTGTGCTAGAAGACCACCTGTGCTAGAAGACCACTGAAACCAGGACCGAGGGGTGCTATTTCCAGTCAAATGACCCTGGATAGGGAGACCACCTGGTAACAGAGACCAAGTTTTGAAGGTCCCATGAGCGGTCGTCTTAGACAGGTTCCACTGTACTGGATACTACCGTAAAGTACCGCCAGAGTGCCCCGCGGCCCGTCTCGCGAGAGCGCCCCACCTCGATTTTACAGCCAGAGAAAGGAAAATCGTACGGCAGAGTGCAAACAAGTTTGTATGGTGACTGAACCACAGTGTACTATGTTACTATGGTAACACTAAGCAGGTTTTTGTGTGGAGCTCGTGTCCGCTCCAAGCCAAGGTACGGATTGTCCGCATGCAGAACGTGCAACATGTGTAGAAAGTAATTACTTAGTTCGTGTCGTATGACCTACAGACTGGAGACCACCTCCACAACACGACCACGAAAGGACGAGATGGTGGGGCGCTCTGGCGGTACTTTACGCTACATGTTGTACATGTATACTCCCTGCGTTTCACCCATCGTTGTCACCACTTCAGTACTCGTTGTGACAAAGAGCTGAGCTGCAGTCCATTCATAACTTGCATAATAATGCCGGCAGAAAAATTGGCAGAATTCGGTACTTTTTCTGGTAAGTTTTTTTCAAGAGTACATGTGTACTCTTGGTTTTATGCATGTTTGGTACATGGATGTGGATAAAGAAGTGGAGCAGAATTCGAGGAATTGCCCGCCATAAGGTTCGTATGGTTCTTCCAATTTCACTGCTTTTCGAGCAGAATCTGCCACCTTTTCGAGCAATTTCGCGGCACTGCACCGTGCGTGCGTGTACGATAAAATCACGAAAATCACAAAATTTCGGGAGCTCGCTAGAGCCACCTCTCATCACTATGAATGGACGGTGGAGGGTGATTACTAGTAGTTTAGAAGTGCCTGTGTGAATATTCCCTCAAAACTGACTCTTGTATGCATTTCCCGTAGTACACCTACGACACAACATGCACATACGCGTATATACGGCAAGGGGAGCCCAAATGCACGCACACATACTCATGCCCATTGCTGACGCGATGATAGCGAACAAGCTATGTTAGAGTGACATTGCAACTTATGCTGGGATTCAGATGAAACCATTCTCAAACACACACACACACACACACACATGCACACACGGTCACGCACAGAAAGAGACACACAGGCAGCCAGAACACACACACACATACACACACACACACACACACACACACACACACACACACACACACACACACACACACACACACACACACACACACACACACACACACATACATACACACACAGATTCCCCCCCCCCCCACACACACAGATGATGCACATTGTCATAATCATGTGGCCACATTATCATAAACCGTGCTCAACAAAATCACATCCGCCGTAAAACACCGCAGCAGGAGGAAAACAGAAGCATCTGCTTGAATACAGACTCAAAACAACAGCGATATTGAATGTTGTTCGAAAAGAACATAATGTGAGTGATCAGGCATACCTACCTTATTCGGGGTCACTACAGTGAGTTGGGTTACCATGGTTACTGTGTAGATGCACATGACCGTAATGTTGCACAGATGGTGCATACGTTACTGTCTATGATAACAACAGATACCAAGATGACTATTTCGCAGCACTGATATCAATATCGCTCTTTCCAAAAAATCGATACCATGCCCGCTATTTCCAACACGGATACCAAGACGACTGTTTCTTAAATGGGTATCAAAACCACTACCGTAAAAGTCCGTAAATAAGTACGTATTTACTTTCGAATTTAGTGACCACACCCGTACTAACTTTCGGGCGGGTACTGACTTTCGGGCACGAACTAACTTTCGGACCTGACTTGTATGTAGTGGAGAAGTCATTTTCATGTCGATGTACATGTGCATGCTACATGCTGCATGTGCGCATCATACCGGTACTTATTTCGGGCAGTATGTTTATCGGGCTTGACTTGACTTCAACAGACAGAGCCAAAAGAATGAAGGGGGTATTTCTTTCGGGCAGGTACTTATTTACGGACTTTTACGGTATTGATTTTCCTGATACCAAGGCCCCTCCATGTCGGCTGAGCATAGACAGCTAACTGAGCATACGAGCGAGTCGAGAAACTAACTAGCAAGCTGACTCTGTAGAGAATTGCACTCGTTAAAATCTTACATTTGCACTAGTTGGATAGTCTGCAAGCGGCCATGGGCAGTGAACGGAAACTCCCAGTCCGGAAACATAAAAAATATCACCAGAATTAGGTGTGGAATGGCTAGCATCAATGCATGTATTGTGATACTTTCAAAATTGCGGGCACACTTACCGTCATCAGCCAATTCGCATTGCCTTTTTTTAAATGTGGAGACCTTAATGATTGCATGTACTGTGTGTAGAACAGAGAGCAAAGGAGAACGATTGACAGCACGCGGGTTCATCAACCGATGCGGAGATGAGAGAATCTGGCTTCGATGCAGTCGGTTGGTTTGGCAGTGTCCCGCTATCTTGAACAGATACTTCCACCAAGGAGGCCATAACAAAGCCTCTTACCGCTAGCAGGTAAACATGCTAGCACAGCATCATGAATCTAAGTGGAGTTAAAACAACTGCAGGGGCACTCAGCACCATCCAATTCCGGACGAGACCAATTTATAAGCCAATGCATACGAGTTGAACTGGGCGAGACATGCTACAAATCGAAGCGAAGTTCACACAGGGTCGAAGCAGATCTTCGACCTTGATCACGTTACACGCACACAACATGGGCTGGGCTACGCTCGTGCCAACACGCTCATAAACTAGGAGCTATCTTCCTCTATGCCAGCCAGGTTCAGGTGCAGGGACTCTTCGGTCGGCGACGATGCCATTTTCTGGAGCTTGACTTCAAAGCTGCCCAGGTCCAGCTGCAGGCCTGATGCCGGCATCTGATCGTCAAACATATCATTCCAGGCGTCGACGGGCTCCGCACTGACAACACCAGTGAAGTACGAGCAGGACTTGCCACCAGTGCTGAGCCGCGGCTGGCGGTGATTGTGCTGCCTGGCTAGGCCTTCGTCAGGGGCAGCCTGGGAAGACACAGTGCACATGCTGCGCCGGTTCTGCAGGTGCTTGTTGGCCGCCGCCAGGTCCGAAATGCTCGCCGTGACGAGGAATTCGTTAGAACTGTTCGAGACCACCGAGTTTCTCGCCGCCGACCATCCCGAAGTGCGTTGTCGGCTACCGGGCGACGTATCTCTACTGTGGCTGCCATGCAGAGCAGCGGGGTTGAGCAGACCGTGGATCCGTCGGGTCCGGGCCTGCGATTCGGTGGCACTCCTCTCGCAGCAGGAGCTTGCACGGCCGCGCTGGCTGCTGCTGCCAACGTCCTCAAAGTCCTCATCCTGGCGCTCCAGCGTCTGCACGGCCGAGGCGGAGGCGCGGTGCCGCGACATGTTCTTGCGCCGGTGCACTCGACCAGCATGGTGCTGCCGCTGCTGCAATGCCGTGGGCTTGCTGGCTGAAGCATTACTGCCACTGATGTTGCCGTCCTCTTTGCGCTGAGCAGAGTGCGCCGGCGGTGAGTCGGGGCTGGATCGGTCATCCGACGTGTCACTGTTCACCACCGTCTTGAGGTAAGTTGGTCTCCGCATTACGCACGCATCGGCAGCATCGTCGCCGATGGAAGAGCGGTCGGAGGATGCCCAGCTCTGCCGTGAGGAGCAGGAAGACTCCGAGCCGGACGAGTAGAGTTCCCACACGTTTTGGTTCTGGCAGCACATTGAGTTGACACGCGTGCGAACCTGATATGTATCGAGAGCCTCATGACCAGAGCCTGAGAGAGAGAGAGAAAGAGAGAGAGTGATAGGGAGACAGAGACAGGCAGAGATAGATAGATAGATAGATAGATAGAGAGAGAGAGAGAGAGAGAGAGAAAGGGAGTGATGGAGGGGAGAGAGGACAGCAAGACAACATGGAGCATGCATGCAGTTCAATTTGGTTATCACCTTCTCCGCATGTACACCAGTTTGTTACCATTGGAACCGCTAATCAAAATAGACATTCTAGCTGAAATACACAGGCGTCCCTGACAGTAGTATGATGCAACTTGATTGGTCTGATATTTCAAACTTAAAAAAAAGATATCACTGCAGGTCAACCCAAGCAGTGCAGTACCTTTTAATTAAAATATCCAATATTCACACAATAGATCCCGTGCATTGAGCACCTATCATCGAACATGAGTTATGTGCCTATCGCCTGCTGTCTTCGAATTTTTTTACTTTTATTTTTTGTTTTCCTCTCTGCCCACTCTGTCTGTCTTCTGGCACATGCGAATGCGTGGACTTACTGTTGACGTAAACGCGGACGTGCGTATAATAATAATAATATAATAGTTTTCACACGACTAAATTTTCGAGCTCTCTATACTTCAGTGCAACCTAGGAACAACACACTCATGGTACTGGATAGCAGGAAATTTCCACACGGAATTTATTTTCGTAGGATTTCGTACTCGGCCTCTTTTGTACTAAAATTAATTCCGTACTAAAATTTGTTCCTGTAAAGTTGTGTCCACTATACATGCGCACCGCATGCAAACAAGTGCACTTAGCATGCACCACTGTACGAAAATAAAATCCGTACGAAAGGCCGAAATTCGGCTGTGGCCGAAAATATTTCCGTCCGAAAATTTCCTGCTATACAGTAGTTTGTAAGTAGTGGTGGTCATGAATACACCGAGTCAAACAAACAAACAAAAAAACAAAAAATATGGTAACGCTACAATCATGGTATATAGCCCTTTCCCAAAGGTGCTCTTTTTTAATTCGCACTTAGTGCTTTTCACGTCCCTCAAAATATGCTGAAAAAGTGCTCTTTTTTCAGTGAAAACAGGCAAAAAGTGCTCTTTTTTCAGTGAAAACAGGCAAAAGTGCTCTTTTTTCAGTGAAGGATAGCCATGATACATGTTCAGATATGAACCGAAGCTGAGAAAATGAATACGCACTCTTCCATTTATGGGTCCACAAAGGGCAAAACAGGAAGTAAAGTTCAAAAAACCCACTTTTTACAGCATTCTGTTGAACTCTACACCGGGTACAAGCTTCACCAACTTGTTGCCCCCTCCCCCCCCGAAAATGCGGCGTGCCAAGGCCCATCCAGATCGAGCACTCGGAAACTGTGACCGCATGCACAGGCAAACAGATTTTAGCACTTTTTCAGCTAAAAAAGCTCAAAAAGGGCGATACTGTAAAAGCCATTATTCTAACGAGGCGCATATATAATGATATCCCAAAATTGACTAGTTTACGTGTACCGAAGGTAACGATTCTCACTCATTCTCAACGCTCAATAGGACAGTATATGTGTCGATTTCTGTATAACGTGTTCTATTTTAACGACATTTGTCTCCTCGTTAACTCGTTAGAGTTAGCACTTCGTTATACATATGACTTTTACAGTATTCACCAAAAAACGCAATAAAGGGCGAAAGAAACGGGCTTTTCCAAAAAGGGCCAAAAAGGGCGAAAAAAGAGCGAGCACCTTTGGGAAAGGGCTAATGGTACAGTACCAGAAGAAAAGGGTACTTTAAATTAAAAAAGTAAAATGCATGATTGTTTTGTTTATTTGTTTAGCTTTATTTTACTTCACCCTAGGCTCAGGCAAAATCTGCCTTCTCACTGGGCGTATTGCTACAATTCTCGCAAAATGATGAAGAACTGTGTAGTCGGTTTAGTATAATAACACGTGTGCTTCTTTTAAAAACAATCGTAAGTGCGAGGGTTCTCAAACAGTTTGTTATGGTGTTGTGAAGAGAATCTAGGCATGCGGGTAGTGATGCAATGGTCAACTGTTGTGTGTACCCGATCAAGAGTATGTAAGCTCCCGAGAGCGTGCAACTCCTGATACCCTTTCTACGGTGTCCGCCGGCAGAGAAAACTCACATCACTTGGTGTAGTATTCCAGTTACATGGTCCCAGCCCGTTGTGAACACAGCTTAGTCTACAAAATAAAAATAAAAATTTCGGCCCTCTTCAATTTTCGGCCTCCCAGGGCTAAAACCCATTTATAGTCAGTTTCAAAAAGAATAGCAATCCTGGCGATCGCCCGGGGAGTTTGCCGTCTTACCGTATGAGCGCTCGAGCGCTGCCTGGAAAAACTCACTGCGAACTCGAAGAAATATTCCGCGCGAAAGTATGAAAAATGACAACTCACTGACGTCGGTACTCGTACATGTTCGTCTGGTTTACAACAAATGAGTTCTTCCTCGCGTCGATGTGGAGTTAGAGAGGACATGTCGAAAGTGTGGTAAATTTTGACGAGCGGGATGCGTCCGTTTTGTGACCAAATAGATTCTTTGAGCTGCCGCGGATGCAATTTACTCTCACGATGTGACGAAAACGGCATCGACACAGACTCATTCCCAAGGCCTTGAAGTGGCAAAGCTATCCGTGTGACTTCGACGACATTTTGAGAAAAGCAGACGCCTGTGAAAGCTGATAGAAGACAGCGTTGACTCCTAAATTCAAATAAATTGGCGATCTTCAAATACTAAAATAATTCTCAAACAGAAATCGATCGATCGATGTGCCGGTGTATTCAACAACACGTAGCTACAGCGCAATGACTTCCGTGTTCACTCACACAGTTTCAGTGTTGTGTGTGTTCACAACTTCACATGGCGTGAGCCAGTCAAGTGTCAGTCAGTTCGGCAGGAAACGCGAGCTCCAACAACAAGTCGTTTGGCGCAGCCACCTTCTTTGTCTTGTACCAGCGTGATCACCAAAACAATGAAAAATGAAGAAAAATGTTTGACTTGAAGATTTGCTGGGATTTGAACTCATAACTTCATGGTCAGCAGACAGCATTCATAACCACAAGGCCAAAAGGAAGAGATAAATCGTGGGTTTTGATAACAAATCGATACTGGCTTCCAGGGAAAATAAAAACCATGGGAAAAGGCCAGAAACCTGGCCGATATACTAACTCCTTAACGGTTGGTCCAATTGTTCCGAAACCTTCACAGAACAATTTGCCGTGCCCTAACAAGCCGTTTTATGTACTTTGTTGTACACATTTCCCTTACCTTCATACTTTTTAAGACCCAAACTTGATTGCTAATCTTTTTGAAACAGACTGTAGGACGCAACGCATTTTCGGCCTCTACTGCTGCCACCTGTATACAGGCACTGTAACACTGAACCTCGGAAAACAAAATAGTCGAAAATAATAAACACATGTGTCCAAGGATTATTTGTTGACTTATAGTAAGTTCAGGGCTGATAATTAGGGCTGAAACGATCTTGGATTTTCATTATATCGATTACTCTTTAGCTTAACGATAGATTAATCGATTACAATCGTTAGCTCTGTTTCCAAAAGCTAGGCCTTCATAATACTAAAAAGTTGCATTAGTGACAGGGTAGCTCAGAAACATTGCAGTTATATGAATTTTAACCTCAGGATATGGACCATGCCCCTGGTAACTGGATACTCACAGTGGAAACTGATTCAAACTTCACTAAAACGAGGGTTTTCAGTACTTTTCGGACTCAAAATCCCTAACGAGTAATCTTTAACGTAACGATTACTTGATTGATACGGAATTATCGATCGTTTACCGAGTAATTGGTTTAATCGTTTCAGCCCTACTTATAATGGAGACTATGGAAGAAAGTGTTCAGACTCAGAAGTAGCAAGTGACTCACCACAGGAGGCGTTCACGACTCCGTTCGCATCGATATGCGCACGCAAAGCTTTCTTCTGCACATGTTCCCTCATGCCCCTGCAGGATATCGTGTACGCACGTACATGTACATACACACAAGCACACGCGCGCGCACACACACAAACACACACACCATTGGACCATTGGACCATTGGACGCCAATCGCCGGAGGCGATGATAGCGATGCTACAGCAGAAGCCATAGCGGCTTGTGCTGGGATTACACCATTCAACAGCTTGCAAGGCTGAAGAATTGACCGCCACTATTCAGCCTGGTCTACACCACACAGCTAACACACACACACACACACACACACACACACACACACACACACACACGCACGCACGCACGCACGCACCCACCCACCCACGCACGCACGCACGCACGCACACACACACACACACACACCCCCACACACACACATGCATGTACATTGCACATACACAAAAGCACGCATGCATACATACAAACACACACACATACAAACACACACACACACACACTCAATTTCACACCCGCATCTAGCCCTTTCCCAAAGGTGCTCGCCCTTTTCGCCCTTTTTGGCCCTTTTGGAAAAGCCTGTTTCTTTCGCCCTTTATTGCGTTTTTTGGTGAATATCGCCCTTTTGAGCTTTTTAGCTTAAAAAGTGCTAAAATCTGTTTGCTCATGCGCCATATATGCATGCGATCACAGTTTCCGAGTGTTCAATGGGCCTTGGCACGCCGCTTTTTTTTTGGGGGGGGGGGGGGGCAACAAGTTGGTGAGCTTGTACCCGGTGTACACAATGCTGAAAAATGTGGGTTTTTTGAGCTTTACTTCCTGTTTTGCCTTTCGTGGACCCATAAATGGAAGAGTGCGTATTCATTTCTCGATCAGCTTGGGTTCATATCTGAACATGTATCATGGCTGAAAAAAGAGCACTTCTTGCCTGTTTTCACTGAAAAAAGAACACTTTTCAGCATATCCTGAGGGACGCGAAAAGCACTAAGTGCGAATTAAAAGAGAACCTTTGGGAAAGGGCTACCCGCATCTCCCGGACGAAATACACACAATCATGCAAACATACTAGTATCTATAATTCCCACCGGCATATTTTGTATTTATATATTATTAATTTTACTGAACTGGTGTTGTTGTAGCTGGTGTTGTTGTTGCTGTTGTTGTTGTGGTTGTTGTTGTGGTTGTTGTTGTTGTTGTTGTTGTTGTTGTTGTTGTTGTTGTTGTTGTTGTTGTTGTTGTTGTTGTTGTTGTTGTTGTTGTTGTTGTTGTTGTTGTTGTTTTTGAATTCTTTATTCTCACGGTTTCAAATCTTTATTCTAACGATAGCCAGTGGCCGATAAGAGATAGGTTGTTGTTGTTGTTGTTGTTGCTGTTGCTGTTGCTGTTGTTGTTGTTGCTGCTGCTGCTGCCGTTGTTGTTGTTGTTGTTGTTGTTGTTGTTGTTGTTGTTGTTGTTGTTGTTGTTGTTGTTGTTGTTGTTGTTGTTGTTGTTGTTGTTGTTGTTGTTGTTGTTGTCCTCATCGTCGTTGTTTTGTTTTAATTTTAAAAAGGATTCTCCAAAAGCAAAATGGATACTTATCACGGGAGTCTCCTGTAATAATTATAGTGTGAACATCATGTGTGCTGTGCACAGTCATGACCTGTGTGACTGGAGCTAAGGGAGTCCCCCCCCCCCCCCCATACCCCTCTTTCACCTAATCACGTGCATATTCGAAAATAACAGATTATCCCTTAATAGGCAACTTTCGAATTGGCCAGAATCTAATAGGCTTCTATCCAAGCAACAAGGCAAGCGGGAGATGGAGATTCGCATTTACAGTATATTTGTTAGTGGCAGGAAAGCGCTGTACCCTGGAATGTCCACAAACGAAAATACTTACGTCGCACGAATGTCGCGTTCGCCTTGGTAGTAGCACGAGCTTTGACCATGTGGCATGACATCGACGGCGTGTGGCTGCGAGTTGCCCATCGTCTCGCACCTGCACCCGCGTTCACACCCACAGACCAGGACCAGGGGGCTTCGCAAGGCTTACTGACTACTGTCCGGCCAGACACGGTGCTACAGTGTATATACAGCTAGCCGGCTACGTCCTTCAAAGAATTCCCTCTGTATCCGCACAATCGCAACAAGTCAAACCTCACAGGTGGCAGCGAGCAGAACGTTCAACGAGTGAAAATCTCGCAGCAGATCGGAGCATGCCACTGCTCGGGACTAACAGTCGACTAGGCACACATCCGTACTAGTATTTCACGCTTGACTATTAAAATTGCTATCGGTGTGCTTTCCAGAGTCCTGGGGTCTGAGGCAATGGCATCCGCACCACGATGCCAGTACAAACTCACCGAAGGCACATACACTCTCGCGTGGTACTCAGCTGTACAACATGTACAACACAGGGACTATTCCTCACAAGGCTAGCAGCTGAGACATAATAGTTACGAGATTGCCGAGAGCAAAATTTTAATGTCAGCTGCTTTGTCGCCGAAGCCTCGTGAACGCTTCAATCACCCCGAAAGGGCCAAGCGACAACGCCTCGGGCATGCTGGCTGCGTACGTAGGCTTCCAAACAGGGACCAACAAGTCATTCCAGCCTACGTCTGCGGACAAACCTCCGCCAGTGAAGCCATATTTAGCGCTGCAAGTGGGCGCGAAGAAGAACGGGTGGTGACATATTTGGCATATTTGGCGCAAGGCGGAGGGCGACGGGACACGCCACATGGGAAGAGGAAGCGGACTGCAGCGACCAGGCCATATGCGCCAGGACGCTCATTATGACACCGATATTGATGATGTCGAATATGAACGTCAGTAGATCTACGAGTAGGGTCATACAGATCGGGAATCGACGGAACAGCTACAATACAAGATGTATAGTTGAATCTCAGGTCGATTTTCGTACCGTATGTGGCAACGCAAGCGCACGAAACGGCTGTATTTCGCACAACATCCTACGTGAACTGGCGACGGTGTCATGCTGCGAGGATATACACCCGCAATGACCACTGATGACAGCTTCCCCGAATCGATCATAGCAGAATAGGAGTAGTGTAGTACTAGTAGAATTTATTATTTTGATAGGGCTAGGGAAGGCCCTACAGACGTGGCCGTCTTTGTTACAGGGAACCCTAAGTGCTCTTTACAGAGCCAAACGAAAGCGGCCACTGTAGTCTTCTGAATGGCTACCTCCACCGCATTGGAGCTGCAGACTCGCCTCACCGTGTCTTCTGCCCTGGCGTCGTCGAGGATGCAATGCACTTCCTTTTCGACTGCCAAGGAAGAGCACAAAGCCGTCACTCTGCAGCTCTTCAGTCGTCTTCATTCGTCAGTCAAGCTGTAGCCGACTCTCCCTACAATATTGCACGATTCTTGCAGTTGGGGAGACTGTTATGAAGTTTCGAACACAGACTTGAAACACAATACATGATGAATTGCTACTATTATTATGTGAACTCCCATTACACTGGTATGCGGTATTACCTTCCACATAGTCATTAGTCTAGCATGGCGTCATATATTTGTCTCAATTCAGTGTTTTCCGAAGAATAAAAAAAAGAAAGAAAAAAAGCGGATATTCGTAGATGCTCAACTAATACTTGGCAGCATGCATGTAGTAGTAACTCTTACGGTTGTGTCGAGTAAATCTCACATTTCAATTGAGTTTTAGAATTGCGATAAACAGAACGAGCTGAACAGCCATTTCACAAAGTCTTTATTGTGTTCAAAACTAGTAAAGTGGATACGAGAGCGGTGAAGAACAGGGCTAGGGAAGGAGAAACCAAAATTTGTGATATGCAAGAAGTGATGAAAAAAGAATACTTAGAACTAGTATAAAATAAGAATTTTTGCTCCCCACACCGGAGCTCGCGCTATTCCGCCGACTTTACTTGACACTTGACTGACTCACGACTGCCATCCAGAGCACACGAGAAGTCCATCGAACCTTCGACTCGGCAAACGTGCAAGAAAGCACCACTCCCTGCTCAATACACAGTGTTTCGGGGAATTCACCCCTCATCAGTTGAGCTTGAGTAGGCTGAGGAAGATTGTGCCTGAAGAGCACCACTTATATAGTGCCCTCCAGGCACAAACATCACCAGGGATACAAACTTACAGAGACGCTCCGCTACTTCGTAGGATAAAATAATAATATTAATAATCTTTATTTCAGGATTACCCAAAGGCTGACGCCTATCGGGGGATCTCCTATTTGTGTCTATGCAATGAACATTGGAGTTGGGAAAAAGAGAAAATGTGCAAAATGAGTTCGGAAAAAGAGAGATGCTGTACAAGAGATACAGTGAAAGAACAAGCAGTGTACATAGTGTTCGCACAACACTTCTCAGGAAGCTACGTCGTACTAATGACACACATTCAAGGAAGGTGCTATTAAAGAGAAACGAAGTGAGAATAAACCCCTACATGTATGAAAAGGATAATATCCTAGCACTAGGGTGAAAACAGGAAACCTGCGAAAGCATCTAAACGAACTATACGTAAAACAAAACTAGACTGTTACACAAAATAGGACAACATGGCCATCCAGGGCCAAACAAACAAAACAAGCTGCTAACTAGAACAATACAAAAATGCCTCGTCGCTTACTTACATTATTTTTTTTATTTCAATTGAGTGTTCTATTTATTTCCGAATTTAGGTACCAGGTTAGGTACCAGGTTCAAGTCCTGCTTGGAAGCGGAAGGATTTTTTCCAGCCGTGCTGCGACCCACAGTTAATTGGGAACTCGTGGCCTGGCACGAGGGAAACATGGATGCAGTGAATGGGATTTCGGTCTTTGACCACTTTGTGGTGGGTCTGATCTACTCACCTCCCACCGCTTAGGAGCTGCATCTGCGCCTTGATCCAAGAGGGTGGTGGCGTTCCTGCGGATGCGGAAAACTGGGCCTTTGGCCGAGTCTCACGCGAACCGTGAAATTTTTTTTTTTTTTTTTTTTTTTTAGGTTGTTGTTTTGCTTCAGTTCTTACTTCATGGTTTCACGCGATTGGTGTTGTCAATAAGTCCGTTCTCAAGTACATGTAGTAGTAGAAGAATTTACTATTTTTGATGGGGAAGGCCCTACAGACGTTGCCAGCATATTCAACGCATACATGTACATATACATGTACATGTACATGTAGTTACGTCCCAGGGTAAGTTGCCCTAGTATATCTCATAACACCGTGTCAACGTTTTGCAATTCAGCTGATGTGAAGAGAAAGGACCAATACGGTAACGAGCTATGACTTTAACAGCTCACCACGCGTGGTAGCGAGATGATACCCGTATATTGTCAGATAGTAGTGCGACAACAAGGCACAAAACGGACAGGACTACCTCAGTACATTCGACGACCTGACATTTGGCACTTGTTTCCTTGGTGGACTGTTACTATTACATGTATATAGTCAGAACTCGTAGCTTTTAGTGCTTCTTCTCTTTACATGAATACCGGCACTATTATTAGTACGAGGGGATATGGCTTCTTTTAACATGGTTGTAAAATGTCGTTTTTTCAGCACCTCCTAGGAAAGCTACAGCCAAAATTTAATCAATCATGGCAAGTGAAAGTGATATCCTTCACGCCAGTTGGGTCCAAAATGGGAATGATCCCGCTTTGGAAAGTGTCTTGAATCATGTCCTACTTTCATAGTATCATAGTCTCAGTATTCAAATAGTTTGTGTGTCATGTTTAAAAAAAATCTGTACACATGTATGTATATTATGTATATTTATATTTGAATTCGCAAGTACACACGGACTACAAGCCCAATTACATGGAAGCGAATGTGATATTGAGGTTAATTAAGAAAAAAGGGTGGAGGAAGGAGGGAGGACGGTAGCAAAGCAACAGGGAGGACAATTCAGCAGCAAAATTATCAATTGCACAAATATGAGAGTGCCTGAGACCGAGGGTACCTGTGGAGCGATACAATGCTAAAGCAAACAGAAGAAAGCGTAAAATGGCATCACGAACCAGAATATTCAGTCACCAATGCGCTGAAGGTTATCACTTCGACGAGTGCCAGACTGCCAGTAGATGAAAATTCACTGGTCAACTGCATCCTATCCCGTGAAAGCTAAGAATTTGAATTTGCAACTACCGATGTTGATCTACGATAAACAGGCTCTCATTTGCCACCACCTATGTTTCGATACAGCCATCCAGAGCAGAGAAACAGCCGGAACAAAAGCAAATTTTACACATTAAATATTTAGTTCAAAATGCCAAATGCTAAAAATAGCCAAATCACCTCGTATTGGATCAACATCCGAGTTGGATTCAGCTGATATCCTTATTTACAACAGCAACAAGGAGGACACGTGTGGCGGGAAGCATTTCCCAATCCTTTTACTTGTCCATAATTGCAATTTCAAATTTGGACTTCACGGAGAATTTCAAGGTATTAGGAATAGAGTACCAAATGCCACGTCCTGCTCTTTTCTCTCCGAAACTCAACACTTGCAAGCCAGATATGAAAGAAAGAAAAAAATCATCAGTCACACCACCGGGACTCGAACCAGGGACTTTGCTATTCGCGAGCAATGCCCTAACCAACTGAGCTACAGAATGACTCTTATCCACAGTTATTATTATTATTCTTTATTTCCACGATGCATCGATGGCCCATGGCCAATAAGGAAGATAATATGATTCAAATCAGTCCAGAATCATTATAAAACCAGTCTAGCAAGTAAGGAAACCAACACATTGCAGGGGGATGGGGTTACGATGGGGTACAGTGTGAGCTACTACAGGAGCATATGGATGATAGAATGAGGCTAGACGCCATTGATTTAAACGCATGCTTGCTATTTGTTTCACGCAGGTCGGGGGGCAGTTGGTTGAAATTGTGAAGGGACAGGTTGATGGGTGAGTTGGTGTGTCGGTATGTGTGTGATGTTCTCAATGTGTATGTTCTCATGTGTCGTAGTGCATATGGCTGCTCTGTAATTGGTCGTGCAAGGTGAGGCTGTTGCAGGTGAAGGGGAGCGCGGATGTACTTGATGTTGTGGGCAAGAGTAACCCGTCGTAAGAGTTGCCGGGTGATGGCAAATCTATCCTTCTTCGATCAATCCATATCTGGTTTGCATCATACTGGCAACTCACACCAATCAAGAGGGCCCTCGGCCATTCGCTTGATAATTATCATGGGGAGCGCATCAAACTATGTCCACTGCGAGCAAATACAAATTGCAATTTCAAATTTGGACTTCACGGAGAATTTCAAAGTATTAGGAAATTAGAGGCCACATGCCACGTACTGCTCTTTTTCTCCGAAACTCAACACTTGCAAGCCAGAAATTCTCCGTGAAGTCCAAATTTGAAATTGCACTTTGTATTTGCTCGCAGTGGTAACAGTTTGATGCACCGGCCCCGGTCAGTCGACTGGATTTCCATGTCCGCTGCGTGCAATGCATTGTAGCTCTTGTTCGGGTTTGCATCATTCTTGCACTTTATCGGTATGTTCTGTGATGATTCTACTGTAGCGGACATGGAAATCCAGTCGATTGACCGGGGCCGGCGCCCTCAGCGCGTACAGAACGCTGCGTGCAGTGCACATGTTGATTCGACGCGACCAGCGCGCTGCAGCGCATAAATGCATGTGTGTACCGCTTCTCCACGGCTGCATGGCCAGCGCCCTGGGGCCGCTAGACGTGCGACCGGATTTCCATGTCCACAACAGTACAAGTATTCCTTTCTTCACAGTATTCTCGCTCGCATAGTACTCCACTTCTATGATAGTATTGCCTATGCTGTTGCTCATAAGGATTTTGGCAAATTCTATCCTTCGCTTTCATATAACTGGGCCAGGAACCCGTTTGAACTTGCGAAGTAAAAATAAAATCAATCAATCAATTTCTTCTTTGGTGTTTCGGCCCACCCTTGTGTGCTTGGTAGAATCAAAACTCTTTACCATCGACAGGCTTACACTCATGTCCTTGGCAAATACTACTCAGCACCGCGCATGCGGTGGGTTTTGCAGAACGATTCTTGTGCCTAGAAATCCTAACACAGGTTCCGGGAATGCATAGAGATGTGGAGGTCTGATCCTTTCAAGCGGCACATGTGCACCCACATGACCTGATGCCCTTTTCCCGCATTAGATCTACAAGCAACACAATAGAGAGCTAGAGGTTTACGATGCACGTTATTTCTGACGTGACGCGAACGTTCCGCTCGCGTTATTTGGCTCGCGCGTCGAAAAACAACGCGAGTGACCTGTAGCCTAGGCCTAGCGCCTAGGCTGCAGCTCACGTCGAAATTTGGGGTTTACGACGTTTTGTGACGTGAAAATGCGTGTCACGTCGGAAATAACGGGCTGAGTCGGGTTGCACTTTCTTCGGGGTTCGTCTGGTTTTCTACGGGGTTTCTTGCAGGTTTTGCCGCGTCGAAGATTCGATGGACTTCACTTATGCTCTGGATGGCAGTCGTGAGTCAGTCAAGTGTCAAGTCAAGTCGGCGGATCAAAGCGCGAGCTCCAGTGTGGGCGCAAACCTATTTGTCCATTTTCTTTAAAACTTATTACTGGGAACACAGCCCCATGCTGTATGATCACAGATCAGTCGTGTTGAGCCTGGGTGCAATTCCTAGGAATGTCAACAACTACTGAATATGACGCCAATCTGTCAAATCAGTCAGACTGCACCTGTAGCTAGCCGGCGCCTTTCTAGGGAATTCACTGAGCCAGCTCCATTCCACTGCTCACTCTGGTTTGCGCATATTCCAGCTCAGCAGCGCTGTCGGCCACGAGTTCAGTAATCTATAGTCATGGCTGTACTGCTAACGTTAGTAACGCGGTCGTCCCTTGCTGTTGCATCCCGCTGTCCCGTTTGGCTGAATTCAAGCCAGGATTATGACAGCTAAGGCTACAGACAAGCGAAAGCAATTCCGAGTTTGTGTGATGTTTACTCATACTCGTGTCAGTTCTGAAACTGCACATGTGTTGACTGGACCATGACTCCCCTGAGGAGACAAGCTTGACCTTCTAATAATGTTGTCAGAAATGTTCAACATTTGCTTGTACATGTAGTACAATAATCTTACATTTCAATTGAATGAACTCGGATGATGGAGAGCCAAGGAATAATTACAAAAAAATAAAAAAGACCAAGGAACTACAAGTTACATTAATTATAATGTCAACTAACACCACCAGTTGCTAAACAATCAGCTCATGCCATAACAAGGCGCGACACTGACCGACGGTACTGACGTTCTACAACTAACTGGCTAACAGCTCTAGCACATCTTGGATGCGCCCTCCAACAGCCTTCCAACTTGGAAGGTTCTAAGTTATAGAACCTTCCAAGTTGGAGGGCTCATGGAGTGCGCATCCAAGATGTGCTAGAGCTGTTAGCCAGTTAGTTGTAGAACGTCAGTACCGTCGGTCAGTGTCGCGCCTTGTTATGGCATGAGCTGATTGTTTAGCAACTGGTGGTGTCAGCGGACATTATAGTGTAACTTGTAGTTCCTTGGTCCTTTTATTTTTCAATTGAGTGTTCTATTTATTTCCGAATTTGCGTTGTCTTTTTGCTTTGGTGCTGACTTCATGGTTTCACGCGATTGGCACAATGATTGGCACAATTGGTATTGTGAATAAACACGTTCTCAAGTAGTACAATCATGTACTGTACTAGTAGATTTCTGTCGGTGCTAATGCTATGCGAAGACCAGTGCACAGTGTACAGCCTATCATCCAGTGTACCGGTATTATGCTAGCAGATTTTGCATGTGCTTTGTCACCCCCGCCAGTGACGGACCCAGTGCAGACTTGACAGTCGAAAAGACAGGTAGTAGCGCCTCTGGCACCAACGCAGGCGCTAGGCACAATTCTCGAGAATCGAGTTTCAGTTATTACGCGTGTCCACCCACCCAGAAGGCAACAGGCAATGACTGAAACTACCAGTACAGACAGTTGATCGGACGATCACCTCCGACAACTGCACGGTGAATCCTTGTTTTTCAGAAACTCGATGACACGACTCGCTTACAATCATGACGTGCTGTTGACATTTGGCCTCGTGGATATTAGAGTTGAAGCTGCTCAGCGCGAAAGTCGGTGGAACCGTTCATCCCAATGCTCATTCATAGACCTAGCGATCTGTAGAATTTCACACTCAGCCATGCAAGACAAAATTCCTAGATTGTGAGTACGGGTACAAGATGCCCACGGGTCTGATAAATCCGTGACCAAACCCGGATAGCCGTCCTTTGTATGCCTGATGATACATGTACTGACCGTAGACTTGCGAACCGAGGTGACAGGCAGCACCAGCCCTCAGCGTGTTCAAACACAAGCCGCTCGGGATACATTTTGACACCGACGATCATTGTGTTCAAATTCTTGAACGCGTGCAATGATAGATTCAGTCACTGAATGTCGCTCCAACACAAACTGTTGTCTTTGCCCAAGTGAGGGCAGTGTAAAACGTGAAGGGGAACACACCATACACAGGAGACGTTCACAATTATTTGCGTGCCAGCTGAGGTAGGTGAATTGTTTCCCTGTGGAGTCTTGACCCGAGTTACTATTCGCTGGACTAAAGGGAGCTGACGCGGAATCATAGTACACGCCACCATTCATCCGTGAGTAGCTTAATCCATCTCTACAATGTATCTACATGACTCGAACGTTTAATACATGTAACAATTGACATGTTTGTTGTTGTGTGGTGGCATGGTACTCACGAATACAGGAGACAAAACGGTACTGAACCTTATTATTACTCGCGCGATCTGTGTCGGCATCGCCTGAATGTTCAGAAACACACAGACTAGCCCTCGCTTCCGCATGCTACCAGTATGCCTCAGGCCCTGTACACCTAATGCCTCGGTCACACTAGGCCGATTTGTCGGCCAATGCTACGACACCGACTTTGTGTGGCACGTGTTGTGAGCTGGCTTTGGAATGAAAAACTTGTCAGCGCCTTCTAGGTTCAGCCCGGTCCCATAGCTCAGTGGTTAGAGCATTGCTTATGACAAGCAAGGTCCCGGGTTCGAGTCCTGGTGGGTCTGGCGGTTTTTCTCTTTCCAGGCAGTTCACTTCCCTGCTAGATCCTTTGAATTTGAAGTTCTCCCAATCCTTTCAAAAAGTAATCACTTTCTTTCACCTCTGGTAGTTTCCAGAAACTGACCGTGGTTGGTGCCCTGGGGGAGGGAAAGACCCAAGTGCCATCAGTATTGTGTGGCACGTGTTGTGGACTGCCTTTGGAGTGAAAAACTTGTCAGCGCCTTCTAGGTTCAGCCTGGTCCCACAGCTCAGTGGTTAGAGCATTGCTCATGACAAGCAAGGTCCTGGGTTCGAGTCCTGGTGGGTCTGGCGTTTTTTCTCTTTCCAGGCAGGTCACGTCCCCGACAGATCCTTTGAATTATTATTATTAGTATTTTCCCGTTGGTGTCTTTCCCTCAAACTAATGAAGATTATCATTATTATAATTTCGTATTTTTTTCTTATTATTTTATTAGGGATTTCCCAACAGGCAATGTTGCCTTTTTACTGGGAACCCTAAATGTGACTTTGCGCGAAACAAAGCAGGCGACCCAGCCAGGCGACAAGATGGAGGCAGCGCATTCCACCTGTCGGCACCAATAATAATAAGAACTTTATTAGGATGACCCAAAGGTAGGGTCCAGCGGATAATGCTCCGAAAATGTTCGTATAATGCTTATCATAATGCTCCAAAAACTGCCTTGTAATGCTGATTAAAATGCTTCAACAAGGGCTATAATGCTCTTGTTTTGGAACAAAAATGGAAGAAAGGCTGCACATTGTCAAACTTTCAGGAAAGGACGCATTTAGTTGATCTGCCTCTGACGCTGCTACACTTCTTAGCACTATAAGACATGATCGCATCTCCATTGGCTGCTCTCTATTGCAACTTTGATGCAGGGCTGTGGCTCCGTAGTGGGTGTATCAAATTACCATTATTGCTGGTGATCATTTGGATGCTGGAAGCATAATGGGAAGTAGTATTCCTGCCTGCAGACAAGCTGTCACCGCTTACACTCTGTGAAAAATGTCTTCATCTGAAACAGCTCACGTGAGGCCAGTAGAGAGACGATCTCAGATCGAGATCTCTCCCATTTGCGGAAATCCTGAAAACATGTCGTCAGAAGTTATTTCGCCGCTCTACATCCTCTGCTTGCGCTGTCTTCTTCTTCTTCTGAGGTTGCAAATGGTTGGCCACAATACTCTTCTTTTCTGATAGCACCTGACTGTAGGCCTTGCATTCAAATCGTCCACGACGAACTGTACGTGCTTCACCACGAAAGTTAGACACGCGCTCCTGAGCACTCAAATCGACTTGGTACTACGTCCATGAGAAATTCTAGTTCTTTTCGAGCCTGCTGACCTGGACTCGGCAAAGGCAGTTATTTGGAACATGCTCTTCCTGTTTATAGCCGCTCCTTCATCCAGGTCCAAATATAATCTTTCAGTACATCAGTGTTTTCTTCAGTATCGTTAGAGATGCTATGGCCAGAGCCTATGGCATAACAGGGAAACTCCTCTTCGTCTCTTTGATGTTCACTTCGCGTACGTCTAGTCTCTTCCATGGCTTTCCATGATTTGTAAAAAAAGAACTCGAACTATGTTCACTTCGCGTACGTCTAGTCTCCTCCATGGCTTTCCATGATTTGTAAAAAAGAACTCCTCGTAAATCATCGTTACGGATTTTGTGTAACAGCCTCAGTTGCAATGTTGGGCATGCTACATCACCTGTACATTTACTTGACCACATTGCTACATGAAGACTTTATGCAGCAATGGCATTACATGTATGTAGTCAGGTAAATGTAGCATTAGTGCTAAAGGTGTTCCATGTCTACAAATCACAAAGTCATGTGTCGGTACAATACACTGTGGCGTTGCACCTCATGGCTTTAGCCGATTGTTGCCAAAAACTTGATATTTCCCCACATTATCCACTATGAAACTTGTTATGCTGCTCAAACCTCACAGTCATAATGCTCGTCTTGTTCCTTTCTAATGCTCCATAACGCTCTGATGCTCGGATAGTCTCATAATGCCGAATATAATGCCGGCATTATCCGCTGGACCCTACCCAAAGGCAAATCGCCTATCGAGGGGTTCACCGTGTTGAATGGTTGTGGTATGACAACGCAAAGAGGCAACCATTGTGTGTGTGTGTGTGTGTGCGGGTGGGGGGGGGGGAGAGTTTCGAACTATGCACAGTGAAGGGATAATTGCATGTACATGATCAAGGATAGGGTATACCGGACAAAGTTGCCATTTTTACCAAGATACGCAATGGAATGGAAACCATACCGGGAGTGTCAGGCAAGACAAGAGCACCTGTAGCTTGGCCGGAGTTGCTTGAAGTGGCTCAGCAACTCTAATCGCACACTAAACTATAGTAAAATTACCATCAGAAATGCATAATCTTCATTTTCTTTGTGCAATCAAAATACATTTTCTAAGAAAGTGGTGGACATCACGCAGTTGCGTGATGAAGAAAAGGGGGTTTGTCAATTGACAACCGCTCTATTCAGTTGCTATTCAGAATCGCCGCATACGCTTGATGAAAAATTAATTTTATTCCCGTAGCTATGCAGAAGACGTTACTTCAGTAACGTCTTGCGCTAGCCAGGGTCCACACAGCTTTAATTCCCGTAGCTATGCAGAAGACGTTACTTCAGTAACGTCTGGCGCTAGCCAGGGTCCACACAGCTTTAATTTGGTATTTGTTTGTGTGTTTGTTTGTTTGTTTGTTTGTTTGTGTCACGCCTGGCGCTATCCCGTATCTGAAGGCAAAAAATCATAGGGATGTTATAAATTTTTCAATTCTCTTATTTTTTTCAGGCATATCCTGGGATTCGAACCCGCACTATCGCCCTACATGCATTCCCCCATACACTTCGCATTCATACCCATTCTTCCAAGTTGCTTCACGTTATGATCTTGCGTTTGAAAGCCCTATTTGAATATTGCGGGCAGCTGTATGTGGCCAGCTGTGTTTGATGGTACGGTACGGTACGGGAGACGGTGTCGTATTACCCTCGATCGTACCTGTCCCGTACCTATCCCTACCGTACCGTACCATCAAAGACGGCCGGCCACAATGCATATTCAAATAGGGCTTTCAAATGCAAGATCATAATGTGAAGCAACTTGGAATAATTAGTATGTATGCGAAGTGTATCGGGGGATGCATGCAGGGCGCGATAGTGCGGGTTCGAATCCCAGGTTATGTCTTTAAAAAAAGGAATTTTTTAAAGACCAGGGATGCATGCAGGGCGCGATAGTGCGGGTTCGAATCCCAGGTTGTCTTAAAAAAAAGGAATTTTTAAAGAATTTATAACATCCGTATGCTTTTTTTGTCTAGGTCATCAAGGCAAAAAAGCATAGCGTAGGGCCCTGAGCTTCCAAGCTCTCTCGTTTGGTGTTTGTTTGTGTGTTTGTGTGTTTGTGTCATGCCTGGCGCTATCCCGTATCTGGTCCGTACCGTACCGTACCATCAAACACAGCTGGCCACATACAGCTGGCCGCAATATTCAAATAGGGCTTTCAAACGCAAGATCATAACGTGAAGCAACTTGGAAGAATGAGTATGGATGCGAAGTGTATGGGGGAATGCATGTGTGGTGATAGCGCGGGTTCGAATCCCAGGTAAGGCCACACTTTGTTTTTTCTATGTTTCTCGTCGGCATATTTTAACAAAAGGTATGCGGGTGGGCGGAAAAAAAACAAAAGCCAAGGAAAAAACAAGAACAATTTCTACTGAAAACTGTATACATTTTACAATGTCCATGTATATGCGTGATTCATACAAGACACTGCGTATACCATGTATACAGTACTACATTGTACAATCATGTACATGTAGTCCCATACATGATTGCACTACATTATCACATCAGCCCGCGAATATCAGTCAAACAGCAACGATGAGAGTATAAAGTTTGATGAATACGAGATGGCGAAGAGAACATACATTTACATGTATCTGCTATCGCATCAACAAACGCTTTCCCACTGGTCATTTTTGGTTTTGTTACTTCAACGTTCTTGTGTCCGCTTATCAAACTCTTGTCTCCACGCTGCTCATCTTTTCCTCGCCATGCGTCTATTGCTTGGATTTTCTGCTCACGACATCGTTCCACAGACGCCAGTTGCCACGGAACTCGTCCGACTTACGGTATTCCTGGGACCCATGAGGCTCAGGCAGTGAACGACTGAAAGCTTCGTCATGGCAGCTTTCATCGCAGAGAACGGACGGGGAGCGCTCCTTTGCTGCTGCGGTGCAAACATTTACGATTTTGATTGACGCATCTAGCTGCTCCAGCATGTGCAGCGCACATACATGTACGTAGTATGAACGTTTTTTTTCTTCCGAAATTTCTGAAAACCTACGCGGGCGATGACGAGAAACATAGAAAAAACAAAGTGTGGCCTAATGCCAGAAAAAATAGAATTGAAAAATTTATAACATCCCTTTTCTTTTTTTGCCGTCATCAAGGCGGTAGACGGTGTCGTATTACCCTCGACCGTACCTTTTCCGTGCCTGTCCCGTACCTGTCCCGTACCTATCCCGTACCGTACCGTACATTCAAAGACGGCTGGCCACAATGCATATTCAAATAGGGCTTTCAAATACAAGATCATAACGTGAAGCAACTTGGAAGAATTAGTATGTATGCGAAGTGTATCGGGGGATGCATGCAGGGCGATAGTGCGGGTTCGAATCCCAGGTTATGTCTAAAAACAAAAAGTAGAAACTTATAAGAATTTATAACATCCCTACGCTTTTTTTGTCTAGGTCATCAAGGCAAAAAAAGCATAGCGTAGGGCCCTGAGCTTCCAAGCTCTCTCGTTTGGTATTTGTTTGTTTGTTTGTGTGTTTGTGTCACGCCTGGCGCTATCCCGTATCTGTCCCGTACCGTACCGTACCATCAAACACAGCTGGCCACATACAGCTGGCCGCAATATTCAAATAGGGCTTTCAAACGCAGGATCATAACGTGAAGCAACTTGGAAGAATGAGTATGAATGCGAAGTGTATGGGGGAATGCATGTAGAGCGATAGTGCGGGTTCGAATCCCAGGTAAGGCCTGAAAAAAATAGAATTGAAAAATTTATAACATCCCATTTCTTTTTTTGCCGTCATCAAGGCGGTAGACGGTGTCGTATTACCCTCGACCGTACCTTTTCCGTTCCCGTACCGTACCTGTCCCGTACCTGTCCCGTACCGTACCATCAAAGACGGCTGGCCACAATGCATATTCAAATAGGGCTTTCAAATGCAAGATCATAACGTGAAGCAACTTGGAAGAATTAGTATGCATGCGAAGTGTAAGGGGGTGCATGCAGGGCGCGCGATAGTGCGGGTTCGAATTCCAGGTTTAATGTCTTTAAAAAAAAGGAGAAATTTATAAGAATTTATAACATCTCTATGCTTTTTTGTCTAGGTCATCAAGGCAAAAAAGCATAGCGTAGGGCCCTGAGCTTCCAAGCTCTCTCGTTGTGATGTCGAAAAAAGTTATGACGTTTCGGGCCAGTCATTAAAAATTACATTTTCATGAACATACCAGCAATTGCATTTCCTCTCTTTGCCATTCAGGCTGTGAAGGCCTGGACCAGCGACACCACGTTCCCCTAGTGGACGTGTTCGTCATGGAGACTCCTCTCAAGGTAGGCTTGATACGGGCGTTTTGCAAGGGAAAAAGCTCACTCGTAAGTGAACCTTGTTACCCTGGTCAGTCCGGGACCGGGAGCTGCGCAAAACTGTGACATGCCTTAAAACTATGAATCAAATTATACGTTTCAATGGAAGCTTCAACGACAAGAGCAACATCATCATCTATACCATCATAACATATGACGTCATTAGTTAATCAACTAGTGGCAAAGAATAAGTGATATTTCAACTCGCTTAAATCGTGCTCAGGACAATGACCTACGAAGGTGCGGACCCATAATTTCCATGTCCTGACTCGAACAAATGGCTGTGCACTGCAGTGCGGTCCGGCATCTTCCTGTCCACATGATTTGGAAAGTCTATTTTGAACGAAGCTCAATGCTCTGCATGATACATGTAATTCTTTGCCCTGGATTGTGTCCTTTCTCAGGCTGCGGTTCAATATGTTTGAGGGACGGGAAATCCGATTGAATTAAAAACTAGGATGGGTCATTGTTTCTCTACCAGTTTGCTGTACTGAAAATCTACGTCCATGCAACGTGTTCAAGTGTTCTTTCGAAGATCAGAGTAGCTGTTCAGTGGTCACTGTTAATAGCAGAAATATACTATACCGTAGTTATTAGAGTATTGCTGCCCTATGGCGAAGGTTCCTGGTTCGACTCTCGGCGGTGACAGTCAAGTCGTTCTTGAGCCTAAACCTTGCACAATCTTCTCGACAGACGCATGTAGCGGCTCAGCGTTCCATTCTGCTATGCATCGTGGCAGTGAAATATGTACTGTTGAACTCCTAAAATATGTACTGACAACTCTCATAACTAACCTGCCGGTTGGAAATGCTTTTGAGTATGAGGCCAATTAGCAAATCACGGCAATTTGCTTGTTGTTGGTGTCGTTGAAAATCTTTTATTCTCACGATGGCCTGTGGCCAACAAGAGAAATTGTTGTTGTTGTTGTTGTTGTTGTTGTTGTTGTTGTTATCGTCATCGTCGTCGTCGTCACCGCCGCTGTCGTCGCCATCGTTGTCGTTGTTGACTATAATTATTTGAAGTGAAGTTACAAACCTTCCCTGTAAAGGACACTTGAAAGGATAAGTTTGACATGATGAGGATCTGTGCAGGTCTGGTTGAGTAATTGGGAAATTATCCTAGGAATTCATGAAAAATAATGAAGTTTGGCATGCCCGGTGGGGATTTCCCCACCATGTTGAATACATGCAATGAGCCTTATATGTGTGATGTGTGCATGTCATTATTGCGTACTTGGTCTGTCCATCTTTGCACAGGCGTCCGCACGTCTTCTCACCTGCATGACTGTAGTTCTCATACTTGTCATGTCAGGGTGCACCAGGGCACAACAATGCCCAGTACAATGCAGCTGTCCAGCTCCTGATGTGCTGCACTGCTACTCCCGCAGTTTAACGTCAGTACCGACTGGCTTGCCGGTGAACACAACAGGATTGTAAGATATAATCCAGGCTCTTGCTTGTTTAAACTCGGATGTTTAGCCAATAGTGATATGTAAAGAGAAAGGGACCTATAAGTTACTTGTTATGACTAACAGTCCACCAAGGTAGCGAGATAATGTACCGTCAGATAGTGTGACAACAAGGCACAAAACGGACAAGGATATTGAGACAAACTTGTCCATCATTGGCTTCCCCTCTTTATGCATTTTTACAAACCTTTGAGCCTCCCAAGTTGGGTAATCTGTTGCCTTCCGTTTTCGAGTTGTAGTTAAACCGGTTTGTCCAATTGTCTTACTACAGTCGATCCATAAAAAGACGAACTTCTAGCTTTTGGCCATGAATGGGTCAAAATTTGAGTTTTTTTTTAAGAATTTATTTCTGAAATCCCCTATGGAACCCTCTTCCAATTCTGTTTCTGAAGTATATTTCTCCCAATATCAAGCCCCAACAAGTATTTGGATCTAGGCCAATTGTTGCCCCGAAAGCACTGAATTGGGAAAAACCATCAAAATCCAGGCTTCTTGACCCTGTACGGTGCACTGTGCGGTTCGAACCCCAGTTCTGGTACCCTTTTTGCACCCATTTCAAATTTCAAAATTTGCAGCATTGCACTGGCAGACCCCTGGTCACTGCAATCCTACACGTCATGTCGCCTAATCCCATTGGACAACAAACCGGGTGTCATGCCCATCGGCATAGGGGAGGTTTTAAGGCCGATTGTGGGCAAAGACATCCTCAGCCTTCTGCGAGACGGCATCCTTGAAGCAGCCGACAGCCTACAGCTTTGTGCTCGTCACGAGTGAGGGTAGAAGCCACTATTCATGCCATGAGAGAAGTTTTCGCAGATGACGAAACGGAAGGCCTCCTTCTAGCAGACGCCTGAAACGCGTTCAATTGCTTGAATCCTGCTGTGTATCTGCCGAACATCCAACACCTTTGTCCAGCCATGTCACCAGTTGTCATTAACACTTACAGGCAACCCGCACAGCTCTTTGTCGGTGGAGAAGTCATCCTCTCTTCCGAAGGTACCACGCAGGAGGACCCGATTGCAATGCCTCTGTATGCTCTAGGTGTGCTAGGTGTGCTTCCTTTGCTGCTGTCAGTCTCTACTGCCAGTACTGTGCAAGCCTGGTTTGCTGATGACTCAGGAGCAGGTGGCAAGCTGATCTCTGTACGTGCATGGTGGCATAGCCTAGCAGAGCAAGGTCCTGCCTACGGCTATCACCTGAACCCGTCCAAGTCGGTTCTCCTGGTTAAACCGGAGCATTATGATCGAGCAGTGGAGATGTTCGCCGACACCAGAGTTGACATCCGCGTCGATGGTTGCCGGCACCTGGGTTCGACAATTGGTACCCCTTCCTTCCTGGATAGCTTTGTTGAGCAGAAGGTTACAAGATGGCTCAACCACGTGGAGAAGTTGTTCTCGTATGCGGACACGCAACCATAAGCTGCATCCGCTGCACTCACACAAGGCCTGCAGAATATGTGGTCTTTCCTCTGCCGCACCACACCAACAGCTGCAGCTGCTCTGACGCCTGTGGAGAAGCTGCTAATGGAGAGGCTCAACCGCGATCTTACGGGCCATATTGTCAACTCGGAGGAAAGGTCCATTCTTGCGCTTCCATGTCGCCACGGAGGGCTCGGGCTGGACAATCCTATGGATCTCGCATCCCGGTATGATGCATTGGGTAGGGTGACTGAGTCCTTGCAGACCAACATCAAGCTGCTGACTATGGCGCTCGGCTCTGCAACCAGTCTTGTTCGCACTGCCAAGGCGGAGGTGAGGATAACAGCACGGAATGCTGTCAAAACCCAAGCCCTGCTGCTCCGCTCCAGTCTGCTGGAGGCCAAGCAGCCTGTAGTCGACCTGGCTGCAGAGAAGGGCTCTCCCAGTTGGCTGACCTGCAGGCCCTTGAAGCGACATAGATTTGTCCTCTCCAAAGCGGAGTTTCGCGATGGAGTGCACCGAAGGTACAACTGGCAGCCACAGCAAATGCCTTCAGGGTGCGTTTGTGGAAGCCAGTTTACAGTGGCCCATCCCTCTCGTGCCCCACCGGCGGTTACCCTACCATCAGGCACAACGAGATCCGGGATATGACCGCTGGATTCTTGAAGCGTGTTGCCACCAACGTATCTGTGGAGCCTCATCTGGAGCCCCTGAGTGGGGAGCAGCTTCGCGATCGCACCGCCATCCGCGACCACCAGGCTTGCTTAGACGTAGCATCAAATGGAGTGTGGGGAGGGCGGTTCGAACTCACCTTCTTCGACGTCCGGGTTTTCAATCATTTTGCGTCTTCGAACCAGTCCCCGTCCATTTCTGCCACCTACGTTCGCCATGAGAAAGCAAAGAAGAGATCGTACGAAGAGAGGCTGCGGGAGATCAAGCATGCTTCATTTGTCCCGTTGGTCTTCTCGACAACCCGGGGCATGGGCAAGCAATCTGCCTCGCTTTACAAGCGTATTGCATCCCTCATTGCTGAGAAAAGCAGCGAACCGTATTCGGTTGTCATGTCATTCATCCGCTGCCACGTTAGCTTTGCTTTACTGAGAGCAAGTGCCATGTGCCTGCGTGGTAGCCGCTCTGTGTTCGCTGTGCATGCACCTGTCTCTTCTTCTGCCTCCCTAGTTGCTGCCGAAGCTGGCACTTCCCGTCATTACTTTTGTAGTCTTTACTTCTTTAATATTATTATTTGCCATGGCAACCCGAGTAAGCCCAAATAGCTGGCAGGGCAGGGTTGGGCCTTTTTCTTTTACTTCACATGTGTAGTATTTTCACGGTTTCTGCACAGTTGAAGTGTCCCATTGAATTGAGAAGTATGAAGATAAGTTTTAAAAGAACTAAATATTGCGACAGAGCTTTCGGCCATATTTTCAATTTATTGCATTCCCAACTCATCACAACCACGCGCTCTTCAGCCGAACCATACAGACACCAGCAAGGACACTTCCGTTGAGAGATAATATTGTTCCACGCCTCTAGACAGCTGTTTCTCTCCCTTTTGGAGCTCATCAGCTGTCTAGAGGCGTGGAACAATATTATCTCTCAACGGAAGTGTCCTTGCTGGTGTCTGTATGGTTCAGCTGAAGAGCGCGTGGTTGTGATGAGTTGGGAATGCAATAAATTGAAGATAAGTTAAGTTTAAAAAAACTGTGTGCGATAAAATCACGAAAAATCGCCAAATATGGAGGCTCGCAAGGGCAGGTAATTCCACCCATGCTAGCCATTTAGTGTGAACCTAACAGGATCCCAATGTCGCAAAGCGCAAAGTACCTGGGGGTCATCATCGACGACCATCAAGCCTTCGACATGCAGATTGAGACGGTGCTGCAGAAGGTACACCAGAAGCTTGGTGCATTCAGACTTCAGACACGGCAAGAAGAACATAAACCACGAAGGTCGTCATATGTTCAATCTATCACTGATAAAGTCAACCCTGGACTATGCCAGCATATTTTATTTATTATTATGTTCATTGTTTGAGCACTATGCTATCAGAGACTTTTGAGACGGAGCACGCTGGCCATCCGCAGAGGTTTCGGCTTGTCCCCGTACGCGTCTTCCAACGACTGTTTGACGATAGCTAATGTTGCACCTCTGGAACTTCGCTTTTACCTAAAAAAATTTGATCTCGGACCATGCAAACAGGTGACTGCCCATCGCACAAGGCAGAATGACAGCTTGCAGCGGAGGTGATCCATGATGGCCGATAGATGCCGGTCGACGTTTTTCCCCGCTATCAGGCATGCTAGTGTCTTCAGGGCCATTGAACACTCTCTGCCAATCATGCCCGAGGTAGAGAAAACTAGAGGTGTAAACGTACCTCTGTCCACTGTTGTCACTCGCTCCCCGTACTGGCGCTTCTTCATCTGTTCATGAGTTCGGAGCTGGCTGATGACTTCCCGACGCGACAGCAAGCTTGCTTTTGGGTGTGTAACCCGGATATCAAAAAAGCATCCTGCTGTCTCGTCCAGAAGCCACACGCCCGGATGTCCAGGCGGGCCCCTGCCCAGGGGTTGGCTATCCTGCCTTGGAGCCGCTCACCATCATATGGCAGTAGAGGCGGTTCTATCTCAACATCCCTGACGGCCTCACGCATCACATCAGGCAACAAGTCCCGGATCTCGTTGTGGCGTGCCATGGGGTAGCCTCCTGCCGGACACAGCATCGCATGGTCCATTGTCATTGCAGCACCACATACACAAGTCAGCGGCAGGCAGTCATGCTGCAGACCGTAGCGGATGAAGAATGCATGTTGGAAATCTGATTTGTTGATCACCATCTGCATTTGGGATGATGGTTCCGCCGTTACCCAAGACGATACGCCCTTTTCCTCGGCAGTCTCCACTAATAGCACCTGTGTTGCTGTCAAATCCGGGCGTATTTTGTTAACGAGACCCGTGGCTCGGGTAGCTCTCTCCCTCCAAATACGCCTCCTGCCGACTGAGGGCTATTGCCTTGTTCAGCTGGTCTGTTAGGGCAATGTCGTTGGTGCTTGTTGGGTGTGCTGCTGGTCTTATGCAGGAAGTCACAGGGGCCACTATCCGTCTGGAGGCAGAAAACTCGCAACCAAACAAGCAGGAGCTGAAAGTCTCAGCTTGGAAGTACGTTGGCGGATGTACATGCATGTCTATGACGATACTGGCACGACCATTGGACAATACGGCTAAATCACGATTCAAGGACGCAAAGCAACATTCCACACAATGAGTGTGGTGCAAAGATGTGAAGATCAATTAAAGGGGAAGCTACTCGAACAACAACAAAAAAGTTTGACGGGTTCGCGTGCTGGGCAGGTCAAGAACAAGGAGTCGTACAACTCCCTGGTCAAGAACCACCTTTCCGCTTCCGTGGGACGCCACCACTCCATGATCAGGCGTCAGATGCGGCTCCTAAACGGTGGGGGAGGATAGATCAGATCCACCAACCATAGGCCAAAGGCCTAAATCCCATTTTGCCACATCCATGTTTTACTCATGCCAGGCCACGAGTTCCCAATTAACTGTGGGTCGCAGCACGGTTGGAAAAAATCCTTCCGCTTCCAAGCAGGACTTGAACCTGGTACCTCTCGTTTCTCAATCATGGTATTATACCAACCCACTTTGCCTGCCTCCGAAGACCCATGCAAAACCGGACGATTTCGCGACACCATCAACCCTGGCCGATCCCTCCAGCCAATTTCTATGGGGTGGCCACAGGAGAAGTGGAGGAGCTGAAGTTGCTTGGTTTGCTCTTCGATCGGAGCCTCTCCTTCGCTCCCACATTCGACAAGACTTAGTTGCAGTCCTTTGTCACCAACATCTTGGCTTCATGAGGAAGGATCGGCCAAACAAGGCCACGTATGCCGTGTATCGCGGCTTCGTCCGCCCAGTACTTGGGTACTGCCCGCTTTCATGGTTGGGTACGTCCCAGTCCACCCTGAACCTGCTGGACCAGGTACAGCACCGAGCCCTAAAGCTATAGCTCATCGGCCCAGGGTCGTATCTCCCAAGCTTCACTGTTCGGCGTCAAGACGCAGCACTCACATGCCTGTACAAGCTGCATTGGATTGACGGTCCCCTAATCCTGACCACCATGACACACCCCGAGCGGCGAGGGAAGTTGCTAACCAGCACCGGCACTCCACTCACCACCAGCAAGAGGAGCAGCACCAGCACCAACTGGTACGGACACTGCCAGCCCGAACCCATAATAGTGCTCTCCGGTCATTCCCCATGCCACGATCCAAGAATCGTCTCCCATCTGCCCTGCTACGCAACCTTCCCACGCAGGAGGGAATGCAGGCATTCAAGGAAGGCGCCTACAAGTCTCTCCGCAGTCGAGACTGGCACTCAGCCACGGATGCCCTTTGAACCCTCCCTGAACACCCTCTTCGCTTGCACCCTGGCTCCCATTTTCCACTCTATGACATGTATCATTTTTCCATTTTTCACCCTCTACACAAATGTACTCCCCCCTCCCCTCCCCTGTGACTACTCCTCCCCTTTTGTGCACTGAAGTGTCGCTAAAGCCGAGACCTCAGGTCGGCGAAGATGCTCCAGTTTGACCACCACAGTTGCGTCTGCGGCCACCTTTATCATGCAGTATTCTGTCCTCGAGGTTCGCAGTTCCTCGTAACCCCCCCCCCCCCGCAACAAAAAACCTCAGTAAAACCGCGCCGTAATTCGTCTATGACAATTTAGATTAACAATAAGCAGCAGTAGCAATCATTTTATCTCGGATACTGAGCATGTAATAAATGTAAAAAAAAAGAGAAGAAAACACATGAGACCGAGTTATGCAGCAAGTACGCACGACTGTAACAAGATGATAAGCATTCTCATGCGATGTCTTCCCCTTTTTTTAAGAATCCTTTCTATAAATCTACCCTTGGCTCTCTATCCCAGCCCGTTCTTGCACACCTGATGAGTCGTCCTTCTCTATACGGCGAAACGATCGTCGTGTAAAACTGCTGCTTTGAAGAATACACATGTAAATTATTGCCTCACAAAAATGATGGATGTAATGATAATTGTTTGTTGTACTAGGATATAATTATATGAAAAACTTTGCACATACCATTGATTCAGGCATGGATATAATTATGGTAATGCAAACTTTGAGAAACCGCCTGCTTCACACATGTGTGTACATCACGTCATGCCATATCACTCTTTGTCATCACATCCTACATAAAATGGACCTCGATGGATCTATTTGTACACAAGACCATACCATTCTCTTTTTTGTTGATTTCCATCCAGGTACTTGCACAGCAATTATATCAGCTCCTTTCACGGCAATGAGTTCGATGGTTTGAGAAGTCTAGCTACCCTGTAAGGCTGATATTCCTGAGCAGAACTCCAAATTTGGCATTGTTACTTTAAAACCACAACCTTATACGTGGGCTACGACAAGTAGTCATTTTGTTCGAAAATCTCTTTCTCCTAGGATTCTAGAGGAAAATCCCTCACCACGGTTTCATGTGCAGTTCATCGCCCTTAATCCGAACTCTCCAGATCCAGGCCACTCCAACTATCGAGCATATTCATTCCTGACGTCCCTCTAGTCGCAAGAATTGTCTTTCAACGAAAAAATGGCACCGAGAAAATTGCATGAAACGTGTTTGCTTGCAGGCAATCAGGATGAATGTTCCGGAGTAGTGTTTTGTGCAGCCACGTGTCCCAATGTGCCTGAATAGGAGGTGTTCAATGTATTGTAAAATAAACCTGGTCAGGCCAGGCGCCCTTGGTTCAGGAGACACTATTATGCAGACAATAGAAGGATTGCAGCTGACTGCTCACAGATCACTCTAGATGAGTGATTGCAGATTTTAGAGGGACATGCGACACACATGTGCCCATTTCACCCTATTTCGTATAGTTTCCCCACCCACAGCCCCAAACCACAATTCTCCCAGAGTGCAATTACCAAGACTGGCTTCACTTTATCGAAGATTTGTCTCGAAGTCCATATCCGGGTACCAGTTTAGTATGGTTCTGGTCATATTGTGAATATGCTAATTTCTCTGAATGTGTCCCAGGAACGTTTGACTGCAGTGAGCTGAAAAGCACAATATCTAAAAGTTGTTGCTTTTCGAATTTTGTGTTGTGTTGTGTTGTACTGGTATTGATTTAGTGTGGCAGGCAGAGCAGGCAATTGACCCAGTGACAAAGATACCACTGTAGAGAAGCAAATGAACAGGAAATGACAAAGTAGAAGACAGTACAATCAACTTCGCTTATAACGACACTCGGCCGGGCATCAGAAAAGTGTTCTTATTCGCGAAGTGTCTCATTATTATGTATATTGGATGGGACTTTACTCTGGGCATGGACATTTTGTCGATATTCGCGAATTATCGTTATATCCGCAATCGTTATTAGCGAAGTTGACTGAAGATCTTGCATGTAAACTCTTCAATTCTTGTGAGATCTTGCGGCCGTTAAGCTACACAGTAAAGCAGGCGTCTTATATCCAATCTAAGGGTGTGCATATTGGGACTGAGGAACCCCTAGTAGTCATTCAAAGAGGTACTACCGGTAATGTTGTCCTTTGTTTGATGTACTGGTTGTCACTGTTGTTTCTGCAATAGAGAACTTTCACGTAACCAAATTTCCGGCCTTGCTTTTGGTATTTTCAAAAACCTAGCAAATCTTCAAACTCTGTAAGTATTTTCACTTTTATTATAAAATGTGCCCTCCTCCACCTGTTCCCGCCCAACTGTCTGACAAAACTCTTCCTTTTTTTTCTTTTTTTTCTACTTTGTTCACATACCCAGCTCGAAAAGAATAATGAAAGACAATGGTAGGGAGACTAGGACAAACGTGACACCTAATGAGCAAGGGCTGTACCAAGACGCAGCAGTGATGGCCGGGCATTGATAGCTCTGCCGACCTGAGGTCTCGGCATCACGGCCAAAAACACGCACCAAAGAAACAAAAGATTGAACTGTGCGGGTCGGAAGAATAAGAGAAAGTAAGGCTTAACCCTTTGAGGACCAAGGACTCGTCCACAAAATATACGCTGTATTCCTGAAGACGGGTATGCTCCTCCTGACAGTGAATACATTTGTACAATGCAAACACCCCAGTGTTCAAATTATCGTAACTATGGTGCCCTTTCTCCTATATAGAAAAGGCAAATGACAGCTCGTTGGAAAGCGGAGAAAATACGCTTTCGAGTGCCATACCGTTTGATATAGCGCGATGTGGATTCACGGAACGCGGAAGAGCAAAACACAAAATGCGCTTGAACCTTTTGACAAATTGAGTGCGCAGTGATCTGCATTTATCAGTATAGTATAGTATTTATTTACAAATAGCGGAGTCCTCCGGATCGATAGAGTGCTCAATGCGGAAGCAGAGCAGTAACACACGAGTCACAGAAAAACCACGCGTCTTGATTGTCGTAACTTAAAGTTTCATGCCATATAGCAATCTTCAGACAACTGAACTGATGTCTGAAGATTGCTATATGGCATGAAACTTTAAGTTACGACAATCAAGACGCGTGGTTTTTCTGTGACTCGTGTAGTATTTATTTATTTTTCTCTAGGGCAGTCCCCACAGACCTATGGTTTCCTTATGGCGTACCCTAGCCAATCTAGGATTGCGATACGAAATTGACTTGGTGAAGCAGCAACTGAGTTCCAGCGATCAGCGGCTAAAACAGAAAGAGAGGAATAACCAAATTGAGAGGAGGCTCGTGGCAGTACAAGTCCAAGCAAGACTTGAGACAGTAGGGACCATTTGCAAGCCGTGCAACGTCAACAGGAACAAGTTCATCGGAACGCATGTGAAACACGGCGTGATTTAGGATTAGCTTCTCGCCTTCACAACCCGTCTACGCGAGTCGGCTGCTTTCCAGTTTCAAACAGTTTTCTGATAATTTTACTGGCGATGATTTTTGCGAACTTTTCCTCTTAAAAGAACAATTCTCAGCCTGACTGACTTTTACCTGAATGAAAGTGAAAGAAACCCCATCACAGCCACATCGCCGATTGGTGGGTGCAGCAAAGGGTTGGGTTCACGATGTTTTTTTACATTGAAATAAGCCTCTTGTATGCGCAAAAACCATCTTTATCAAAGAAAGAAATGCAACTAAAATCAAAAACAATTTTGAAATGTAAAGAATTCAAAGCAAATAAAAAGAACCCAAAGTTAAAGAAAAGAACCCAACCAGCTGCACACGGAACACACAAGGGTCAACAGCATAAATAAGTAAACGTCCTCAAAAACGTATCAATAAAAACCATAAATTTATACCGTAACTTGAGCTTCCGACACAGCTAGTGCAGCAGACGAAGCCCCAGCCTCCAGAACCACGTGACGTCCGAACAGCTTCCTGCAATCTCGCAGACACATAATACAAGACCTAAGTAGCGGAAAGGACAACTTAAATCAAACATAGGCCATGACGTGTCAATACTGCTCGGACTTCTTTGCTGCCTGAAGAGCGGCCACCCTTGCGTACAATGCCGATGCCACCTTCTCCATCCCTACTCGCCGACATCACCACTGGAATGAAAGATGCCTGCTCCACGTTCCTGACACGTTCCTCATAACGTCGTCTTTTCTCCTTCTCGTGGCGTTGGTACACAGTCGTACGTGGTGCAGATCGACTTGAGCGAGCATATGGGTTGAACACCCGAACATCAAGAAGGGTTCGCTCAAAATCGACTGCCCCACAAATCACTGGCAGCCACATCCAGTCGTGCATGGTTCTCCACATTAGCAGCACGATACCTCAACTGCTCGCCAGTACGAGGTCACGAGGTCCATGCCAAAACATTCTCCGAAAGACTTTACAATGGAGCCAGCCAGTTGAGAATATTTGAAAAACATTGCACGTTTCGGAGCAATAGACAAAAGATGAGCGAGCAAGCTGAAGTTTGTCTTGAACAAGCCTTGTTTTTGGCACTGTGGTTACCCTCGATCAAGTTCAGTGTCATGTTAGTAATGGTTATGCTACAATCAATGGTTCTACTGGTTGTTTGGTACGTTTAGCCATCATAATTATTTATTCCAACAAGAATGGGTTAGACGAAGGGCTGAGGCTTCCTGCAGCTTCATCTGTGAAAAGAATTCGGGTGGACGCACCCATTCCCATAGCGCTGCACATCACATCCGAACCAGTTCCGTTATTTTTACAACGTTTCGGCACTTGGCCATCGTCAGGTAATAGCAATGAATTCATTGCTATTACCTGACGATGGCCAAGTGCCGAAACGTTGTAAAAATAACGGAACTGGTTCGGATGTGATGTGCAGCGCTATGGGAATGGGTGTGTCCACCCGAATTCTTTTCAATGGGTTAGACATTGCCGAAATTTGGAAAAAATTGCAAAGACCAAAAGAGGCGCAATTTACGGTCCTATTCTCCGTATCATGGTTGAAATCGCACGTACTTTACTAAAACCCACTCGTTGCGGTCATGAAGAGTAGACCCCTCCGAACTCGTCAAACACGAGTATGTTTCGCATGGTCAGGACGGGACTCTAGCCCAGCTCCCCCTTTGCGTTGCTTTTTCACGGCTTGCTAATGGTCCCTCTTGGGCAGGTGCGGCTACGTGCCTCAGAATTATATCAGTATCTCTCAAACGGGGACTTCCCCTACGAGTCATCATTGCACGGCGCGTGCAAAGTAGAGCCCAAAGGATTTACTTGAATTTCTCGAATCTGGAGAACTATGAATGGTTGTTCTGCGTTGAGTAAAAACTTCAGCACCAAAGAAATTGTCGAGGTGGGCCAAGTATCTCACTCAGGCGCGAGAGGCCAACTCTCCAGTGGCATGAAGTATCTAATATTGACTGAGTACGAGGTCAGTACAGGAAATAGAAGCCCAGTAAAAGACCGAGGCGAAGCCGAGGTCTTTTTACGAGGTTTTTTTCCTATACTGACCAAGTACGAAGTCAATGTGATAAACGTATTGGTTTATTCTAAATAAATTTTTTAAAATTAATACTAGTCGTCTCCATCGAGTGGAAAAGAAACACAAACAAAAGAACGGCACAACGGAATCAGCATGCTCAATGTGTAGTCATGCGTGCATGCCAAATACCAGTGCATGATGTAAGCTGACGTAAGCTGCGTACAATATGACAGATGCACGCGGGTGAGTGCATATAGGATAGCGTACATAATAATACAACATGCCCTTCCGAGATTATAATGGGTGAACAAGCCAGACTATGATCTAAACATAATAATAGTGAAGATACAAAAAAACATCAACAAGAGGCAAGGCAACGAGAACAGTCACAGTGTAGCACAGACTACAGAAGAAGAAAAACTAATCAAACATATGACTGTCCTTGGAGTGCAGAAATGTTCAAACGGTCAGGTTGACGGCGGTTACGGGTTCTGCAACGGAGTGCAACAACAGGATCAGCAGGTGCGGAAACAGCAGGTTCAGACGCACTATCAGTAGAAACGCGATCAGGCAGCAATGGGACATAAGGCCGTAGGAAGCGACGATTTCGCCAAAACACACGACCACTACGTAGCTTGACGTAATAGTCTCGATGGGTACCAATGGCGACGACGATGCCTCGAGCTGTCCACCGTTTTGTGCGCGGATCTTGCAGATCTACGTGCATGCCAATAGTGAGCTTAGATAACGTGCGCGGCACAGACGAATCTGGATCCGGGACAGGGGGAGAATCAGAACTCTCTATACTGGTAGCACGCTGTTTCCACTCCGGGGCAAACGACGAGTGATGCGCCAGCACAAATGACGAGAGTGAACGACCGAATAGCAGCTGGGCAGGACTGGAACCAGACGGATGTGGGGTATTACGCCATTCCAACAGACCATGCTGGAAGGCATCGGCATCCAGGTCGCCATTACTAGTGGTTTTCGCAATAAGATACTTCATGGACTTCACCGCGGACTCGGCATGGCCATTCGATTGCGGGAAGTGCGGGGTTGAGGTGATGTGCTTCATCTGCCAATGGTCGCAGAACTCAGTGAAGCTTCGCGACGCATACTGGGGGCCACCATTGTTTGAGATTTCACTGGGAACACCAACATCTGGAAACCACCGGCAAAGTTGAGGTACCACGTCGGCAGATGTGGCTGTGCGGCCTATCTGTGTGACACACAGACAACCGGTGAGTCGATCGACCAACACAAGGTATTCCCAACCCTGGCAATGGAAGAGGTCAGAGCTGACACTCTCGAACGGCATTGACGGTTGACGTTCACTCTGCAGCGGCTCGCTCGGCCAAGATGGCTGGAATTCACGACAGGGTTGACAGGCACATACAAGGCGGTCAGGCTCAGAGTTCAATTCAGGCCAGTACAACAGTTGACGCGCACGGCAGTTGGGGCGGTCATTTCCTTGCTGTGCAGCTTGTAGATCTTGCAGCACTGATGCACGTAGAGCAGCAGGTACTACGATGCGATTACCCTTCAGTACGACGGCGGAGTCGACAGATAGGTTTTCACGTCCATTCCAATAGGGCTGCAGATGCCGTGGAAGGTTGGAACAGGAGCGTGGGAAGCCGATGAGTACCATATGTAGGAGATCTTGATACTCAGAGTCCGAGGCACACGTATCTTGGAGCTTGGCATTGCGTAATGCTGACCTCGAACCAGAGTCATCATCACGGAGGCACGCACGAATAGCGGAGCCAGATGGCAGGTCGTCTTCGCCAAGCAGGTCAGATGCTTGTGCGTCAGAGACGGGTGCTCCAGACAGAGCGTTGGCGGCATAATGCAGTTTTCCTTGTCTCCAGGAAGCATGAAACTGGTACGGCCGAAGCTTCAGCAGGAGACACTGCAAACGAGGATTCTCGACCTGATCCAGGCAATACGTGTTGAAGATTGGAATTAGGGGCTGGCGGTCTACGATGAGGTCGAATCTGCTGCCAGCAAGGTACAGGTGGCACTTGCGTACAGCCCAGACAACAGCAAGACATTCAAGCTTGTAACGGAATCTCAGCCATTCCGTTCCCTGGGGCGCAGAACACAAGGGACAAGACTTGTTTGTTGGTGTGTCTCAATCATAGCGTAGCGGCTTTCAGTGTCGGTGATAAAGCGGCTACCACACTGGACGAGGCGCCAGCCAGACGGGTGCAGTTGGAACAGTGCATAGCCGAGGCCTTTCGTGTGGGACGCATCTGTTTCCAGACGTGTTTCTGGACCAGGTTGGTAATACGCCAGAATAGGGTGTTCAACCATTGCATTCTTCACACGTTTCTCCTTTATTCCCAATCGAACTCGCGCACTTCCACCGAGAATGGGTGACTGCGCCCTACTAGATGGTGATTGGTGTGTAAAATGATTTGTACAAAACAAGGCTTCTGGGTATAATTATTTGTATGTAATTGTAAAATGTCACTAAAAGTGCCATTTCGTTCTAATAATGGCACGGATGACCGTGACTGGCCCATAATAATTATTATGTTTGTAGTTTTTCGGACGCTGAGTCGACTGGTTTTGGTCCAAGAATGGTGAGATGGCAGCGTTCGGCCCTATAGGCCGTCGAAGTCTAACGTCACAGCTTCCTGACAAAGCGTAGTTATTTGGCCAAGTGGTGACAAACAAAAGGCGCATCACCTGCTCTTGTTGTGTTTCCAGTGCCAGTACTGCACTGCAGCAGCATCCAGTGAACACAACTGAAGCATCATTTTGACTGAGGATCGCGCGAGAAAGATTATTAATTTATATTTCAAATAAGCTGCTACTTGTCGCCAAGCTTGTAGTTTTCGATTTATAGAGAAGGAGAAGCCCAGTGTTACCAAGTGCCCTCTACCCCCATCCGTATTGCCCAGTGCCATTTTGCGGAATCTTTCAGCGTTTTCCGTACTCGTTTTTTTCAGGTCAACATTCTCACTGATTATTAGTGTAATTTGGAAAAAACCCAATACATACACACTTGCACATGCATGTCCATTGTCACACTGCACTTGCTCAATTTCCTTTCATTTCTCACGTTTATATTTTTTATTACCTGTGCAAATTTTTCCTTAGTTTGTGCTATTTTTCTTACTATTCTTGTATCCTCGTCGTTTCACTCGAAGTGTATAAATCCTATTGTAGTTTCATCATTCTCTTTAGTCACGAATTCCATTGATAATTGTGACTTCTGCACCATTTTTCCCTCCTTTCGAAGACACCGTGTTTTTTTCGCTTTTCCGGGATAATTCGATTGAAATCCGTACTGCGGACAAAACATCGTTTTTCCGTAAAAATACGGACAAATACGGGCAGTTGGTAACACTGGAAGCCGTATCTGATTTCTTTTGCCTGGTCACTGCTGTGCCTGTACTGTCGTTCGGCTTTACATGTAGTCGCCGGCCAAGAAGCAATTATGGGCGTCTTTGTTATTTCTATCGCAGTTATTGCTGATTTCTTTTAGTTCTGAGACCAACCAACTATCAGGCTCGTTTACTTGTCCAGCGGGTCTTTAGGCAGCGTGACATAGGCACTTCGACAGCCCAATTTTTTTAAATTTTTAATTAATTAATTTATTTACGGATTCCCCAAAGGCCGAGGCCTAAGTCGAGGGGTCTCCGTTCATGGCTTGCTGGGAATATATCTGCAAAATTATAATAAATATTGAGAAGAGGAAGGGTTATAACAAATGCGTACTGTAGAAATCAGCCATAACATTCGTTACTATGTTACAGAAACTCTGGAAGGAATGAAACCAGCGGGTTCAAAGCGGGTGTTGGCAAAGATAGTACGGACACCAGACACAAAGCAATGACTATTGTGGGTGGTTCAAATGTCAGTGGGGAGAGAATTCCAGGTGGCAGCGGTAACAAAGAGGAAAGTGGCACACGAGTAGGTGTTCGCCCTGGCATGCGGGACTAGTTGGAGAGACAAATCGAGCATAGTAAAATATGCCGTCACGTGTAGCCCTTTCCGAGAGGTGCTCGCCTTTTTTCGCCCTTTTTTGCCCTTTTTGGAAAAGCCCGTTTCTTTCGCCCTTTATTGCGTTTTTGGTGAATATCGCCCTTTTTGAGCTTTTTAGCTGAAAAAGTGCTAAAATCTGGTTGCTCATGGATGCGATCACAGTTTCCGAGTGTCGATGGGCCTTGGCACGCCGCTTTTTGGGGGGGGGGGGGGGCAACAAGTTGGTGAAGCTTGTACCCGGTATACACCATACACAATGCTGTGAAACGTGGGTTTTTTGAACTTTACTTCCTGTTTTGCCTCTCGTGGACCCATAATGGAAGAGTGCGTATCCATTTCTCAGCTTGGGTTCATATCTGAACATGTATCATGGCTATGCTTCACTGAAAAAAGAGCACTTTTTCAGCATATGGCTACGTGCTCATGCGTGGCATGCCCAAATAAATCGACCAACAGGCAGTACAAAAGTAATAAGTTGTTATTCAAGGAAGAACATTTCAGAGAGAGAGAGAGAGAGAGAGAGAGTGAAGAGGTAGATAGAGAGAGAGAAACAAGTTGAGACCACAACGACAACATGAGAACTACTAATGAACTCATGGCAAAGGGTTCCCAAAATGACAACTGAGTACAGCCAACTCAGATGCATACGGATAGAGCGATACTGAGTGCTGTGGTAGGAATTCCACGAACAGCATGCAAGACTCTCAACCGAGCAGCTCACCGGAAATGTAAGGATACGTCGACAGCATTATAAGACTGAAAGCGTGCATACAGCAAGCAATGCAAAACAAAAGAACCACACAGCCATGCATAATATGCGACAGACCACGATGATTGATAAAAGGGCAAACTGTCACGCTGGGTGAAACACTACCCATGTAGGCTTGCAGTATGGACAATGAATAGTTAAGGAATAGGCAGATAGCTAGGTGCAGTTATATAAACATCACATGATCCTTTGAATTTGGTGATCTCCCAATTCTTTCAAAAAAGACAATCTCAATAGACAATATATTCATGGACCAAGTTAAAAGAGATCTACAAATAATATAAAGCTCTTCACCACCATCATTAATTAGAACTCAGCCATTCCACCAGCCAGTTTTTGGGCATTATCTTCAAGTGTAAAAAAGCAGCTAGAGTGTGTTCAAGAGCTTCTTGGCTTCGTTTTTGTATTACATTCACGTCTATGGACTCGGATGGAGAGCCAATGAAATAATTATTATTATTAATAAAATAAGAAAACGATTTCTTAATGCGCGCAAGCTCCGCTGCATGCAGCTGTAATAGGTGTATTTATGCTACGACCTGTACATACTCACTATTCGTATTTCCCGCTCGTTCCCCTTGGCAATGAGAGCCACTCACATGAAGAGCGCATGCTCCAGTGGGTCTCCAGTTCTGTTCTAGTCTAGTCTTGAGTTGTTGTTGTCCTGTTTTCCTTCTTGTCTACACTCTTGTACTTGCATAATTCAATACTATAATATCCTTGTGTTTTGGTGTGAGGGGACTTCATTAGCCGGGAGCAGCTAACACAGCCATTTCATTACATGAAAGACCCTACACACACCACTCTCAATTCAAGTGGTCTCTTCACTGCAAATCAAAATTTCTCAATCCAATTTTCGGCCAGGAGCCATCATCAGGATTGAGGAGAAAACCAGAGAGGTGGACCTATATCATGCAACACAAAGTGGAAGGAAACTACACCATACGTGATAAAAGTACACCATCGTTTGGGCGCAGGAACACACACACACACACACACACACACACACACACACACACACACACACACACACACACGCACACACACACACACATACACATACCCACGCACATGCACATGCCAAACACACAGACGCACACTCATACTCACACTCGCACCAACACCCACACTCTGAACCATATCCACCCCCACCCCCCCCCCCCCCCACACACGCACACACACACACACACAAACCTGAATGTGCCTTAAAAAAGGTGTGAATAGTGGTGGGACTATGACTAAAAGAGGGATGAGATTCTGTCACCAAACTGCACTTACGTTGCAACATTCCGCTGAACTGTATAACCATGGCGTGAACAAGCACACATGACAACAGGACAGGACAGTGGCAACAGCAACAGTGATCCTCATCCACATTTCACATTGTCAATTGTCAAGCAGCACCAAACCACGATCATTGTTCACCTTCGGATGGTGTCTGGATATGTGGAAGCCGCCTGCTTCACACATGCGAATTCGTCACGTAATGCATTATCACTCTTTGTCATCACTAAACTCAATGGATCACTTTGTACACAAGACTGTGCCATTCTCTTTTTTTGTTGGTGTCCATCCAGGGTTTTGAGCACAAATCAACTCAGCTCCTTTCGAGGCGATGAGTTCGATGATTTGAGAAGTCTAACTGCCCTGTAAGGCTGTTTTTTCCTGAGCAGAACTCTAATTTTGGCATTGATACCTAAAAATCGCAATATTTTACCTGGGCTACGACAAGTAGTTGTTATGTTCAAACATATCTGTCTCCTAGGATGATAGAGGAAATTCGCTCACCACGGTTTCATTTACAGTTTATCGCCCTTAATCCGAACTCTCCAGATCCTGGCAAACTCATCTGTCTACTTCGAAGTAGCATATTCCTAACCTCTCTCAAGTCGCAAGAATTGGCTTTCATCGAAAGAATGGCACTAAGAAAACTGCATGAAACATGTTTGCTTGCAGGCAATCAGGATGAATGTTCCGTTGAAGTGTGCAGCCGATGTGTCCCAATGTGCCTGAATAGGGGGAGTTCAATATAATGTAAAATATACCTGGTCAGGCCAGGTGCCCTTGGTTCAGGGGACACTATTATGCAGACAATAGAAGAATTGTAGCTGTCTGCCCACAGATCACTCTAGATGAGTGCATGCAGATTTTAGAGGGACATGCGACATAAATGTGCCCATTTCACATCTTTTCGTGTAGTTTCCAAGTACCCACTACCACCACACCCATAGCCCCAACCTGCAATTCTCCCTGACTGTGATTGCCAAGACTGGCTTCACCTTATGGAAGATTTGTATCGAAGTCCAGATCCGGGTACCAGTTTATTATGGTTTGAGTCAGATTTTGAATGTGCTATTTTCTCTGATTGTGTCCCAAGACCATTTGATTGCACTGAGCTGAAAGACCAGTATCTTATAGTTGTTGCTTTCAAGTTTTTTACTGGATTGGTTTGGATTTAGGATGGCAACCAGAACAGCTAAATGGCCCAATGCCAATGGCACTATTTTAGAGAAGCAAATAAAGAGCAGATGACAAAACAGAAGTACAAGGTCTTGCATCCAAACTCTTCAATCTTGTAAGATCTTGCGGCCGTTAAGCTACACAGTCAATTGGGCATCTTGTTGCCAATCGAAGGTATTGCATATTGAGAGTGAGGAAATCCTAGAAGAAATTCAAAGTGGTACTAATGGCTTCCTTTGTATGATGTACATGTGCTGGTTGTCACTCTTGTTTCTGCAATAGATTCCTTGAGCATAACTCAATTTCCAGCCTACCCGTAGGCATCTTCAAAGACCTAGTGAATCTTAAAGTTCTGTAAGTATTCTCACTTAAAAGGGCCTCTCCCCCACCCGCTCCCACCCAACTCTCCAGCAAAACCCTTCTACAGCCCCGGCATTCTTTCATTTGTAATCTCCATAGACAGTATGGTACTGTTGAGCAGCGCTTGACACACTACTTTTGCTGAATCCAAGTTACCATGACATTATTAGAGAGAAGAAATGAGTGGTCTTTAGTTGGTTATGATTATAAAGCAACCAATAGCTGCCGCTACAGCCAACAACCAATACTGTCCTACTAAAAGGCCATGTCAGCATTGCAAGAAAAAAAGCGTATTCAAATCAAACATAGCACGCGGCGTCACTTTGAATCCTGTAAGGCTTACCGAAGTAAGGAAATTGACATCCCTCCCACTCTTAGCAATAGGAGTTGTAACTAGAGATGTGCGGATAATGCTCGAAAACGTGGCAGATTCTGCTCGAAAAGCAGTGAAATTGGCAGAACCATACAAACCTTATGGCGGGCAATTCCTCGAATTCTGCTCCATTTCTTTATCCACATACCAAACATGCTTGAAACTTACCAGAAAAAGAACCGAATTCTGCCAAATTGTCTGCCGGTATTATCCGCATATGCCTGGTGGTTACAGGGATGTTGCCAACCCAGCCAGCCCGCTTTCTGAGCACAGTGCTGGCAGAAACATTTTCATAGCCGACAAAATGGAGCATTGCTCCCAGACGTTTTACTTGCAAGTGTATATAAATAGAAAATGTGAAAGAAAATTGTAATCCCCTAGACCAAACCCATTGGGGAAGCCTATGTTCCCTTTTGGGAGCATTGACAAAACTAAGAAGTCAATTTTAAAAAGAGTTTGTCTGGGAAAACCAGACAATTTGTGACATTTGATGTCTCCGACTTCGCTTAACGTTTGCAGATAAGTTCTATTTTGAATGTAGATCGGGTGCAGCCCGCAGAAAAGTTTCTGAAGGGATCCTTGAAATAGAGCTTGAAAGTGATGACGTCAAAAACGGCCAGGGAGTAGTAAGTTGACATCAGATTTCTATTTTGGATCCACTAAGGTGTGACTTTGCTATTGCCTCAGTATGTGGGTGCATAGCAACCCACTCATGTCGCATACAGGTATGACTTTTACTTCGCTACCAGTTGTCACCCCGCCCCCAGTAGCCAAATCAGTCAGTTTCCTTGGCTACATCACCTTGCTGTCAGTAAGACCGCTTGAAATGTGCTTGGATCCATACAAAACTGGATCCAAGTGGATCCAGTTTTTGAATTTTTGAAATTGTTGCTATTCTGTGACGTTGCACTTTCAAGCCCTATTGACATACCCGTCAGAAATGGTTGAAAATCACACGATTCATGAGACTACAAATGAGCCACACCACAACGTACAACTACAAGAACAAGCTACGAACAAAACTAGATACAGCAAACGTTGCCCGATCTTCGAAGAGTTCTTGGGGCTGCACCGCTTAGCCACGCTAGCATGCCAGAAAACGAGGGTCATCATCCCTTCACCCCACACATGGTCGTCTTGAAAATAGCCAGGTTACAAGCGATTATATAACAGCGAGCTTCGTCCTCAATTAGCAAACACTATACACTGGCAGATAGCAGAACACCTCTTCTAGCACCTAGGACATGTCCCCCATCATCCTTTTTGTGTTTTCTTGAAATAAACAATTTCGAATTGTTCCACTCTACAATGCTGAAATACGTCCAAACTCATACCTGAGCAGGAAAACCCGCCCCTCCGAGACATCTAGTCAGCAGTTTCTACTCCAACACCACTCCGAACACTGCAGAACAAAGTATAGTGTTGACTCTGACAAGGAAAATCAGCAGTGATAATTTGTCACTCCAAACGGCAAGCTTCTCCTTGCGCCACCAATATTTTTTGGTGCAACAGTTGATGCAAACGTTATGCTGGCGTGGCTAAGCGGTGCTGACCCAGGAACTCTTCCAGGTGAGGCAATGTTGGCTTGATGGAGTTTTGTTCGTACATTGGTCTTGTACTGCGGCTGTGGTGTGGCTAGTTTGTAGTCCCATGAATTATGTTATTTTTCGACCATATTCTAAAGCAAAAGAGAAAGACCAAGGAACTAAAAGTTACGCTATACTGTCCACTAACACCACCAGTTACTAAGCAATCAGCTCATGCGATAACATTGCACGACACGGACCGACGGTACTGACGTTCAACAACTATCTTTTGAGCCACACAAGTTGTGTGGAATGTTGCTTTGCGTTCTGTAATCGTGGTTTGACCGTATTGTCCAATGGTCTTGCCAGTATCGTCATCGACATGCATGAACATCCGCCAACGTCCTTCCCAGCCGAGACTTTCAGCTCGTGCTTATCTTGGTTGCGCTCACCTTCCTCTCCTTATGCTATTTCTATAACTTAGAACCTTCCAAGTTGGAAGGCTGTTTGAGTGCGCATCCAAGATGTGCTAGAGCTGTTAGCCAGTTTGTTGTAGAACGTCAGCACCGTCGGTCAGTATCGTGCAATGTTATCGCATGAGCTGATTGTTTGGTAACTGGTGGTGTTAGTGGACACTCACAATATAGCGTAACTTGTAGTTCCTTGGTCTTTCTCTTTTGTATAAATTAAGCAGTGGCTCTTCATCTGAGTCCATTTTTAAAGCGTACAAGATTGAGTTGAGAACAGACCTCCATCACGCCAACATTACCTCACCTGAGTAGTCTTCACATCACCACCGCATAAAGCCATGGCTACATCCAGGAAAGCAATTGCCATCATCTCCAAACTTCACTACATTGCATTGCTAAAATAGCCAAATTTCAATGGCCATAGCGGGAGCCATTTGCGGCGTCTATTTTTTTCTGAACCATGCACTGCAGGACAGTGGACTATCTCCACTACCACCCAGGAAATGTCTCGTAAAAAAGTGTTCCAGGTTTTCTGATTTGCCTTCGCTGTCCAGATTTTGATTCTGATCTTGATTGTCGATCAACTCGATCAAATCCGTGGATCAGATAATGTCACGCGGCGATCGGCGCACGGCCAGTTTCAAGACGCAAACATATCGTGCCTCGATCACAAAAATAGAGATTTGTTCCATATTGTTTGCACTTCTGCAGAGCTTTGCTGCTAGTAAAATTCTAGCCGTGCAGGGGTGTCCGCCGTTGCCCATTCGGGCGGAGCTGAAACTTACCCGTCCTGCCGAGGATCAATCCAACTTTTCCCACTTTTGTCCACTCACGGCGAAATGGGCTGTCTTGGGTGGTATTCTTCCAAACTTGCCAATAATCCCGACAAATTTGAGAGCTGTCATCAAATGCAGTTCGGTCAAAGCATTAGTCTATGGGAGGGTGAGGCTGCAACCACACTAGGTACAAAATCACGTACAAACGGCATTACAGTAAAAACTCGTCATGCCGACACGTGCGAAATGCTAAATGCGCTTTGTAGGTTTTCAGCAACTGGCGCACCCATGTAGAAAGCCTCGTTTGTCGTTTTCGTCGTTTTCGCGCTCCATCTCCTGTGTACAACTTTGTTTTGTACCTGGTCGTCGTACATAGCATCAGCATCAGCATTGTTTTTGAATTTCCCGGTCTTTTCCAGCGCATGGCACGCGCTTTGGTACAACGTCATGTGCTGGTCGCGTGAAATGTCATCTATGCAGACCGAAAAGTGTAGTGTGGTTGCGTACCGACTAGTACTGAGATATGCATGAAAATTTGTACTGTGATTTTTACGTAGTGTGGTTGCGGCCTAACACAGCAAATAAGATTACATAAAATGTAGGGTTTGCAAGAATACCGCCCAAAACGTTCCTGGGGTCCAAAAGGACCCCAATATACTGGGAACGTAGGAAAAAAGTCAACAACCGACAGTTCACAGAAATCCAATTCACAGAACTACAATTCACCCAACGACAGTTCACTGAATGACATTTCACATACAGCCCATTTCACAGGATACCCAATTCACCGAAAGACAGTTCACAGAGCACTGTTTTCATCGACAGCCCATTTCACCGAATTTGATCAGGCATTCACTCAAAAATGCATTGTTTCGAAAGAAAGCCAAATATGAAGAATATGAGAGTATGCACGTGTGACATGGTCATTTACAATACACAACATTGAACGCCAAATGATGCGCTACTCCACGGAGGAACTCTCTTGGTGGTAGCTGCTCAATGCACTGTAGCAGAGCCCTCAGCCGTTCCGCCTATTCGACAACATTGAACACCAGATTATGTGCTACTCCAAGGAGGAACTCTCTTGGTGGTCGCTGCTCAACGGACTGTAGCAGAGCCCTCGGCCGTTCATCACATTGCCGATATCTCTTCTTCCGCTTAGGACCAGAATTTCCTGCCACAAGCCACTCAAGCTCTCGTTCCGTGGTGGCCTGCTCCATTTTCAAGCACTCAATAACCTTCCAAATAGTCGGATGGTGGCAGGTGACTATCGATGCAAACCAACGATGCCATCTTTCTTGGGCATTGTTTGTGCGGTCCTCTCCCATCAGAGTGCGGTCGTGTACATTCAACAGCGCAATCAGGAACAGTGGTGTTCACCATTGCCCATTTTGGCGGAGCGTTCCAATGTACGAATGCTCGAAGTAGGTAAGGATCGCCTCGGCGTCGTCGGGGAAATTATCCTCCACCGCTTCGAAGTAAGTGGCCACGTCCCCAGTTGGTACGAAAGCCAACGCTGGCAGCTTTCGCAGGGCCACTGCAATTCTGAATCCTGTGCGTAGCGCTCTTGGAGTTTGTTTGACTGGACATGACGATAAATGTTCTGGGTGAGATGAAAGAAGCAGCCTGTGCACTTAATTCCAGGGAATTTCAGAATAAATGCGTTGATGGCACCTAGCTCAAAATCTGTAACTAGAGTGGACTCCTGCAAAGTGTCCGTTCTGTCAATGGGAACTTGGAGTAGTTGCTCGTACATTGCCTCAGTCTTGTTCGGTAGAAATCAAGGGCTTATGTATGACATGGCGCGTGTGCGTTGTCACCTCTGGCGTGGATATTATTGTTGGTCACGCTGAAACTTACATGTCCTGCCGAGGATCGAGCCGCATTTTCCCATTTTTGTCCACTCTCGGCAAAATGGGCTGTCTGTGAATAAGTCAGTCTGTGAACTGGGTTTCGTTGAATTGGGTGTCGGTGAATAGTGCATTCTGTGAGACTGGCACTCTGTGAAGTGTCATTCTGTGAGTTGTGAATCTGTGAAACGTCACACGGTGAAATTAGATTCTGTGAACTGTTGCACAACCACATGGAATGCGGTTCAATGTCGATTCAGCTTGTCTTATTGATTAGTATTTATGGTTATCAAATGAGGTTGGCTTGTTGGCTTAGCGGTCGGTTTGGGATTCTGGAGCTCTGGAGAAGTGACTTGGTGGCTTGCTTTGCTTGGACACGGGAGAAGAAGCCTTTGATGCGGACGCTGCTTTTCTGTCACGTGACTGAAGTGCCTACTACTACTGCTATCGCTGGATGTTGGATGTTGGCTTAGAGGTCGGTTTGGGATTTTGGAGCTTTGGAGAAGTGACTTGGTGGCTTGCTTTGCTTGGACACGGGAGAAGAAGCCTTGGATGCGACCACTGCTTTGCTGCTGTTTTCCAGTGTTGTGCTGGGTTTTGTTTCTTTTTTTCCTTGTGTCTGGCGTGTATTTTGAGTTAGCAGAGTTTCACCATCTTGTGGCGTCTTCATCATCCCTGGACTCGCACTCCTCGCGTTGGGATGCCGTGCGGCTGGAGGTGGTATTGCTAGCTTCTCCCTTACAGGTCGGCGGAGCGCGGTGTTCATTACCGATAATGCCTTGTTGTCAGTGTACGGTAATTGGAAAGTGTGCCAGGTGCTCGTGCAAGACCTCTCACACCGTCTGTATAGATTGCTACCCCAGTCGCAATACCCCATCGACGTGCAGGAATCGCGGCACAGCATCGACCGCTGATGACAGTTCCCGACCCGCTGGCGATAATAGTAGTCAAGGTGCAGGTCATCCTACCAGTGTCGTTTCGCAACCCTCTGGATGTGCTCTGCACGTCCCAGTGGTCGCTGCATCAAGTGTACCGAGTGCCAATTGCGGCGTTGACCCCACAGCTAATTGGCACAGTCAGCCTCCCGCTTGGACCAGACGGACATATCCCTGCACACATCCCCGCAGTGATGACGACCACTCAGCGCCTGACCCGGGACCTCCTGCGAGATTATCGTCCTCGACTCGTGCTGTGCCTGTGTTAGCTGAGGCATCGTCAGTGAGCCTGATTGATATGGAGACGGTGAGTGGCGACGGACCAACATCATCAAGCCAAGACATTCCACCATTGTTGGCCACGGCACCTCCCATCGCGTTGCTGGGGGTTGAGGGCTCGGGCGCTTCTCAACGGGACGTGTCTCTTGGTGGGGGACGCCCAGTGTCTTCGGCACAGGCACCTGGCATCCCAACAGCCGGCCTGATGGAACCCAGTACTCCGCTGGCCCAGGAGATATACGACGAGGTGGTTCACTGGAGGAAGTCATTCTTCAAGATACCATGTGGTTCTGTTGGGAAGGAGCTTGTTAATGAGCTCTCTTCCTACATCAACAAGTATGTTCAGTCTGGCGGAGACGACACCGATGCGCTATTCTATTTTTCCATCCTGCCGGTTCTCACGCTGCAGCGGACGGGAGCTAAATGTACAGACAAGGAAAACAGCGGTCATCTACAGAGGCGGATGCGGCTTTGGAAAAGTAACGACATTCAGTCTTTACTGGAGGAAGGTCGCTCTCTTCAGCGCAGCACAGGGGGTCGGGCCTCGGGCGACAGGAAGCGCGGACAGGACGAGGCGGCGGTTTGACGTTTCGCCGACTGTATGACTGCAAGTCTGCAGCCCGAATCCACAGCCGGCACATTGAAGCTTGAGGACGTGGTGACGTCTTCTGATGGCTCTCAGGCAACCGTGCGCCAGCTATTGCAAGAGAAGCACCCTGCAGCGCAGGCTGCCTCCCCGGAGGTACTCTTGCAGGGTGCCCGGGAGAACGTCCACCCAATCCGATTCGACTCGCTCACGTCCTCACTATTGCGAGACACGGCGCTGCATTGCGAGGGCTCGGCTGGACCGTCTGGTCTTGATTCGGCTTGTTGGCGAAGGATGTGCTCTTCATTTAAAGGCGCATCGACAAATATGTGCAATGCATTGTCTGGACTTGCGCACCTCCTTGCGAGTTCCAACGTTGCACCCTCTGGTCTGGTACCCTTTCTCGCGTGCCGACTTGTGGCTCTGGACAAGAAGCCTGGTGTGCGCCCAATCGGTGTTGTGGAAGTCCTGCGCCGCATCATTACCAGAGCGATATTGAAAGTTGTCAACCAAGATGTTCAAGAAACGTGCGGTTTCATACAGAAATGCTCGGGTCTTCCTGCGGGCATCGAAGCTGCTGTTCATGCCATGCAACGCCTTTATGATGATGAGTCTTGCGAGGCTGTTCTTTTGGTAGACGCACGTAATGCCTTCAACTGCTTGAACAGACAAGCAGCTTTGCACAATGTACAATACCTGTGTCCACCTATTGCGACAATACTGAAAAATTCGTATAACACCCCGGCTCGACTCTTTGTTGCAGGTGGTGGTGAGATTTCGTCCGACGAGGGCACTACGCAAGGTGACCCGTTGTCCATGGTCTTCTACGCTTTAGCGACGCTCCCTCTAGTCCAGGCACTGCAGGTTGTGCATCCTACCGTACGGCAAACGTGGTATGCAGATGATTCTGGTGCGGGTGGGCAGTTGACTCGTCTCCGTGGATGGTGGGACAGCGTTGAGGAACAAGGCAAGCTGTACGGATACAACACCAACCCGGAGAAAACGCTTCTTCTCGTGAAGCCCGAGCAGGAGGAGGAAGCCTACAATATGTTTGCTGGTACTGGCATACGTATCGTGACCGGCGCCACGAAATACCTAGGCTCCTACATTGGCGAGTCTGATGCTGTTGCCGAGCATGTGCGGCGGCGAGTAGGCGAGTGGATTACGGAACTAAAGGCACTATCGGATGTTGCGCGCACAGAACCGCATGCAGCCTATGCTGCCCTGACACATGGTCTTCGCGGCCGGTGGACCTACCTCCTCAGAACAGTACCTTTTCCAGCCGATTGCCTCTCTCAGATGGATGACATGATGCGCACGGTATTGATACCTGCGGTAACTGGCAGGGAGGCATTTTCGGACAACGAATGGGCTGTTCTTCAGCTTCCCACACGCCTGGGTGGCTTTGCCGTGCCATCCCTGTCTCAAATGGCTAATGGGGCTCTGGAGACGTCGAGGAAAATCACATCAGATCAAACGCTGGAGATACTCTACCAGAATGACCGGTCCAGGCCCTCGATATCGATAGAGCATGCAATTCATTCAGCCCAGTGAGCCAAGTCAGCAGCTCTGGCGGAACGGCTAAAACATGACGAACAGCGGTATATGAGCGCCAAGGAAACACTTACTCCGCTTGCCGCCCGCCAGTTGGAACACCTTTCGGCCAAGGGTGTATCGAGCTGGCTCCACACCCTTCCGCTGCGTGAGCACGGCTTCAGTCTGTCCAAGTGCGACTTCCGCGATGCCATTGCGCTGAGGTACGGATGGCCACTGAGGGATGTCCCGGAGAAATGCGTGTGTGGCCAGGATTTTACTGCGGCTCATGCGATGTGCTGCCCAACCGGGGGCTTCCCTACCATTAGACATAATGAGGTACGAGACATGATAGCGGACTTAGTCACGGAGGTGTGCCCTGACGTGTCTGTGGAACCATTGCTCGCGCCGCTGGAGGGCGAAGTCTTCAGAGCTGCCAGCACCAACACGGCACATGATGCCCGATCGGACGTCCGCATACGTGGATTTTGGACAAGGGCACAGAACACTTTCCTTGACATTCGAGTCTTTCATCCTGACGCCGCCTCGTAAGCAAAGAAGCCCATCGCTGACCTCCTTCTCCAGCACGAGAGGCAAAAGAAGCTGCAGTATAGCGAAAGGATTGCCAATGTTGACCGTGGTAATTTTACCCCGCTTGTCTTCACCACGGCTGGCAGTGCATCCCCAGAATGCTTGCGGTTTTTGAAGCGATTATGCGCTATGCTGGCACAGCATGATGGCAAGCCCTACGGCGAGGTTATGGCCTATGTCAGATGCCGTCTGTCGTTTGCACTCCTCCGAGCTGCAGTTATGTGCATCAGAGGGGCTCGCTCTGCATACCATCGACCGGTAAATGCATTGCGCCCACTAGTCATGGCTGAGGGACGGATGTAACAGTGGTGTGTATAACCTCGCTAATGGCATTGTCCTCAATGCTAATGGACGCGTCATGTTTTTGTTTATAATTTAAGGTGCAATTTAGCGCTGATGTGGGTATTTCTTTGCTTTTCTTCATTTGGTCCTTTAAAATGAAGCGGCTTTTTATTTCCTTTTTTCTTCTTTTGCACCGAGATATTATTTCTTGCTGTTTTTTACCGGATGTGTCACGACTTTGAATTGAATTGAATTTTCCTGAATTGATTTGATTTTTAGCGTTATGAGCGGCTTTATTGACATTGTTCTTCAGATTGGATTTTTTATTTTTTATTGGCCCGTAAAAGAGGTTACTACAAGTTATCAAATTATAGTCTCCTTGCCGTTTGTTTAATTAGAGGAACTTCAAGTTACGTATAACGTCCACTAACGATACCAGTTACTAAACAATCAGCTCCTACGATAGCATTGCACGACACTGACCGATGGTTGCGACGTTCTACAACTAACTGGCTAAAAGCTCTAGCACTGCTTGGTGGCGCACACCAACATCCTTCCAACTTGCATGGTTCTAAGTGATATGATTTGACACTGAGGAAACCGTACTAGTAAGTCCAAGACGTACTAATGGTTTCCTTTGAAAAATGTTCTGCTTGTCACTGTTGTTACTGCAACAGAGGCCTTCATCATGACTCACTTTCGAGCCTGCCTGCAGGCATCTTCAAAGACAAAGTAAATCTTCAATCTCTGTAAGTATTTTCACTTAACCCTTTGAGTACAAAGAACGAATATATCCGTTTTTTAATGTATAGCTGCCCGTTCATCCCCCCCCCCCAACTGTCTGAAGAAAAAAACAACTTCTACAGCCCCTTTTCTTCATTTTTAATCTCCATATACAATATGGTACTATTGAGTAGCATTGGACAGTTGACACACTACTGGTGCTCAATCCACGTTGCCGTGATATTACTAGAGAGAAGAAACGAGTTGTCCTTGGTTTATTTTAATTATAAAGCAACCAATGGCTACCACTACAGCCAACAAACAATGAAGTGCGAAAGACTCTCCTAGTAAAAAGCCATGTCCGCATTGCAAGAAAAAGGAAATTCAAATCTAACATGGCATGCTACCAGGGTTCATCAAAGTAAGGAAGTTGACATCCCGCTCACCCTTAGCAATAGGAGTGGTAACACGAATGGTGCCAACACAGTCAGCCCGCCACCTGAGCACACCGCTGGCGGCAACATTGTCACAGCCGAGAAGATGGAGCACTGCTCCCAAGATGTTTTACATGCAAGATGCATGTTCAAACCGTTGTTGACATTCACGGAACCAACAGGCAAAAGTCTCCATGGCAACCAGTAAACGAACCCGCCAAAAATCATAATAATGTGAATAAGAAATAGAAGAAAACAAAGGTAGTGCGACAACCAAGGCTTCCTTTCCGGCTAAAGTTGTTGTTGTTGTTGTTGTTGTTGTTGTCGTTGTCGTTGTCGCTGTCGCTGTCGCTGTCGCTGTCGCTGTCGCTGTCGCTGTCGCTGTCGCTGTCGCTGTCGCTGTCGCTGTCGCTGTCGCTGTCGCTGTCGCTGTCGCTGTCGGTGTCGGTGTCGGTGTCGGTGTCGGTGTCGGTGTCGGTGTCGGTGTCGGTGTCGGTGTCGGTGTCGGTGTCGTTGTCGTTGTCGTTGTTGTTGTGGTTCTTGTGTTTATTTTAATTCGCGATTCAAAAGGGCAAGTACGTCCAATAACAGGAATGCGAATACCAGAGAGAGAGATAAGGAAGAATTGAAAAAGAGCAATAGCGCTAGACCGTACAGAGCACAGGTTTCGAGGAAAATCAAATGAATACCAGTGGTCAAGAGTATGGGGTTTGGCTGCCAGTTTAAACTGCGTTAGGAATTGGGTACCACGAACAGCTGCAGGCAGCGAGTTGAGGCAGCGAAACCAAACCGGTTTGTGCCAGACCGGATCCTACAATGTAGTTTGTGGCAGATGAAGGCCATCTTCAGTCCGGAGGGCGAGTTCTGCTTCCAGTTGGGCGGGAGACTAGTGCACATAGTGGTGGACCTGCATTTTCATGAATACACCTCCATAGAAACGTAAGAGCTTCCTGGCGGACTATCTTACTACTCCGGAACAGGCCCAGTTAGCACTAGGAGCACGTGAGCGGAAGTACCTGGTGGTTTTCCAAACACTGCCCAGCCATGCCCGGTTCTGGAGTTTCTGCAGCCGATCCACCTGTTGGGCTGTAAGGCAGGAGGAGTAGTAGCAGTCTTAGCCTTATAGCAGGCCGGGCATCACCATGGCTTTCATGAAGGCGATGCATGCTGCGAGGGCCAGTCATCGCCTATCCCGCCACAAAGCACTAACCTTCTGCGATACTTTGCTGACAATTGTCGCAACATGCTCAACGAAGCATAGCCGGTCGTCAATGGTGCCACTGAGGTACTAGGCGCTTCAGCCGGATGGGAGGGTGGCTGCTTGGTGGCATTTCATGGTGGCTGGAGTGCCATTACTCCGCCTGGTGCTGACTGTGATGACTTGACTTTTCATCTCATGGAGAATTAGGCCACTGTCTTTCAGCCAGTCTGCTAGTGCTGTTGCAGCCATCGATAGGGCAACAGATACTGCTGTCATTGTGGACTTGCTACAGTAGAGTGCGATATCATCGGCGAACTGAACTGTTGGTACGGGTTTTGCCAAGGAAGCGATATCTCGGGTGTAAATACCAAACAGTATCGGACCCAGGACAGAGCCCTGTAGAACACTGCTACTGCAGGGCACAGGAGCACTCTGCTTTCTGCCCAGGGTTCCAATTATTTGCGTTCTCCTGCTCAAGTACAGCACTTGGCAGGGGCTAAATGCTTCTGGTGGCACCTTGGAGTCCCAGGAGTGAGCTAGTAAGCCAGCTTCTTCAGGTAGCTAGTGTATGGCCTGAGTCAGGAGCAAACAGGGTTGTGACCAAGCAGGTGACCACACCAGCGGAACACATCGTGCTTCGTTGGGCTTCGTCGCCATTGCAGAACGTCGTTTGAGCTTTAAATCAGAAGACCAAAGACGCGCGCAGATCGCAAATATTCAGCAGGTTTGGTGGGCAGGCCATATTTCACCATCTCGTCCTGCACCGTGGCGAGGAGTTCAACAGACACAAAGAAGTTGTCAACGTAGTTGTCCACATTAGGGTAGGTACCAGTACTGTATGATCAGGCTCATCAGCTTTGGCGCAATCCCAAGGCTGAAGGCTATGCACATCATGAAAATAATTTGGCCTGCGCTTGTAGTCGTAGATGATGGTCTGAAATCTCGCCAGCGACGGATCAAGATGGACCTGCAGGTACGCCTTCCGTATGCCCAGGATGTGGAAACTACCCCAAGCCTGTCGCGAGCTGTGCAGCTTCTCCTCACACACAGGGTGTTGAAGCCGGGGTGGCGCTGTGGCTGAGCTGGTTCGGACCATGATAGTCCAGTACTGGGCGAACTGGTGTCGGCGCCTTTGCGTTCTTGGCACTTGGCAATCAGGGGGAGGATGGCGCCCGTTGGTCCATGGCCAGCTGCGTCATGCGTTTTCAGCCAGCTTTGCTGGATCCAGGCGTCTAATTTAGCATTGAAGTGCTGCTCATGGCCAGGGGTAAGCTTTGCACGGGGATATTCGCCTATCCGCGACCCAATCGGTACAGCAGGTGGCTAGTCGGCCTTCCAGGGCCACTCCATAGACCAGTAGCCATCAGCTCCACTTCAGTGCAGTCCAGGTTTCGGGCATTCTCTTCTAGTGTAAAAAAGCAGGTAGAGTGTGTTGAATAGCTTTAATTGCATCTTGTATCCGGTTGTTTTATTACATTCACGTCTATGGACTCGGATGGGGATCCAGGGGAAATTTATAGAAAAGAAAAAAGACCAAGAAACATGAAAACGTGGTGAGGGATTTTCCTCTATCATCCAGGAGACAGATTTTGGAACAAAACTACTACTACTTGTCGCAGCCTACGGTCCTTTTCTTTTCTACTTGTTGGCATTGATACCTCAAAACTGCAATATTATACGTGGGCTACGACAAGTAGTAGGTTTGTTCGAAAATCTGTCTCCTACAGTAAGATCGGGCGCCGAAGAACGCAGGGGCTCGAGCGCAGCCTAGACTGTTCTTAAATTTTGCCGGTTTTCCAGGCTGGGCGTTCTTCGGCGAGGTGTTCTTCGGCGCCCGATCTTACTGTAGGATGATAGGGGAAAATCCCTCACCACGTTTTCATGTACAGTTCATTTCCTCTAATCTGAACTCTCCAGATCCTGGCAAACCCATCTGTGGAGCATATTGCTCACCTCTCTCACGTCGGAAGAAGTGGCTTTCGACGAGAAAATTGCATGAAAATTGTTTGCTTGCGGACAATAAGGATGAAGGGTCCGGCGTAATGTGCAGGAACGTGTCCCAATATGGCTGAATAGGGGGACTATGTAATGTAAAATAAACGTGGTGCGGCCTGGCGCCTTTCGTTCAGGGGTTACTACTATATAGACAATAGAAGTATTACAGCCGTCTGCTCACAGATCACTCAAGGAGACTTCTTGCAGGTTTTGGAGTCTGCTCACAGATCACTCAAGGAGACTTCTTGCAGGTTTTGGAGTCTGCTCACAGATCACTCAAGGAGGCTTCTTGCAGGTTTTGGAGTCTGCTCACAGATCACTCAAGGAGACTTCTTGCAGGTTTTGGAGGAAATGCCATATACATGTGTACATTCCATCTTTTTTTTTGGATAGTGGACAACTACCCGCCCCCCCCCCCCCCCCTCCCCTAAACACACACACCAATCCGCAAATTCTCACTTAGTGTAATTACCAAGACTGGTTTCATTTGATGGACGATTTTTATCGAAGTCCATATCTGGGTACCAGTTTACAATGGTTCTGGTCAGATTTTGAATATGTTATTCTCTATGAATGTGTCCCAAGAATTTTTGATTGCACTGAGCTGAAAAAATAATAATTATCTCAAATTTGGTGTTTTCAAGTTTTTTTATGATATTTGATTTGCATTGATTTAAATTGGCAACCAGAGCAGGCCAATGGGGCGATGACAGTGCACCTACTGTGAAGAAGCAAATGAATGGAAGATGACAAAGCAGAAGTACAAGATCTTGCATCTAAACCCTTGAATTTTGTGAAACCTTGCGACCGTTAAGCTACGCAGTCAATCAGGCATCTTATAGCCAATCGAAGGAAGTGCATATTGAGACTGAAGAAGCCCTAGTGGTAATTCAAAGAACTTCTAATCATGTCCTTCGTAAGATGTACTGCTTGTCACTGTTTTTTTTGCATTAGATTTCTGGAAAACAACCAAATTACCAGCCTGCCTGTAGACATTTTCAAAGACCAGCGTAATCTTCAAACTCTGTAAGTATTTTCAAAGACCAGCGTAATCTTCAAACTCTGTAAGTATTTTCAAAGACCAGCGTAATCTTCAAACTCTGTAAGTATTTTCAAAGACCAGCGTAATCTTCAAACTCTGTAAGTATTTTCAAAGACCAGCGTAATCTTCAAACTCTGTAAGTATTTTCAAAGACCAGCGTAATCTTCAAACTCTGTAAGTATTTTCAAAGACCAGCGTAATCTTCAAACTCTGTAAGTATTTTCAAAGACCAGCGTAATCTTCAAACTCTGTAAGTATTTTCAGTTAAAAGTGCCCCTCCCCACCCCGGCCACCCGTTCCCACCAAACTCTCTGAAAAACCCTTTTTATTTATTTATTTTCACTATTTTCACATACCCAGCTCGAAAAAAATATTGAACGACAATGGTACAGAAACTAGGACAAGCGTGACTCCCGATGAGCAGGCGCTGCACTGAGACGCAGCAGTGATGGTGAAGTATTGATGGCTCGGCCAACCTGACGTCTCGGCATCACGGTCATAAACACGTCCCCAAAAAACAACAGATAGAACTCTGCAGGTCATAAAAATAAGGGAAGGTAAGACTTAAAACCAGCGAGTGTGCCCGAGAAATTATGATACTATGTAGACGAGAACAGCATCATAGCGACTCGACTGCCCAGAGCCAGTTTGTGCTTCGTAGATGGCGATAAAAGGTCGTTTAAATGATTGCATTCCCTTGCTGTTGGAAGGCTGGGACAGAAGAGTGGCAGTGAAAGAGTTCCAATTGGTAATGCTGCAGTGTAGGAACGAGCGCTTCAGTGCCAGCGGGGCAGATGCAGGCAGCTGGTGTTGGAGCTGGTAGTCATAGCCAATGAAACCATCGAGCTTGCTGCGAGTTATTGGGCTGGTAGAGGGGATATGGCGTGGTGGTAAAACAGAGAGCATCTGCGGCGAACCAGGCAGGTAATGCAGCCTGTGCAGGCAGGTATGCGAGCCAATAGTACGGCGGATGGCCAGGCTAGGTAGGTGTGCACGAGGGCCGATAACCTGAAGTGCGCGGCGCTGAACATTGTTCAGTCGCTGGAGGTGACTCTGCGCAGCTCCCATCCACACAAGAGGCATGTACTCCATGATTGGTCGTAATAACGCCTTAAATACTGTCATTACGGCATATTGACCTGAAAAAGACAAAAATAGTATGGACCTGCTGGGGTGGGCGTTCGCTGGTAAGTGGGCGTTTGCAGTGGACTTTACAGTAAAATATGTACATGTACGCCGAGCTTTGCGGACTACCCGTCACTATCTCGTCTGCCCTGGGATACCTGGTAAAGGCTGATTCACTTGCATCTTCTGCTGCATGTACTGTATCAGTGTGATAAAACTACTTCAGAAGTAAGTTACTTTGAAGAATGCGAGTTCGAGCATACACTATTGTATTGTTATGATTTCCTTGCTTTCACTGAAAGCACCGTCTTTATGACCTCCGAGCCCTTTACCATGCAGACCACCGGCACTGATCAGGTGCATTGCAGGTTCTACACAATTGTGTAACCTACATATTAGAACTGCGGTACAATCGTGTAGTTATGCCCCCACCCCTCAAAGGATGCCAAATTATGCTCCCAAGTTTTCAACCCCCAAATTATGCCAATAATTATGCCGGCATAATCGGCCGGTGCCTTTTATACAGGCGCAACTAGTCGCACTAGAGGGACCCGAGTTTCCGAAAGTCTCTGTTCGCCAGCTGAAGTCCTCCTGCGACATCGAAGTATGCCTCACCAATTTTAAACGCTTCATGATTACGTACAGAGTGCCCACCTCTAGTTGGGTGGCTCTCCTTAGCCCCCACCTCAGCGGTTCTGCTCTCCAGCCATATGTTGGGATGCCTGTGGAATCCGGACGGGACTTTGAGCTTCTGAAAAGCCAGATCCTCCGCCGGTATCCGTATTAGCTTGCTGTTGTTCTTGTCATTGCCTTTGCCACTTCCGTCACCACCGCCTCCTCTATCGTTATCGTTGTCGTTGTTCTCATCATCTTTAATTTCGTCTTCCTTGGCCACACTGGCCCACACTATTACATGAAGTAGGCAGAATTTTTGGACCGATGCTCCGAAACCGACCCCGGCATGAAATTGGTCGACTGGGTGGTACTAAAGTGGGCTAGGCATAAGCCGTCACATTTGTCGTCTCCAGCATTGTTGTAGTCATCGTTGTTGTCATTGACCTAGTCGTCATCGTCAAAATATATTAATATTTGAAGTTGTAGTGCAATCAGTAGGTAACGACTTCTTTTTTTGCAAAGTTGCTGAACCTGGAAGTTTATTAGTTATCATTGTCAAGAGTCGCGGCGATGACATACTTCGGCTTGCCATTTGCTCTTTCAAACCCTCCCTTCTCTTTTGCTATGGCTGATCATGGTGCATAATTGTTTGTTATTCCTTGCATGTGTTATATTCTTGCCTCTCAGGACACTTCAGCAGAATCGGTTCACACTTTCAGAGGACTTGTGTAGCTTTGTGTTTGTGCTGCCACTCAGTGCCAGTGCTACGAATGGTTATGTTAAAGTTGACCAGAATGTTCTCAACTACGTCACCAATAGTGAGTTCCATCATTTTCTGCCAATCACCACTTTCCAGTGACTGCGACCAAATATTGAAATTGTCACATTGACACACCTCAGAATATCGCACCTTGCTCCCCCTTATGTTCTGGCTGCCCGTTTTGGATCCATCAGTTGCCTGATGATCGTAGTAATACGTGAAACTCAGAGTTGTGACAAAGCTTCTAAACTCTCTCTTGTGAAATTGTCACATGAGGCATCGGCAGCAAGAACCAGGGTCCTGGCGATTTTTCAAAATGCCAATATTTGCGAAAAACCGAACCAATGTCGTTTTTTAGTCACCGCGATCAAAGCGGAAAGACTTCTTGCGATATCGCTTTGAAAGTGCTTTCCTCTTGGTGGCTTCGCTATAATTTGTTGTCATTGCAGTTGTAGTTTATCCGCGAAGCACTTGGGACGTCCAGGTAGGCGTTTTCAGCCCCCATGGAGGCGTTTGTGCTCTGGGTAGCGTCTGCAAATCATGCGCTGAAAAGAGAGCGGAACAAATAATTTCTTGGCGGAACGATCCCGTCACGAATTCTTGATGGAGCACGAGCGACTAGAATATTTGGCAGCTGGATCTCCAGAGATACTCCGCTGCCTGTGATAGTCCCCGCAAGAAGAATCAGGTGAAAGTGAAGAGGTTTCGCTCAGATGATACGCCATCAGCGGAGGCAGCGAAGACGACGAGTTTGAGCGTTCCGTGACACGAAGTGGCGATGCGGACAGCAGCGCTGAGAGTGACGAACGAGATTCAGTACTCCGCGACGACTATTCGCAGCTGGATAAGTTGGTGAGAGATACGGAGACAGCCCTGAATGAACTGAACCTTACTTGATACAAGATATTGTGTGAATAAAATTGTTGCAAGTATACATGCACGCTTGCGGTGCGCATGAAAATAAAATGTCACAGTATTATACATGTATCTACGAGCTGCTGTGCGTAGGAGAGCAAGACATGCTTGGCGGATGTATCTGGCTTGGCCTAGCATGCATATCTAGTCTTGTAATAAGTTGCAGATTCTTCCCAGCCATGTAAAACTTCAATATATTCATGCTTTCCTTGAACGTGAGTTGGTCCTCTTTGGCATTGAAAATGCACGTTCCAATGTGGAGCTCCATTTTGGAAGTCATATTTCACGTTCTAGATTGAAAACCATATAAACATGAAAAGTAAAAAAATGTATTTACATGTTTTCCTTTCTGCCCTGCAGACCTAATCCAAGTTGACCTCTCAATATCGCATATAACCAGGACCAGAGTCAGTGCTAATGTCTCACTGAGCAACATCAGCAGCATAAGCAAATTGTGTGTTAACTACACCCGCACTCACCTGGCAAGCGTTTCATCACTGGGAGCAACAAATACAATCTGCACGAACAACATCACTGGCACTTTGGATATCACATCTATCGACACAAATGCGACGTACTCATTATTTGCTTATGGCTTAGGTCCTGGTGACAGCATCAAATACTGCAAATCACCATCCACAACAATCCAAATCCGTGAGTCGTTCTGTTATGTAGTTTTTATCGACATTTACACCATCACTAGTGCAAGCAGCACACATGTGCAATTGTAAAAAGGGTTTTACATGACAGGCACATGTTCATATACGTTTTGCTGCGAGAGATTCACAAGGAACCCGACAGTGTGGATTCACACAGCTGCACTCGTGCATTTCCAGATGATTTTCCGCGCAGTTGACATCGAAGTTGCATGTTCTCAGCAAGAAGACGAAATAGCTGTGTAGTACATCCAGTGGGAGATTTCTCTGTTGCGCTATCAGCTATTAGTTTCACTTTTCAGCCAGGATTCCCCACTTTTAACAGGTGAAAGTATCGCTACAACGATCCGATGCATGTTGATTGACCTATTGTGTGAATTACCTATTGGGTATCAGGGGCGTCACACACGGTACGACCACTACGACCATGGTCGTACCACTTTTCGTCCAGGCTGGTCCACCCAATTCATCCGAAAAAGCAATAAAAAAATTCAAGGATCTTCGGACTTGTACAAAACATCGCAACTGTTACTTTCATTGCAAGGAGCATACAGACTTGATGCCTAGCACTAGCACTAGCAGCTAGCTATTGCCCAAGACTCAAGGCGGCTATCCATTACGATAGGCGGTTGCAGTCACGGTTAGAGACAACCAGACAATGGATTCCTCACGGACGCATTCACTGCAAACTAAAAATTTCCAAGATCTACCATGTTACAATGGCGATCAGCACGTCAAGAGACACTACATGTATGTCACTTGTCAGCTACAACATAATAATTCTTTCCACAACGACACCTACCTAGTACATCTGCCTCCTGACGATCTACTGCAAGCGGATTCGAAAATGCATTACACCCGCGAACGCAGGGCTTGTCAACGGAAAAGGGAAGCGCTTCATTCTCTGAAGCTGAAAAGTGTTTGGACTGCTCCATGGCGGCAGAATATTCTGCAGCTGTTCACCGACACGACCCGCTTCACCTATATTATAACGATTTATGATCGTTTCGTTCCCCAAGTTTTCTGGTAGCAGCAACAAGAATTTCGTCCGCGACGACAGGACGAAAGTCTCTCGCAAACTAAAGTCCTGTTGCCACGAAGACAGAGAAGATTCCGCAAGCGCTTTCTTCTGCTTCCATTGTTGTAGCTCTCCGGTCCACTGGCAGATCTTTCAATCCCACCGAACAAAAACAAAGGATCTTCTAAAAAACAACTAAAATAATTACTTCGCGACAGTCCAGGCCGGACGTGTACATAGTGTACGCGACGCGGCAGACTTTTGCAGGACACGACATACGTTTTTGCATAGCCGCTGACGCTAGAACGCGCAGCACGCTTGTACTTCGGATTTTGCGATTTTTTCGAGGGCAATGGCCCTGAATCATTGAATGGGTTCCATTTGCCTTGCTTGGCTACCTACGATATACAGAAAATACGAAAAATCCATGAGAAGTATGTTTTTGGAGCTGGAGTGGGGTTGTCTAATAAGTGCTAGGGGAACCCTCCTTTGCGGCTGTAGAGTGCTAAAACGTGGCCTGTTAGCCGAAAAATCCTTATTTTTTCCTCCGGAGGGCACCCCCGACCCCCCCCCCCCCCCGTCGTGCCACTCCCAGCAACACTGTGACGCCCCTGGGTATATTGCCGTCACTGAGTATATCAGGTACGTTTTCTTCCTTTTCCATCTCATTCATGCATTTCCCTGATAGTTATCTATCAACAGTGAGATTAGATTCTTGAATTCTCGTTTCCAATGCAGCTGGAGCAACTTGCCCGACACCAACTGTTCTCAATGGTATTCTCGTACCGTCGCCATTTCCCAACAGGATCGGTAGTAACTACACTGTGACGTGTAACACAGGATATGTCATGCTTGGACAGTCATTTATCACATGCAATGACAGCCAGCAATGGTCTCCTGCAGTCCCAACGTGTCATTTAGGTAAGGCTGCGTTCACACAACAACGATTGACAACGATTTGCGTTTACGACAACGAAGTACGACCGAAACGGAACGAAGTCGTTGCTTTTACTACTATTGCTTACACGACAATGCCCTAAAAACGATACCTAAACCAAATGAAATGGAAACCCACTTCAAAGCGTTTTGAATCGTTTCAAAACGTTTTCGTTCTCGCGTAAACGGTGAAAACAGTGAAAACGATTGGAAACGGAGCGCGGGACAATATTTCCAACTCTTGCGTCCGCCAGCACCTGCCAACTCCAACTAACGTGTTACTTCCCGCCCTTGCGCCAATCCAGCACGTGCTAACTCCAGCCTGATCGCCCGTTTTCCCTTTTCGTGTAAACGGTTCAAGACGATTTGTCGTTCTGGTGTGAACGGTTTACAAACGATTCTAGGCCGGCGCGTTTTCGCTCCGTTTCGTTTCGTCTCCGTGTAAACGCAGCCTAAGACTCTGGAGCAGGTCGCTTGAGTGGATGACAGTGGGAGTTGACCTGTTGTGGTGAGTTCCGACGACATTAGTTGTTAATCAAGGTGAAGGAGGGAGAAGGTTCTGCGGTGATCCTGGAATGTGTTACGCTTTGATTGTTCTATGGCACATGGCAGGGTAGTGTTGCCTTTTGTTGGGTGCTGTTCGAACTTAGAAACAAAAGACCTGTGTTGAACTGTATGTGAAAGCAAAACAGCGGCAAAAAACGCGGTTCTGCTGTAGATTTTGTCATTCCATGGCATAGCAGCTCAAGGGTGATAATGAGGCTTAATTAAAATTGGGCATAGCAAAAGGTCATGGTGTTTTCAGGTATCAAGAATGTGACAAGGTCTTGACTTAGGGCTAAGTCGATAGCACATCTCATTCTCCGGATAACGTATGATACTCTGGGCTGTAGTTTCCAGGATAAATATAAAATTCTAACTGAAGAGCCTAACTCGTGAAACAGGTTTCGGTACACTTGACTAAACCTTTCTTTTACTTGCAGATATCAACGAATGTACTGCTGGTACGCACGGCTGCTCAATGAACACGACGTGCTTCAACACCCCGGATAGTTACACCTGTGGGTGCTACGAGGGATTTCGCAACAGATCAGCAGTAAATCTGTGTTCAGGTACGAACCGCTGTAAGCTGCCTAATACTTGCAAGAGTACAAGAGTACATAATAGCACAGTTGAACATCGATTATCCGCACATCGACTATCCGACCATTCGATTATCTGTAACAGTTTTTTTGGGCGACGTGCCGTAGAGTACGCACTGTGCACGTAGTGAGCCATTCAAAAAATACGAAAATTTTGAAAAGTAAAAAGTAAAAAGGTCGTGCGGCTAGTAATAACTACTGAAAGTGTGTGAGTGACAGTTTTTTCTTATCGAGAACATTTGCCTTATCTGAACACCGCCTGACAGTTGTCTGCCCAGAGGTGGTCGGATAATCGATGTTCAACTGTACATAAGAGTACTTGCACAGAGTTATGTACTCTTGATACTAGCAAGAGTATACCCCCCCCCCCCCCTAAGAGTGTGCAACTCCTGATACCCTTACGCCGACGGCGAAAACTCACACCAAGTGGTGCAGTGTCGCAGTTGCTCCTTTCCAGCCCGTTTTTAGCGAGCAGCGGAGTAGTAAATGAACACTCTCTGACAGAAACTCAATGCGTGTATACAAATCCCCAGCATTATCACGGCAGATATTCGGATTGCGCCCACGCTACCCTTCATTTGTACGTATAGTACGTTTCAAAAAGATTTTGCTTTTAAAAAGTCTGTTTACCGTAGTTCCGCGCATATAAGCCCATGGGCTAATATATGAAATAATGCATTTTCCGGGAAAATAAATCAGTAATAATGATTCGTTTTTAGCCCTGGGCCTATATTCGAATTTTGAAGGCAGCTGGCACGCGAAAAAGTACAAGTCGGTGCGCGGTTGTCCGCCTACCATAGGTACCGGTACTGGTAATGTAGTCTGCACTGACATGCTGTACTACGGTGTTTGGGTCTGTTTATTAGCCCAGGGGCCTATAAGCGGAGGTGAGCTTATATCCGGATATGGGCCCATGGGCTTATATGCGCGGAACTACGGTATACAAGATAGATTGGAAGCTTTGCCACAACTCTGGGTTTCACGTATAATCACGATCATCAGTTGCCTGATGGTTCCAAAACGGGCAGCCTGAACATAAGGGGGAGCAAGGTGGGAAATTCCGAGGGTATTCTAGGCGACGCGTATCATAGCGCAAGAGTCAGGTGCAGGCATGAAGTTGCCAAGTCTTCGACTTGGGGCTATGCAGGAGCAGTTCCGCCGTGAATGATATACTGAAGTAGAATAGAGCTGGGGTCTTAAATGCCAAATCCACACATGCCAACACCATTACACATACACACCTAAACTTTCTCCCTTTTCTCACATACACATACGCTCACACGCGCTTACACGTACACACACACACACACACACACACACACACACACACATACACACACACACACTCATTCTCTAAACCTCACCCACCCCCCACCCACCCACAAACACACACACATACACTCATACACACACATTCTCTCTCTCTGTCACACACTTACACACACGCGTACGCCCACAATACTCATCCGTTCATTACCACACCTACAACACACATACTTGCACCCGCACTTATCCAATCACCCACACGCACTCTCTTTCGCACGCATGCACACAAACACACACACTCACAATGCCCGCGCACATTCACTCACTCACTCACTCACACACACACACACACACACACACACACACACACACACACACACACACACACACACACACACACACACACACACACACACACACACACACACACACACACACACACACACACAAAATAGGCAGCAGGACTACCAGCTAGATTCCCGTGACCTTGCGGACAAACGTACGGAGGTAGAAGTTGTTTTCATGGCGACATTTGCACACAAGGCCCTTAAACGTATGAAGATAGGGCGAAATTTCGACAACAATACATAGAAGGGATGGGTAGGGCATGGCAAATTGCTCTGTGAAGGGTTGAGAACAATAGAACCAGCAGTTAAGGAATTAGGATTTCGGCCAGGTTTCTAGCCTTTTTCATGGTTTACACTGTACCCCCGAAGCCAGTATCGATGTTTTTTTGAAAACCCATGATTAATCCCCTCCTTTTGGCCTTATGGTTGTGAATGCTGTCTGCTGATCATGATTTTGTGGGTTCAAATCCCAGCCTATCTTCAAATCACACTTTTTTCATTGTTTCAGTGGTGATCAAGCACCAAACGACTTGTTGTTGTTGGAGCTCGCACTTCCTGCCGAACTGACTGACGTTTGATAGGCTTACGCCATGTGAACACACCCACAACACTGAAACGGTGTGAGTGAATTCATTGCGCTGTAGCTACGTGTTGAATACACCGGCACATCAATCGATTTCTTGTTGAGAATTATTTTTTATGAAAAAAGTTCAAGCCAGCCAATTTATTTGAGTTACGGAGTCAACCCCGTCTTCTATCACCTTTCACAGGCGTCTGCTTTTCTCTAAATGTCGTCGAAGTCACACGGATAGCTTTGCCAAGTCATGGTCTTGAGAATGAGTCCGTGTCCATGTCGTTTTCGCCACATGGTGAGAGTACATGGCATTCCAGCCCAAAAATCCACGAAACAAATTGGGACCCATGCCGCGCTTCAGTATTCGACACGTCCCCTCTGAGACTGGTGAGTCCATATCGAGGAAGTACTCGTTTGTTGGAAACCAGACGTACATGTACCGACGTGAGTGAGTTGTCATAATATTTTTTCATGCTTTCGCGCGGAATATTTCTTCGAGTTCACAGCGAGATTTTCCAGGCAGCTTATATGGTAAGACGGCAAACTCCACGGGTGATTGCCAGGATTGCTAATCTTTTTGAAACTGACTCTAGTACGAACGTATCTGAGACAGGTGATGTGCGTTTTTGCCGTGGGAGACCCCATCTATAGAGTTTCACACTCTTGGGGGGGGGGGGGGGGAGGGGGGTATAATCGCGATACTTTTATTCACGCCGTATTAAGGTCCGCTTTTTCAAGTGAAGAGCGTAAAATGAGTACAAGCAATAGAACATAATATCAAAGTTCAACATGAGGTGTTCCAATTGTAAATACTGAAATGCTCTATGTGACAAGTGCTACGTTTGCAAGTAGATGTAGGTGGTTTGTCCAACCACTGATACAACCACACACATCGACCTGTAATCCAAGCACATTGTTCTATCCAAGAGTGAGTTACGTAGCAAGGGGCGTACCCATCATGTTATTAGGTTTGTTGTAGCGACATAACTATAGTACATCGAGTCTTGTACAATTTCGAAACGTAAAACCTTGACTGATGGAGAATTACCAGCTGCTACCTGCGAGTACTGGTCGATGTTGCTCATAAGGAATTTATCCGTGACGTAGAAGTTCTAGCTATAATTATTATATGAGTGTCGCTAAGATCTTGCTGAGCGTTGCGTTATCCAGGGAATGTTGGTTGGTTGATCGGTTGGTATATTCTACTTTTCTTCGAAACTCCAGAATGAACAGGCATTGCTGCCTTCTTGCCTAGACAAGTGGATTTTCGAAGCTCTCTCAAAAAGACGAAGAAAAGAAATAAATATTACATGAGAGTGTGAAGCATGCAATTTTATAAGAGAAATATTTCATGAGGGTGTGACGCATGCATGGTGAGAGAGGAGAGATAGATAGATAGAAATAAACCGAGACATAGAGAGAGAGAGAGAGAGAGAGAGAGAGAGAGAGAGAGAGATGAAGAGAGAGAGAAAGAGGAGAGATAGAGAGAGACGGCTTTCTTGCCTTGACAAAAGAATTGTCCAAGCTCTCACAAAATGACCAAGTGAATGTATGTTCCATATTGATTTGATACGAAAGAGTTTACTTCCCACAATGGAGGGACCGCTTTCCGCTGACTTGACTCCATACTTGAGTCAAGTAACTTGACTGACTCACGATTGCCATCCAGAGCACATGAGAAGACCATCGAGCCTTCAACAGTGCTAAAACAATTGTCTATGGTATGGTATGGTATGTGTATTGTCTTACGTGATTGATTTCTCACTTCAGCATGCGTGGCACCTTGGCAGCAATTAGCGCCCGGATCTCGGTACTGTGGATTACTTTTGCATACTTCCTACAATTACGACCAGGCAAGAAGTGTATGCGCATCTCAAGCTGGTGGAGATACATGGTTGCCTAGGATCTACACAGCTGAGGAAAATCAACACATCAGTCAGTTTGTCAATAGTGGCCGGGTTTGGATCGGCGGTGACTCGTTGACAGTAAGTCAGTGATGTCCGCTAGGATTATGAGTGAAGAAGCTTTATACCGGAGTTAAAATTGACCAGCACAGCTCTTGAAACATCCACTACTCCATTACTGTGTCTTCGTGTTTGTCGTTGTTTCTTTCAAAACCCCTAATATTTTGTATGGATGTGCACACAGTATAAAAATAATTGAAAAAAACATGACGAACATCTTAGTGGCGAAGCATAGCGTGCAAATGACTACAGCCACGGGATTGTGACTTTTATCCCATTCTTTCTTACCTTCTTTCAAACGTTTTAACGTTTAAAAAAGTTTTTTTGAGAACGTACACGGTGACCGATATTTCCTGCATCCAAAAGGCGGCAGTGGTCATATTCTTTCCCCGTCGCCTTTGTATACCTCGCGGAAGCATGTTACGCAATTCCAGATTGGCCTCAAGGAGCAGAAATAACGATTTCAAAAACTGGTAATGAAGTAAACAACGGTATGTCTCAAAGGTCATTGACTGGTCGTTGGCAGCCAAAATACATTTCAAGTAATTGGAACACAGTCTACAAGTAACTTTGGTGTCTCTCAATGGATTTGAGTGAAATGTTCACCACACACTCCTGCCACTATGCTGGCCCTCTGGACATGATTTAAAAGTTCTTGCGCCTCACTGACAGGCTTTCCAGGCCGGAAAAACTCAAATTCCGGCATAGTGTCACGGTGTGCGAGCCACCCAGAATCCAAAAAATGCATTTACAATTTTTTCACATTTTCTTGCCCATTCTGTCCGTGCGCGGGATCCAAACCTAAAAAAAGTCCAGAAGCAGACATGGGTGGTGGGATAGGGCCCCTCAACGTTGCCCTGGAATCTGTCACAACGGCATGAGTGGGCATATTCTCACAGACTCCCACAGACCCAAGTCAATTTTTGATTTTTTTAGGTTTAGGGAGTGCTACGAGGCCGTACCTTTGATACAACATCCAGTGCTGGGACCTCCATAGCAAGCTATTTCCACAGCGCTGCACACCAAATCCAGGATACCCTCAAAAATCGGAAAAGGCTACCACTCACGTTCCACTATTGCCTAGTACTGAGTCCTACCTGACTTCTTGACACGACTCAAACTTGCCAAAGTCACTAAATCAACGTTAACTACAATAATCAAGCCACATATCTGCAAGGTTACGCGGCAAAAGTCCTTTGCCCGCCGCCGTGCAGCCCAATACATAGCTAAAAAATGTGATTTTTGGACTTGGAGCAAAATTTGGAACAAAATTCTGCACACTTTCGCGTGTTTCCATGATACGACAAGTTGCGCGCAGTCTGCTCACATTCAAATACAGTGCTGCCAAAAATGACAGCGTGCAACAAAAAATCTTTCCTTGCAAAGGAATATTTTCGGCTATAACTCTTGAATGGCTGGTCAGATCGAGACACAATTTTCAGGAATTTTGCAGCTATTCATGCTCTTTTAACTGATGTAGCACTCGATATGAATTTACAAATTCGATTTTCAGGGATTTTATGACCAGTCGGCCCCCTTAAAGCGAAACTTCCCCCAAAAATCAAAAATTCATGGTCTGTAGAGTTTCGGGAGCTGAGTCGAATGGTGAAGCACTTTGATCCGACCAAGCGTTCTTGAGATATATCAGTTTCAAATTGCCCTTTTTTGGGTCCGTGCCGTCCCGTCACAAAGCCGTAATGTCATTGAGACTTGGTGATCCTTTGGCCAGGTCCAGAAAAACTGGGATTTCGCATCTTCTTTCTGTTTGCCCATGGAAGGACAGAGAGCTGTTCCTGTAATGCAGTCATGAGACACCACAGTAGGGCAAACGCACTCAATATGCTACTGTGCTGCTAGAGTGCACACCGAACTTGGTTGGTACACAGCTGTGTGAAGCACAAGAGAACGTCTCAGCATTCTGTAAAGTGATAATGCAAAAGGTGAGAGTGTATTTCGCCACAATACGAGTTGAGGTGCAGTCCACTTATGTGAGATAAAGCATACGTGAACCGATACACATTGCACTACTCGCACGGAGATAATGCTAGCCATGTTACCCAGCAAACTCCATGTAGAGGACACGGTTTCAAATAGGACATAGGTTGCAAACCGGAATGGTCTAAATATTCACTTTCTCTCGTAGCATTTTGATTAGAAAACGTATGTCACAGTGAGACTAGGATGTGTTTTACTCAGCGCCAAAATTCCATGGCTCTGCGATGACCAGAAGCGCCATACCAAGCATTTGAGTTTATGACGTGTTGCCTCCCACTGCGACTTGAGTTTTACGTCTTTTGAAAAATCAACTTCTTGTCGCAGGTAAACAGCGGCTCGCCTCTCGCCAATAAAGAACCGTATACCAATGAAAACTGATGGAAGCACACACAAGGCTTATTGGTACTCTGTACTGGCCATCGTGGAGCCATAGCAATTACCTAATTTCAGACCCAGAGTGAATTTGATGGGCCCTCAAAAACCTATCCGGTTTGGAGACACCTCTGTAAACGTCAAAAATTGAGGGCAACTTGGAGGCAACGGGCCAACACAAAGGAGGGGCTCAGATCGATCGACTCTGGCCTCAGAGCAAACGTCAACATGCCAGCTTCCTTCCACAAACATATTTCGAGTGAACAATCCATACCGATGATCGGATTGCGTCTACACAATTTTGCTGTCAACCCGTTCCGGTATCGAACCGTCGCCTCTACAGGAAGGAGTACGAGTGAGGAGACTATTGAGTGGGAACAGAAAATTCACACAATTTAGGATATGAAGAGAAAGACTCTAATTGTGAGCATTACGGAAGACTATACTGTGAAAACACTTACGAATTGTTAGGCTTGTCTGAGATGCTTTGGCTGCAGCTTCATTTCGAAATAGCCCCGCTAACCGGTCGCCAGGTGTTGGTGATGGAGAGAGACGACTACAATTGCAGTCATTTCCGCTTCATCCGCATTTACAGTCCGAATGGAAGCAACCGCTTTCCTTTCCTGAACATTTCGGCTCTTGCCCGAAGCCAAACATTTTCAGTTCAGGCTCTGAGCTTTCAATCTCGTCTGATAATTCGGAATCGCTCATGGTGAGGACGTCTTGTCAGAACGATTTCTTTCAAATACCAAAATACCTGTACGTCTGAGCTTGGCCAAAGCAGGCTAGTCTCAGTGACGTAGAAGAGCGCTTTGGGGGCGTGTCGCGGCCACATGACGTCATGGCGCGTTCCCCGAAAGTACCATTTCCCCCGAAGACATCTCAGGAACGCTTGGTCCGATCAAATTGGGACCTTCACCATTTGACTCAGCGTCCAAAACTCTACTACGGACCATGGCATTTTGATTTTTGCGGGAAGTTCCCCTTTAACGTATAATTATCTGAGTTGTGTTCCATTATTTTTGTAATGTGTTTAAGACGTTCCCCAACTTTCAGTGGCGAGATACGAAAGAGCGTATACAGTATACTGATTGGGGAGGCTCAGATCCAGATCTGTTTGGTCCAGACTGCATTCTGAAGATTGGTCAATGGTTTGACCACATCTGCCATGCACAGGAACCTGTCCTGTGTGTAAGGGGTGAGTATGTCTTCCCCACACTAAATAGGGATAATTTTAACCTTAGTTTGACCAATTTTCCCCAAAGGGAACATTTGGCCCATGAATGGTATACATCTCACAGTGCAGTGCAGAGTCAACATCTCACAGTGCCTAAAATTCCCTCTCACAGTATGGCGGGCGCCGCATGTCTTTCTATGTCCCTCTGTATGACATAGAATGCGACATTGTCTTACTGTGCTCGTCTGTTTGTCTCACTGTGCCGTTCTGCATACATACCAGTACCATTGAGCATGTCTCACTGTGCCATGATGTATGTCGGTCCAGTATTGGTGAGATGTAACCTTGTATGCATTTTTCTTACAAGATTTCCCATTGCATATTGTGTGCTGTCAAAGTGATACGGAAAAAAAGAAAGTGACCGAAAGGCGTTTAGCCAGTCTTGGTCACGCAGATGAGATGTTGTGCAGTTTGATATAGTGAATATTGTTACGAGGTACTTTGTCTTGGAAATGCCGCTTGCGGAGTTGGTTCTACGTAATCTCTAGCCATCTTGCAGCTTCCTCTGTAGACAGTAGTTGGGAGGACATTTCCATTCCCAAGGCACTGCAAAGGACCGAACCAATTTTTGTTGTTGTGATAAGCTGTGAATGCGGTTAAAGTTGAGGCCCAATGATGCCCAACACGGTTGTACTGTAAGTATTCTGCATTTTAAGAACATTTGAAAGTAAATTTTTCTTTGACCTCCACAGACATGCCAGCATGCACTTTACCAGTCATACGCAATGCGGCACTGTCCGTTTCGGAATTTTACATCGGCAGAACTGTCATGGTAACTTGTAACCCTGGGTACCTCATGGTTGGCAGTAGCAGTATAACGTGCAACGATAGTCTTCAATGGTATCCCGAACCGCCAACATGCTATGAAGGTAAGATCCAAGTCCTTTTTGAATAAATCCACAACCCAACAAATCAAAAATTGGAAATGTTTGGTATCCATGCGAATTCCAGTTCACTCCGTACACCATCAGTCTGTATATTAAATAATGGAGCTGAGGCTTTCACTTCCTTTTTTTCGAAAACTTGAACCTTCCAGATCGGAAGGCCTTTGGCCGCACGTTGGTATAATGTTCAGGAAATAGGTGACATTTCTTTGTGTGTCTCGGCTCTGTGCCATTCGTGTGACTCGTGGTCACACATCACAGAGGTTGAAAATGAAGGTAATTGAATGGGTCTTCCAAAACGTTTGTGAACAGGACCTTTGGAGGCCATGTTTCTCTGATCGATGCTGACTTTTTTTACAAATAATCTACGTGGAGATAATAATTTTAATATAGCTATGAATAGGATGAAGGCCGCAGACATCACGCAACTACGTTACTTGTTCGACATGTATGACTGTGTATTTTATAACAAAAATATTATTGAAACCCAGAATCGATTTTCTCGTTCCTATCGTCAGTGGGAACAAATACGGAACTAAAGGATACAACAAAAGAAACTGAAGTTAAGTACTGTAATAGAAAGTTGTTAGAAATAACTGAATGCTGAATTGTTTATTACTTTTGACTCAACTCAATGTCACAGCAAATGAAAGCAGCTCCAGTATGGGGAGCAACTCCAGAGATGAGGGCGACACCCAGCTATCGCAAAATTATGAAAAAATGGGTAGAATGGAACAGGGAGTAAAGCAAAGCACTATAATAATACTATTTTGCTCATCCCTCCGATGAATTCAAAACCTGGATGTGCTCCGTGTTGGGTGACGTCAGCTTTGTCTACCGTCCGCTGTGCACAGATATTAACGAGTGCGTCGATGGAACACATAACTGCACGATGAACTCAACGTGTACAAACACTGTGGCGAGTTACACGTGTGGCTGCTATGCGGGATTTCTCAATAGGTCAACCGGGAATCTTTGCTCAGGTAGGCAATGGTGAAATTTGGGCGTAAGAACCTTGCAACTGTTTAGAAGTAGTTGGAGATAGATGTAATTGATAGATGGAGATAGTGGATAGTTGGATCCAACAGCCATTGCTGTTGGTCTGTGCTCCATAGATGTGTTGGAGCTAGGTGGCAGGTCGTCGAATATCTCAGTACCCTGTGAGTTTTGCCGTATTGTAGCATTATCTGGCTGTATATCATTATCTCGTTACCTTGTTGGACTGTTAGTCATAACCCGAACATTTTGATCCTTTCTATACAGCAATGGGAAGGTTCAAAATGTTCCAACAGGTTGGTGGCGTTGCTGCGGATGCGGAAAACTCTGCCTCTGGCCGCGTCGCACGCGAACCATGAATTATATTTTTATTTTCATACAGGAATGATGTTTCCACTGGTTTTTCATTTTTTTCATTATTGAATGTCCCTCTAGCATGTGTGGCCCCGTGGCACCAGCTAGCACCAGGTTCGCGGTACTGTGGCCGGGTACTGCCAGGCACGTACCACTACATTCCAGCCACCGACGCATGCCAGTCCCAACTGGGTGGTGATACCTGGTTACCGAGGGTGTACAGCCAAAAGGACAATAATGATCTGGTTCTGTACGCTACGAGATGGATATGGTTTTCCGAAGCACATTGGAATGTAAGTGCATAAGTGCTAGCAGTGGTGATCAACTTGGCCGTAAAGTTTAATTCCAGTTTAAGGCCCAGAATAACCCTACTTCTAAATCAGAGTGAATTAGAAAGGGCCAGTCAATTCAGGCCCTTTTCACAGGGGAATTCCGGTGAAAATTTAAATTTGAGATTCGATAGAGTTTCGGGCGCTGAGTCGTTTGGCGTAGAGCGTGTCTTCGAGTAAGCGTTCTTGAGATGTTTCCGTTCGAAAAACTGAGTGTTGGGCGCTGCGCCATGACATCATGCGGCCGCGTCACACCCTCCGCAACATCAGAGCGTGCAGGTAAGTGAAAAGGAGTGCGTGCAAGCAATAGTGTCAAGGCTATTTCAAATGATTTGGCGACGGATAGTAGGTGGTGCAAGAGACTCTGAAGACTTTAATCCTTGTGAGAGTAAGAATGCAGCCATGGCTGACCTTCAAGAGTTTGGTCTGGGGCTGTGAACCTCGGTATTCTGCCGAAGAAATGGCTGCGCGGGCCGGTCAAGAGCGAGCGCTGCTGCGTTGTCGACTGATGAAGAACCAGCACATATTGTAGAGGAGGCTGATATTGTTATCAGATCGCACTGCTGCCACAGTGAGGAAACGTCGTGCATGGAGGTATCTGAGGGACGACCCATCTCACGCTGATCGGCAGTCAGCTTACCAAGATGCACGGCTCTCAACGATTACCTGTCTCCAAACTGCCAAGAGTGCTTTCAGGGCGAAACTGAGACAGAAAGTGACCTCAAAGCAGCTGCCACCCAGGTTGCGCACCGTCAAGCATGCCTCTGGCAATGTGCGTAGTCAATCTGTTCCGACATTACGTGATCCCGATGGACGTGAGTACACAGCCAGTGCAGACAAAGCAGAATGCATGACCCACAATTTTGAAAGCAAATGCAGTCTCGGCGAAGACCTGGCAGCCCCATTCCCATAATGTCAGGCCTATAACTAACCAGGCTCTATCGGATGTCCGTTTCCGCGTGGCTACTTTTGAACGTACCCTTCGCCAGCTCAGCCCATCAAAGGCAACCGGGCCGGATGGGATACCCGCACGAGTGTTGAAAACCTGCTCTGCTGAACTGGCGCAACCTCTTTCTACACTGTTTACCCGATGCTTCCTAACTGGGATACAGCACAGGACATGGAAAGTTGGCTACATAGTACCTAAATTCAAACGGAAATCAAAGTCTCTACCCTCCAATTACCCTCCAGTATCGCTCTTGTGCATTCTGTCCAAGGCGATGGAGACAATCATCAACAGAAAAATCACAAATTTCTTCGAGTCGAATAACATCTTCTCCACAAGACAGTTTGCATTTCGCCAAGGTCATAGTGCAGCCGACCTATTTACCAGCCTCCACCACCAGTGGCTGCATACAGCCGGGCAGAAAGGCGCAGCACGCATACTCGCCATTGACATAGTACGCTTGATCGTGTATCAAACCCCAGTGTGCTACACAAGTTCATCATATATGGCCTACGTGGGCAACTGGCCAACTGCACGAGTCGCTCAGCAGCTACCTCAATGAACGCTATCTTTGTATTGTATTTGTATTTATGGATTCTCCACAGGCCTTAGCTTAAATTGAGGGAGTCTCCGTATCTTGAAGTGATCATTTGTGGCCTGACATTCTCCAGGCTCTCAATCCAGGCTGGAGTCCCCCAGAGCAGCATACTGTGCCTGACTCACTTCCTCGTACATGTATACATGAACAACTACGAGGACCACGTTCCAGCCGGTGTGGACCTAGCCTCGTTCGCAGACGACACTACGCTGTATGCTAACATCAACCCCATCACCCAAGAAGACACCGCCCAAGCCCTCCAGCTAGCAGTCAACAACATCTCCCTCCTCTGGGGTCAAGAATTGAACCAGCCAAATCCCAGGCACTAACTGTCAGCTTCCACCGCACCCAATGGGACATGCCACCGATTGATTTCAACGGATCTAACGTGACGGAACAAGAGAAGCTCAAAATCTTGGGCATCAGTTTCGATGGGCAGCTTACCTTCGGCCGCCACCTTCGTTCCGTATCCCTCCGGGCAACACAGCGACTTGGCGCTTTGTGTAAGGCTTTCCACCTGTTAGACGTGCCCGATGATATCCAAGCCTACAAAGCCTTTGTGCGCCCAGTGATGGAGTACTGCCCCATTGTCTGGATAGGAGCGGCCCCATCCCATGTTGCAAGACTCGACCGCGTGCAAGCCCCATTGTGTTGGCTGTCGAACCTTGCTCTTCGTCGGATGGTTGGAGCACTTTGCCTCCTTTAAAAGATGCATTGTCCGGATGCACATCATCTTCTACAGAGGATGTTGCCACCCAGTAGCCCCAACACAGGACAGTCCACTCAACCTGTAGTACGTTTTAGAGATGTAGTGCCCAAGCACACCAACTGGCAAATGAACTTACTATGTTCTTCCATAGCCACTTCCAGGCTAAACCTTCACCATCATTTTATTGGGTCGTCATCCCGTTTGAATGTGCGAAGTGAAATAGAAACCAACCAACCAACCAACCAACTTCCAATCCCTTCACGAAACAACCTGTGTCGAGCCTATCCTCACGCAGTTGTCCCCGTCTGGAACCAGCTGCCCGCCGGAGTCTTCTCTGGTCCATTCTGCACCAAGAACTTGCAACATTTCAAAGTTGCACATGACCATCTCTAAGTGTGACCATCATAATAATATCTGCCTCACCCCTTGACTGTATTATCATTATTATTATTATTCCCGTAGCTATGCAGAAGACGTTACTTTAGTAACGTTTGGCGCTAGCCAGGGTCCACACAGCTTTAATTTGGTGTTTGTTTGTGTGTTTGTTTGTTTGTGTCACGCCTGGCGCTATCCGTATCTCACGGCAAAAAAGCATAGGATGTTATAAATTTTTCAATTCTCCCATATTTTTTTCAGGCATATCCTGGGATTCGAACCCGCACTATCGCCCTACATGCATTCCCCCATACACTTCGCATTCATGCCCATTCTTTCAAGTTGCTTCACGTTATTATCTTGCGTTTGAAAGCCCTATTTGAATTATTGCGGGCAGCTGTATGTGGCCAGCTGTGTTTGATGGTACGGTACGGTACGGGAGACGGTGTCGTATTACCCTCGATCGTACCTGTCCCGTACCTATCCCCTACCGTACCGTGCCATCAAAGACGGCTGGCCACATTGCATATTCAAATAGGGCTTTCAAATGCAAGATCACAATGTGAAACAACTTGGAAGAATTAGTATGTATGCGAAGTGTATCGGGGGATACATGCAGGGTGCGCGATAGTGCGGGTTCGAATCCCAGGTTATGTCTCAAAAAAAAGGATTTTGTTAAAGAATTTTTAACATCCCTATGCTTTTTTTTGTCTAGGTCATCAAGGCAAAACAGCATAGCGTAGGGCCCTGAGCTTCCAAGCTCTCTCGTTATTGTAGAAAAGGTTTGTTGTCTGATGATTGGTTCACCCATGAAACTCTGAGTCACAACGGAATTAATTTGCCAAGGTTTTCATTGTGTGCCTTTGTGTATTGTAGAAAAGGAAAAAGGACATATCGAAACGAGTTTTAAAGAGTAACTCTCCACCACTGTAACTAGATACTATATACAGACAGAAGGTGCAACAACTAGGCACAAAACTGACGAGTACTGAGACATTTGACGTCCTGACACCTAGCTTCAACACATCTCCGTAGCGCTAACTGACAGCCTTCCAACTCGGAAGGTTCAAGGTTATGGAGAGACCAAAGAGGGGAAGGTAAGCACAACGAAAACGAGCACAAGCTACAGTCCCAACGGAACAAAGAATGTCGATTGTTACTGGACGATGACGAGACCAGTAGGATACTTAACAAAGCGGTCTAACTACAATTCGAAGCAGCAAAGCAGCACACCACGACTTGGGTGGTTCAGAAATATCAAAGATAAGTACAGAAGGGGGAAGCGTTGCGAAAACGAATTGTACAAGTAATTATTAGAAAGGAAAAGGACATATGGAAACGAGTTAAGAGTAACTCTCCACCACTGTAACTAGATACTATATACAGTCAGAAAGTGCAACAACTAGGCACAAATTTGACAGAGTACTGAGACATTCGACGTCCTGACACCTAGCTTCAACACATCTCCGTAGCGCTAACCGACAGCCTTCCAACTTGGAAGATTCAAGGTTATGTGGTTAGGTGATGGAGAGTTACTCCTAACTCGTTTCCATATGTCCTTTTCCTTTCTACTTATATTATTGGCTCAATACCCGAGTTACAAGTAATTAGTATTATTATTAGGAAATTTGAGGCCACATGCCACGTAATGCTCTTTTCTCTCCGAAACTCAACACTTTTGAAAAATTCTCCGTGAAGTCCAAATTTGAAATTGCAATTAGTATTATTATTATTATAATTATTATTATTCTTGAATCGTTTGCAGGCAACCTGCCTACACTCAAGAGAGCACTGCATTTCACACAAATCCATTGGTATCGTTACAACGTTTCGGTCTTATGACCATCATCAGGAATGAAGTGGACATGGAAAGAACAGCAGTATAAGAAGGAGGCAAGCAAGCAAAGCGCGGTACATAGTGACAGCGCGCGTAGAGAAATGCAAAGCACGTCATGGCGGGTGTGCATTACTACATGTACATGACAACACAAGCACAAACGGCGAGGAAAGTAGATACTGCGCTACAGCAGTGATACAAGCTCAGTTCCAGTCTCACACCACCAGTGCTAGTGAGGTGTGTAGAGGCCCGCGCCACTCGCAGTAAATAACAGCTGTATTCAAAGCCGGTGTCATATAGTAGAATGACCCCGTAGTGGAAGGCCCCCCCCCCCCCCCCCCCCGGTCATTGTACTATATAGTAGATTGCCCCCGGGGTCACTCTACTATATGAGCCGCAATCAGCGAAAACGACCCTTAGAGATTTCGTAATTTTTTCGAGAAAAAGGTCGATTTGTGACGTTCAACGATTTTTTGATCGCGCTGTTCGCAACGACTTC